CAAGAAATGCCTGGTTAGCTCAATCGGTAGAGCGTTTGACTCTTAAGTTAGACATCAAAAGGTTGCGGGTTCGACCCCCGCATCGGGCTTACTTTTTGCCAATTTAATGCTTTAAATGGTTTTTTTTTTGCTAATGGGAAGTATATTATAATCTACTGACTATATTGTTTTTTTTGCTGATGGGAACTATCAAATGCTACCCTTAATCAGATCAGATCAGATACATTAATTTGTATTTTTTAAATACCACTTGAAGAATTAGTTTTCGAGGTTTTCAGCAATTCAGAGCATGTTTTTCCGCCCACGAATTATTTTTCGAAAATTCTTATTTTTCAGAATATTACATTATTTGAGCATCTTGATTTCTTCTTTACGATAGACTTTCACAGGGATGTATGTCTTGAATTATATGAAAAGGTGTAGTATTTGAAACTTGCATGATGTCCTGAAATCTTTTCACCATTATGCATTGGTAACGTTTGCTCGAAAAAATTGAATGAACTATAAAAAATTGAATTTCTCCGCAAAAATATTTTTAATACATCAATCTTCTTGTCAAATGCTCAAAATATTCACATTTATATTTAAGACCTAGATTGGGGAAGGTTCTATCTAAAATCAATATTACAAGCACTACCAGTATATTATGTGTTTTATCCTGACAACAAATAGCCTCTATGGCCAAGTTGGTAAGGCACCTCACTAGTAATGAGGAGATCGTCAGTTCGAATCTGGCTGGAGGCATTTTTTTAATTTTTGAGATTTCGAACCTCACCATCAACTCATCACAACATCTTATCAAGTGCGTAGCTACGCAGTCTGTGTTTTTTGCATCTCATCAACCATCATACCTCTGTCGTCAAACCCACATTTCCATTGCTGCTATTGCCGTGAAGCAAGAACCATTCATTTGCATTCCCTCCATCGCAATGAGCTATGAAAGTTCGAACCAGCTAACCAGTGAACAGATCCTCAAAGATGCATACGAAAACAAGGACAGACCATTGGAGCGTCCTAAGCAATCCATCCAAGATTTGGACGAGTTAAGATCCTTCCAACTAGCTAAGCGTAAGGAGTATGAACAGCAGCTAAACAAGAATAGACTCAATTTCAATCAGTGGTTAAGATATGCCAAGTGGGAAATAAACCATAATCATGACTATGCCAGAGCACGATCCATATTTGAAAGAGCTTTGGATGTCAACGTACAGCACATCCCCTTTTGGGTGCAATATATTCAGTTTGAACTTTCCCATAAGAATGTTAATCATGCCCGAAACCTTTTGGACCGTGCAACTACTACACTACCAAGAATCAACAAGCTCTGGTTCATGTACGTTCAGACGGAGGAAACTTTGAGGAACTACTCGATGGTCCGTTCTACATTTGAACGGTGGTTGAAATGGCAACCTGATGAATCTGTTTGGGATTCCTATATTAATTTTGAGAAGCGATATGAGGAGTTTGAAAATGTGAGACAAATCTTCCGTAGGTATATTTACTTGTTCCCCAATGGCCTGACGTGGTTGAAATGGATTGAATTTGAGCTCTACGAAGTTCAGACGTCTTCCAGACAAATCCAGAATATTAGACTAGTGTTTGAGTCATCAGTTGATCATTTACTTGGTCAAAAGTCCTCCAAAACAGATTTAGCACTTTCGATAATAATTACTAAATGGTCTGATTGGGAAATCTCAGTCCAAGAATTCGAGAGAGCTAGAATGATTTATACTTTGTTATTGGAAGACCCAAGGTGCAAAGGCATCCTTCTGGAGGACCAACGAACTAAAATTTCACAATTGTTTACCGATTTCGAGAAGAACCACGGAAATAAAAATACTATTGAATCAAGTGTTACCCTAAACCGACTCAACAAGTACCGAGCGAACTTGAAAGAAGACGCACAGGATTATGATTCGTGGTGGGCATACATTAGCATATTAGAACAGCAAGGTGATATAATTGCTGTGCGAGAGGCCTTTGAAAATGCCATTAAGAATCTGCCTACGGACAAGAATAAATCACTAAAATGGAGAAGATATATTTATTTGTGGATCAAATATGCATTATGGGAGGAAATCAGTTTGGGGCAAGTGGAAAATGCCAGAAACATATGGGTTAACTGCCTAAAATCAGTTCCACATAAGCAGTTTACATTCGGCAAGATATGGATTAAGTACGCAGAATTTGAACTAAGAAATTCAATTGAAGATGGATTGCCCCAAGCTCGTAAAGTCTTGGGACAGTCTATAGGACAATCAAGTATTCAGGGCCCCAAGAAAAAGTTGTTCAAGTACTATGTTGAATTTGAGAAGAAATTGGGAGAGTGGCTGAGGGTCAGGAAACTATATGAAAGATGGTTGGAATTGGCATTGGCGAATGAACAAGAGTTCATTCCGATTCTTGAAGAGTACATTGAATTTGAGAAATCACTTAATGAACATAGCAGATGTGTGTCATTATTTGAATTGGGATTGGGTCTCATGGATGGTGAAAGTATCACTATCAGTGTCAGCGACAACGAAATTGAAAGGTTGTGGATCTCATTCATTGAGTACTATAAGGAGGAGATGCAATATTCCGAAGCAAGGAGTCTATATGTCAGATTAACCAAGAAAACCCCAGTGCCAAAAGTTTGGATCTCCTATGCACTTTTTGAGTCATCGATTCCTACCGAAGCCCAGCTTAAAATATTTCAGGAGAGTGACGAAGAAGAGTTTCTGTTTGAAGTCAATGACGAGCACAGAACTAATACCAGAAAGGTATTCGATCAGGCGCAAAAGTCGTTTCAAGACAACAAGGACTACCGTTTAGTTGTACTCGAAGCATGGAAGAGCTACGAAAGCTTACATGGAAGCGAGGAATCACAACAGGTGGTGGAAAAGAAAATGCCTGCTCTTGTACAAAGAAGAAGAAAGGTTGATGGAGTGGAAGAGGAATACACCGATTACATATTCCCTGAAGATGAGGAAAAGAAGCCCAAAGGTGCTGCAGTCAGCAAGTTCTTGGCTAACGCGAAGAAATGGGCACAACAGCAAGCGTGAAGCGGCCCCAAATACGACTACGCTTGTAAGATACCAATTATCGGCAAGTATGAACACCATAAGTAGGTTGAAAAATACCAGCATTTCTGCAAAGAATACATCAGTATCAAATGGCTTCATTGTTGTGTATTAATAGAGGGATGCTGTGTGTTATTTCGTGTATCATAGATTATTATAGAGACGTTGGTAGTGTTGGCTTACAGCTTACTAATGAATGAGTTGCAACGTATAGTGCTTTCTATTAATTCATACAAACATGCGTAGGTGTGCCAGGTGTTGCAATTCGCTAGCAATAGAAGATTGTGGTGGGTGGCAATCGGGGCCTGCTAGCTCAACTAGCTGGGGCACTGGAATCATTCGTACTTCACTACTCTGGAATCGCCCTTGCTGGTGCCTGCTCAGCACCCACCTCTCAAGGTCAACACCAAGTGCAAGGATGCACCAGCTGTGATGCCGCTTTCCTGGACGTTCTTATCGTCGTCCAATTGCAGACCGTTGAAGATCAATCTTTGCTGGGATGGCGGGATGCCTTCCTTTTCCTCCATCATTTCCTTGATGCGGATGATCTTGTCGGTAGGTTCGATATCAACCAAGATGTCTCTGCCTGTTAATGTCTTTACTTTCACTTGCATGGTGGTACTTGGATTAGTGGACAGTAATTTGGTTTCAATTTTCCCATCGCGTTTATGAGAAGTGCAACCTTCCATAATGCTAGCCACACCTGTCGTCAAGGACTTGAACTATGACAAGGTGTATGAGCCTGCAGAGGACTCGTTCTTGCTCTTGGACTGCTTTGAGGAGCAGAGCCTGTACTTGAAGTCTCGTTTCAGCTCAAACGTGCCTGTGGTGGTGGAGATAGGCAGTGGATCAGGAATCGTTACCACCTTTCTCCATCAACATATATTGCCAGAATCGGTATACATTGCCACCGACGTGAATCCCCACGCATGCGAGACGGTGTTGAAGACGGCTAAGGACAATTCTGCAACGAACTACTTGGTAGACTCGTGCCAGATGGACCTCACCACCGCAGTCCGCAAACAGGAGGTGGATGTGTTGGTGTTCAACCCTCCGTATGTTCCCGCAGAGGAGGTGCCAAAGGTTCCCGAGACTTCTGAGGACTCTACATGGCTCGACCTCGCGTTGTTGGGTGGCCCCGATGGAATGATAATCACCTGGAAGGTGTTGCACTCGTTGGACACCATTTTATCGCCAAAGGGAGCAGCATATATATTGTTCTGTGCCCGAAACAAGCCAGACGAGGTGGCAGAGAAGATGAGGGCGCTTGGGTGGGACTGTGAGGTGGTTATTCACAGAAAGGCTGGCTGGGAGGTGTTGAGTGTCATACGATTCACCCGTGCTGAGGCCAAGTAACAGGAGATGGAGCCATGCAGAACCCATTAATTTCTTCATAACATTAACATCATAAAGTGATGGACACCTAGCTTACATTGCACCGTAGAAATAAATATAATTCATGGCAGAAGATATTTAGAGATTGCAGTAGAGGTAATTCATAGCAGAATTAAACAGGGAAAAAAAGCAAATATGTAAACTAAGCAGACTGCAAGGGGTTGCTGGATAGAAATAATAAAGAACCGGGCTTAAGACATAACTAAACGAATTTCTGGGATTTCTTCACTATATCGTAGTATATTTTGGAATAATTCATAACCGAAATAATGCAATGATTAACAGAAAATATTACAGCAGTTCTGGTCATAGTTCATTACAGAATCAATCCCAATTCATAGAATTAAACTAATTCACAAACATCAGTGAACTTTGAATTAGAAATAATAATTCTCAACGAAGTATTCCCCCAACGCATAGAGATTATCTCTATTATTTTCGTAAATTCACTGTTCCATATGGCTATCCTCTCTTCTATACACCTGCTAAATGTGGCCTCTTTCTCAGGCTCCCTTAGTAGTCTGGTTTTTCCAACCGCTCCAGTCTCACTGCAGTATGGAAAAAATGATGCTCATCTGGAACACCATCACTAGCCACCACAAGAATGTCCCATAGAACCGACACACACGAAAGGGGACGAGCTTCACAGCCAGCAATGAGCACCATAGGTGGAACTACTGCTAAAGGTACCAAGTGGGCTGGCAAACCATCGAGATACAAGTCGTTTGGACCAGGCAAATTCGACACCATAATAACAGGCCATTTGACCCCCGAGCAAATCGACGCATACCAGCAGCTTTTCAGGGTAGAGGAGATCTCAGAGTTGTTGAGGGTTTCCCACCAGAAGCGTAGGCCAATTTTGAGCTTATTACCGTCTGGAAACACCGAGGAGAATCCAAACTTCAAACGTGATCCATCACCACCTCCCAAGTACGACAATTATGGTAACAGGACAAACACAAGAGAGTACAGGACGGGCTTGGCGTTGGAGAAGGAAAGAGACTACTTGGTGGAAACTGCAGCCAGTAACATCAAGAACTACGTTCCTCCTTCGGACTACAGAAAACCAACCAAGACCAGCGAAAAGATATACATTCCTATCAAAGACTATCCTGACATCAACTTCGTGGGTCTCTTGTTAGGACCAAGAGGAAACACCTTGAGACAACTCCAGGAACAAAGTGGTGCTCGTTTGGCCATTAGAGGTAAAGGTTCAGTCAAGGATGGTAAATCCACCGCTCCTTCCACCGAAGAGGAGGATTCCAATAGCATGACTTCGTTCGTGAATCCAGCTTTGGCTTCAAACTCCGACGACTTGCATGTTCTAATCTCTTCCGACACCCAGCTGAAGATTGCCAAGGCCATCAAATTGACTAACGAAGTCATTGAAAAGGCCATATCTTCACCGGTGGGTCAAAACGAGTTGAAGAGAGGCCAATTAAGAGAGTTGGCCGTTTTGAACGGTACATTAAGAGAAACCAAACCATACGATCCTGAAGCGGCCCAGAGTCGTCAACGTAGGGGATTAGATGTTGCATCAATTGTTTGTAAAGTATGTGGAAATGTGGGTCACTTTGCAAGAGACTGTAAGTTTAGAGGACAACCTGGACTGGTTCCAAATGAAGGTGGTTTAAGAAGAAATTTCGAAGACACTTATGTTCCTCAGTCTGAACCGGAGGTTTTACCTCCTTGGAAGAAGGCCAGGACTGACGCTCCACTACCACCATGGCAGGCATCTGGAGGTACCATTCCTCCAAGGCCAGTATCGGGAACTTTACCACCAACATTTACGAATCTTCCACCACCACCTTCTGTTGCGAAAGCCCAACCACCACCCGGAGTTTCAGCTGCACCACCACCACCACCCGGAACATCAACTGTTCCACCACCACCACCCGGAATCTCAGCTATTCCACCACCACCACCCGGAATCTCAGCTATTCCACCACCACCACCCGGAATATCTTCAGCTCCACCACCACCAACCACAGTGCCTCCTCCCCCTACCAAAATACAACCACCACCACCACCTCCAAGTGGGACACAACCACCACCACCACCACCTTCTAATGGTTCACAGCCACCACCACCCCCACTGAAGCCAAGCCAACCACCTCCACCCCCATCAGGCCAAAATTAGCTAGCTTAATTTATCCTACTAGAACGATAAAGATTTTCTGTAGCGTACTTGTATGAAGAAATGGATAAACCAACAAATATTAGATTGGAAAATCTCATGAGATAAGGCATAATTGGTATCTTTTTCAAAGTGGAGTTTGGCTACTCTAATCAAAAGAGTGCTGAAATAGTTATAGGTTGGTCATATCCTTATGAGTTGGTTTAACATGATTAATTCTACTTAAAGATCGATGAAGAGTGACGCTACTAAGTTTCTCAGGAAGCAGTCTTAGACTGTGAAGAAACGCTGCAAGAAAACCGAAAAAACAGAACGATAAGCTTAGGCTTCGTTCTCCTGAATTTTACAATGCTATGTTTGAGCCATTTGTGATAGATGAAGTATCAACTAAAAACATCTCGATAATGGTTGAGCCAATTGTAGCTACTGAAGTTTCAGAGGAAACGGAAGCCAATTACTTCTAACGTTTAATTTAATATGATGGGAAGTAATTCAAAAACACAAAATGCACAAGAGAAAAAAAATATCAATAGGAGTTGGGAGTTGTATATTACAAGACTAATTAGCCGGTTGTTCATAAAGCCCAACGACTCTTAAACATGATATCTTGCTGATAGGAAGTATATTTTGAACTAGCTTCTACATGTTTCGATTAGTGTTTCGATTAGAGTTAATTAACTAAAAAGCCTTTAAATAAGATGATAGACTTATTCAGATGTAGACAAAATGTTGGGGAGCATGGTAAAAGAGATTCTTTGAATTTTGAATTATTTGAAAACAATTGTCATATTTCAATGTCTTTTTATGATTTTCGGAAAAAGCTGGTATGGCGCAGTGGTAGCGCAGCAGATTGCAAATCTGTTGGTCCTTAGTTCGAACCTGAGTGCTAGCTTGTTCCTTTATTTTTGAAAGTTGTAATTTTAATCACGTGATATAGATCTTATAATAGTGATCCACGCTCGGACGCTTCCATTCTAAACTACATTATCCGCCATGGATAATTTAGAAGGGTTTATACCGATTGTGGCGATATTCTACGCTGTATTCCATCCAACAGAAGGAACAAAAATTGTCCATCAAGTCCCTGAAGGATGTATATCCTCAATAAAAGACAATCAGCCCAGCATCTCAGCGTCTAACCAAGATTTTGGCGTCCCTCCACTAACTTCATTGTTCAACTTCGACACAGTTAAGAACTATATCATTCCCAAGCCGCAATTATGTAATAAGCTCATCTCGTTCAAGATAGATAAGTTCAAAGTAATTGGGTATCCAGTAAATATCGAGAATCCCAACTACTCCAGAAACTCGTTCAATTTCAACTTTTGTTTTGTATTCCCGTACGAATTTGGGGATGTCACTCCCTATGAAATGGCAATTGGAAGAATGGGTAAAATGTTCCGGGTGCTTGAAGAACAAAGTTTCTCTTGAGTAAATTGGATAAAAGCAATTCGTTCTTCAAGGACGCCAATTTTATGAGATCTCAAAGCATTCCAAAGTCAATCGTGACAAAACCAATGAGCGAAGTTTTTAGCATAGATCCCAACTTCCTCAATAGTGGTACTTACGATAATTCACCCACCACCAACAGGCCCTTTGGTGCTGGAGAGTCATCATTGAATACCTCAGTCATAGACAACACTCCAGGTTATTCAAGAACAAAAAAGATCACTTTGTCGTCCATTGACTCACTAATTCAACAAATATACCAGGATCTCAACAATTACTCCGAATGTTGCATACCGTTGGACAGTGCCAATTCAGTGGATATAAAATTGTTCCCCATTTTGCCTCCTCCCATTAATATCAAGGCCTATCAGGTTCCAATATCTTCAGTAAAGTTAACGTCATTAGTTGACGTGAATTGGGATCCAACTATGCTCAAAATCTTACCCTACATTGACGGTATCAATTCGATCAGAAAAATAAGCGAGTTAGCAGACGCAAACTATTTGTTGGTCAAACAATGTATTCAGCACTTAATGCACTATAGATGTATTGAAATCAGTGATATCTTTCAGTTCAGCAACATTTATGCTCCCACAAATCACATTGGAGATTTTTTGAGATCCAACGGAATCATGGCCGAAGAGTGCCAAGCATATGTGATAACCAATTCGCGACCACTAGATTCAGCATTGCAAACCCCAAATTATGCCACCACGCCGGCATCTTCCCATGCTCCCAACACCGCGACTGTATCTCCCGCACCATCAGGAAGAAGATATAATCCCATGAACCAGTTTGTCAGCGGAGGTAAGAGCTCGGTATCTCCGTTGACGAAAGCAGGTTATTTGTCGAAATCCCCCAAAACCCCATCGTCAGGGGTTGATGACACAGCAGTGGCCGTTCCATTCAAATCCACGTTGTTTTACTTGTACCGATCGCTCAATCAAGGCCAAACCGTCAAGGAGTGGTACGTGCAACATCGGAAGCTTTTGGAAAACGTCGATATTCGTCGTTTTATCCATTTTGGCATCTTAAGGGGAATTATTTATCGAGTTCATTCGTATCCAGTACTCAATTCTGTGGTACGGGCAGTGGAGAACGAGGACCAGAACGAGTACGAGCTGATCGAGGAAAAGATCCGAGGCAAGCGCAAGGGCCGGAGAAGCTCGCTGAAAATCGTTGGTGAGGGTAACGACGGCTTGTTGAAGACGAGAGTGAACGAAAGGGTGTTGAAAACGGACCGCAGGAAGGTGAGTTTTGGGTACGCCAAAGAAACACTTGAGACGCCGGAACCATCGGTGCGATTAGACAATTCAGAAACAAGTGATAGTGGAGGGTCCAGCGACGACGAGCGGTGGGTCAATGTGCCCTCACGGCATGGTACGGCAACGACATTTTCTAGCGACCCCAAGCAATATGTGGCTAACGAGGAGGCAGTGTCGTTGCAACTGGATGAAGAGTCGATGGACTCTGATGAACAGGAAGCTCACCAGGAGACTATTGATCTCATCAAGTTGCTCAAGGGGTTCCAGCACTACGACTCGATCTGTACCGAACTCCGCAAGTCGCGCAAGGAAGTGGAGGCATTGATCGACGGGTTGGGGTCCTACAGCGTGGTCAACGGTTAAACAAGTACCTTTTCACCACTATAGCTCGGTAATGCTTTGACAAATTCAGTGAAAGTAAGATGGATTGCCATAAGGAACACATTCAATGCTTTGATAAGCAATAAGATTCTATTGCACGATGCTCGGTACTACATTCTCACCAGCATGGACTACAACAATATTAAGATGACAATTCTGTGAAACTCGGTGCAAATGGATGGATTGTCACAACGAATAGCTTCAATGCTATGGTAAGTAATAAGAGCCTGTTAATGGTGTTCTCTTTGGGAGTGGCTGAGAGCGAGACATTGGCCAACGAAAGCTCGCACTGGTGTAATGGACATACACCGCAGAGCGTGAACGAGCCACGACAACCCCACAAGAACGCTACTGCAACTGCGAGCATAGTCTACAGAAGAATGACCACCAACACCATGACCCATTTGCAACCAGGCCCATCTCGGCTGGAGGAATGGCGCTACCGGTCAGCCCCGCGTCAACCCAGCCAAAACCAAAACAAATCGGGACGCCGGTCGTGCCGCGCACCAAATGCCCCATATAAACAAACTACCGCGTTCACCAAAGTTGTTATTTGTTATTAGATTCTTTAGCAATGTCAGGAAAGGGAAAAGTACACGGAGGCAAAGGAAAGTCTTCGGAAGTGGCCAAATCGTCGACCTCACACTCGGCCAGAGCAGGATTACAATTTCCTGTCGGTAGAATCAAGCGTTACTTGAAGCGCACGGCTCAGAACAAGATTAGAGTGGGACTGAAATCAGCCATTTACCTCACTGCTGTGTTGGAATACTTGACTGCCGAAGTCTTGGAGTTGGCTGGTAATGCAGCCAAGGATTTGAAGGTCAAGCGTATCACCCCACGTCATTTGCAGTTAGCCATCAGAGGGGATGAGGAATTGGATAACTTGATTAAGGCCACCATCGCCTACGGTGGTGTCTTGCCTCACATCAACAAGGCGTTGTTGTTGAAGGTGGAGAAGAAGAAGAGTCTCAACTGATCGTCTATCGGTCTGGACCTGCCTATGGAGCGCCCTGGTATGGATACCGAGGGTTTGCCACTGTACTATATTTTGTTTACTATAATACATTGTATCGTTATATAAGCGTAGTATTTACAGGAAATATGATCTGGGCCCCGAAGCAGGCTATGCTGGTGTGGGTTTTGGGTGCTCCGATGCGGGTTGTGGGGGGTCTTTGGCGTCTTTGGCGTCTTTGGCGTCTTTGGCGTCCTTGGAGGCCCTCAATGACTCTATCTTGACGTACTTGGGACGCAATCCGTCCGGCAATTGGTAGTCATCCAACTTGACGTTCATCTCCTTGAATTTGCCCTTCAAGTACTCTATTTCGTTCTGTAAGATGGAGATGTCATCAGCCAAGGCGTCGTGCTGGTCGCTAGCCTTCTTTCTGCTGCGATAACTCTCGTAGAAGATCAATGACCCAGCTACGCTGAAAATGAACAATTCTGACAAAAAGGTGGCTCCGCTGTCCACTGCCTTCTTATCGTTCAATGGCCGTATCTTGATCTTCTTTTCGCCCAACAACGACATTCTTAACCTGAGGTCGGTGGAGTGGACCGTCTGTGCGATCTTGATGCAGGTTTGGCGAAATACCTCGTGTTCCTTGGCCTGGGCCTTGATGGCATTGGCAAACGGCTTGGCTACCGTTCTCACCAACAACGAGGTTAATTTCAATGCGATTCCACTCATGGCGATGACGATGCTAGTATGAAAGAGTGACGAACTTGAATAGATGCCTGCTGGTGCCCGATTAGTGCTCTTGTGTGGTTGTAGTATCCGATGGTATGGCTTGTTTTGGTGGCTACAGTCGCAAATGACGCTCGCTACATTTTTGTGAGCGTTTTGGCTGGCACTAATTTTAGTGGCAACGGAGGGATGCCACCGCCCAATTGGAATGTGTTTTATACGGCAGACTACCGTGCGAGGGGCTGCTGAAAGTAGCTGCTTCTGAAAAAGGATTTTGAGGGAGATACTTTGGATTTGGAACCTTGTCGAAGAGGCGATCTGGACGGGCTAGTCATAAAGTGCACCATACCGCACGCCTTATCAGTGAGGCCCAGCACAGTCATCGGATTGGCTTCTGGCCCGCAAAAACAAAAAATAATGACTCCTACGCGATTCGAACGCGTGCATCTTTACGATAGTAGAACTTGAGTCTACCGCCTTAACCGCTCGGCCAAAGAGCCATTTGTTGATGAGTTGGGAGGGTTGATACAACAGGTCAGACGTATTGTATCAAAAAATGGCAATTCTCAGCTGAATTCATTGTCAAGAGGTATTCTAGTCCAGTACAAGTTTGAAAAGTCAAAAATGTACAAAAGTCGTAGACTCAGTCGCAAAATACTTCAAAAAAATTTTGGAAAAAAAAAATTGGATTATTTTCCTTTTTTATGGTTTGGCCACAATGGTGCCATTGCAAGAGGTGTATAGATATCTAAAGAGTAGATTATAATATACTTCCCATTGTGTAGCAAAATAAATGTATAAAGAAATAAAAATAAGAGAGAGTTAGATACAACCTGACTATACCTCGTTGTGCACCTCCACGCACCAGGCGATGCAGGCGTTCACTACTCTCTGAGAGTAATTACTTAAAATAGGCAATTAGTAAATTGTACATAGTCAGTAGATTATAATAAACTTTCCATTAGCAAAAAAGAAAAAAAATTTGTGATAACCTCTCACTTTTCGCAAGAAGGTAGTGGTTGATAGTTCACCACTATTTCCGAGAATATTAACATTCTCTGCTCCAAATGTCATTAGTTTTTCTTATAATTGGTAAAATTGTTGTATAGAAACTTTCAGTGAAATAGTTTTTCATTGCTCATTTCCCTCGCTCGATCACTTTAATCGAACAATTTATAATTAAGAAGAGGATACTGTATTACAATGGACCATTGCTTCCCATGACGGGATTCCAGAAAATGCAGAGTTGGACAATAAATTTAGGAGAAGTGAATTGATGAAAAATGGTCAATTTTTCAAATTAGTCCAATCTGCTAAGAGAACTTGCATTTTTTTAGACCATTACAATTTTCATAGTTAAATAAAAGCTTATACTTAAATGAATTAAGAAAAGTTATTTCCATTTTCTATTTGCAAAGGGAATCTGATAATAGTGTACTCGAAACTACTCGAAACTACTGGAAATTCCAGAATTATCACCAAAAAACTAATAGGGAAATTTGTTAATTCGCATGCGGCAATTATATTAGTCTAGTATTTGACTATAAAAGTCTGATCCTTGTTCCGATTTGAGCTAAACATAGTCCCCTCGTTAAAAAATGTATGCCCTAGCCGGAGAATTTGAGATGTAAACTCCTGATTACGTAATCATATGCTCATCTCAAGGTGTCTGTTCACTGATCAAAAATAACATCCGAAGTCCGATATAGTGTAACGGCTAGCACGGTTCGCTTTCACCGAGCAGACCCGGGTTCGACTCCCGGTATCGGAACTTTCTTTTTCGCCTTCGGAAACCACATATGTGGTTTCTTTTTGAATGGTAGTTCCCTTGTGCCTTTGCTGATGCTGATAAGACTCATGTCAAGGGCTCCAGAGATTAGCTGGACTTCGCAATCGCACTCTAGGATTCGCAGACAAAAAGACCCAACATTTGGTCTTGCACAGAGTGTGGAACGGTATTGCCTTAACTCCGGCTATTGAGGTGGGGCTACAACCAACAGGCACACATATTAAAAACTGTAGTGCAGGAAACTGTGTCAGAACCAAGACCTCAACGGAGGTTGGCCCAGAATGCACTTCCCACAATCTGGCCCCAGACCATCCAGCCGAACGGGGTTCAAAGCTAGAAAAGTAGGTAGTGGTAACCCCCTTGCCACTGAAGCTCAACAGGCCACTACCAGCGAGCTACTCTGCAAAACCGTCTCTCAGAATCCCTAAACCCGTGGGCTGTTTTCGCATCCATCCGTGGTAGATCGTAAAAGTTACGGAAGACCACGCGACCCCCGCACGACCAACCCCACATTATGGCGGGTCATGGCAAGCGTCTCCTAACTGGAGTATAAGAGTCGCCCACAAATAGTCACACAGTCAATATTCACCAGAATGTCACAGTACACCTACAAGCACGAGGAGGGCCTTCCTCAGTTGCCCGTACCGCTGTTAGCATCCACGGCACAGCAGATGTTGATAGCATTGAAGCCACTCTTGAGCACAGAAGAGTACTCAGAGTTGCATCAAGAGTCATCCGCGTTCGTCACCGACGAGATCATTAACTTGATCCAGTCTCACTTGGTCGCAGCCTCCCAGAAGCCTTCCAATTCATGTTACTTGAATTCCATCAATGATGAAACAAACCCCGGAATCTATGGCGAGCTAAGGGGAAATATTTTACCAAGAAACCCCTACTTGGTTCTCGAAGAAGACCCGTACTCCAAGACTGTGAACCCCCCTAATCAGTGTGAAAGAGCTGCCAGCTTGATCAATTCCTCCTTGAAATTTATTGTCAGTCTCCGGAACGGCACCTTGAAGCCCGACTTGACACCCAAGAACTCCAATCCATTGACCATGAACTGCTACAAGAACTTATTTGGAACAACAAGGGTTCCATCTTCGAGACCTCTTGAGAGCAATATTACCATCAAAAAGTACAAGGATGTTAATGATTCCAGACATATCGTGATTATTACCAATAACCAGTACTACAAACTCGAAGTATTGACTCCAAACGATGATTCGGAGAAATCCAAGCACAAAATTTGGTTCAATGACAATGAACTCTCGCTCTTGCTTGAAGGCATTCTAGAACAATCTCTGAAGATTGGTCAGATCGAGTCGATCAATAATTCGATCGGCTCTATCACAACCCAGTCCTTGAAGGAATGGAAGTCTGCAAGAATGGAATTAATCAAGACAAATAAGCAAACGTTGGAACTCATTGATAATGCTTTATTTGTGGTTGTATTAGATCCCAATTCACCCGAAACTGACCAAGATAAGACGTCAGTTATCTCCCATGGTACCTCTAAGCTTCTTCCTCACAGTACCATGCAAATAGGTTCTTGTACCTCTAGGTGGTATGATAAGTTGCAATTAATTGTGACTCAAAACTCTTGTGTTGGGATTGTATGGGAATCAACCTCAATGGATTCAACTGCCATCTTACGATTTGTTAGTGATATTTACACCGACCTGATTCTTAAGCTAGCAAAGAACATCAATGGGTCCGAATACACCTTGTTTGATGACAGCATTACATTTGTTTCATCAAGAGAAATCGAGAAACCAGATGTCTCTGAGTTGAAATTTGTGAAAACTCCAGAGTTGCAAAACTTGATCCATTTGTCAGAAACAAGATTAGCAGATATTATCAATCAGCACGAATTTAAGGTTTTAAAATTGAAGTTGGATTCACATTTGGTCGCTAAGTTTGATATCTCAATCGATTCGATGTTGCAAATTTGCTTTCAAATTGCCAATTATTCGTTGTATGGTAAGATGGTTAATACTTTGGAACCAATCACAACCAGGAAGTTTAAGGATTCAAGAACCGAGTTAATCGCAATTCAGAGCGACCAAATTTTCAGAATGGTAAAATTATTCCTTACTCAATCGAATGATCAGGAAAAGTGGGATTCCTTCAAACAGTGTTGTATTGACCACCACAAGCAGTATATTGATGCCATGCATGGGAAAGGTTTTGAGAGACATTTATCCACCTTGCTAGAGGTTGCTAAGAATCCCAACACAGTAGAATACCTTAATGAGCTAAACTCAGATTTGAAGCCTATTCCACTCCTTGCCAAAATTGAAGTTCCGCTACTCTCTAATCCATTGATAGAGAAGCTACTCACACCAGAAATCTTAATATCTAATTGTGGTAATCAGGCATTACACTTATTTGGTATTTCGCCAGCCACTGATCAAGGTTTTGGAATTGGATACATCATACACAGTGATAAGGTCATCATCACTGTTTCTTCCAAGTTCAGACAAACAGAAAGATTCTTGAATACATTCAAAAGAGTTGTGGGTGAGTTGAAGTCTATTATCAAGAAAAAGTCCAATTTCTTAATGAGTATCAATGACTCTGAAACCAGAAAGGTTGAAATGAAGAGGCTTAGAATCGAACATGAGTTGGACAAGGTTGAAAATGTTCCTTCCAAGCGTTACCCCATAAAGTTGGTGACCGATAGACACGATGAAAAGGCTGATCTAGCACTTGGTGCAGACTATGGCGTGATGAAAAACCGTTCTAACTCGATTGAAAGCGCTGGAAGTGGAAGTGGTGAGTATGATTTATTAGGAGGATATGGCTACTTCGATTTTGGTGAGTTGGACCTGAGATCGAATATCATATCCAGAAATGAATCATTTTTGAATAGCCATTCGAACCTTCACTCCAACCTAGGTTCCAGACTAGGATCCAGAAACCACAGTCTGACACATCTTAACAAGGTTACGGATGATCTAAAAGAAAAGATGTCTATTTCGGAGAAAATCCGAGAACGCTTAGGAGGAGATCGCTTGGGGAGCCTGGAAAGCGTAAGCGAGGATCCGCCACAACTTCCCAAGAGAGACAAGAAGTCTATTGGAAGGGAATTGGACACCTCAGACTTCAGGTAATTCCTCGATTGGCCTACTTCTGCACCAAACTATTCTTTCTGTATATATACGAAATAAAACCCTTCTGTATATTAAACTTCTAGGCGATGTTTAATGGAGCGAATACACGGAGCACGGTAGATGATTGCCTACGCTCGATGCGAGTAGGCTCTACACGGCTGGAAATGGATGGTTGGGTGCAAATTATCTCGTGTGGGCCTCAATTTCTGGCTCGCGAAATTCTTAGTCATCTTAAACTAGAGTAGCACCAGAAGGTCAAAAATGCATTAGAGTTGATCCACGATAATCATGAAGATTCCCATTGCTGGCATTGCACCTCTTTCCAAGTCCCTCATTCAGATCAAGGGAGTGGATTCAGCGAAGTTTCTCAATGGTCTTATAACTTCCAGGTTGCTTCCCAATGTGGTCAAGAAGAAGCAGCACACTATTAGTGATGCCGAGAATAAGCACGCTAACTTATCCGAAATCATAAAGCTCGATGAAAACTGGGGTTTGATGCACGAAGACATCTACGATCCAGACAACAATATATTAATCAGACGTGATGGGATCAACTCCATGTTCTTGAATTCAAAAGGAAGAATCGTGAATGATTGTTTCCTCTTCTCCAATCCATACCACAACGTCAATAACGCCTTCTCCGAGACCTTGAAGTCGCCCAACTACTTGGTGGAGATAGATAGCAAACTTGCCGGTCTGTTGACCCTGCTTTTGAAGATACACAAGCTCAGTGCCAAAGTAAAAATCGCCGAACAACGCAATTTGTATTCATATTATTACTACAACGATAGTGTTGAGTTCGATCAGTGGATCGACGATATACAGTTTGATAATTTTCAGACGTCAAGTCCAAGTGAAGCATTAGAATCGGCAAATGAATTTATAGAGAAAGAAATAGTCTTCAACAAGAGTGTGGTGAATAACATAGTTGGATTTGCAGTTGACAACAGAATTCCCAACTTTGGACTCAAGATCTTGACTGATATTCCAATCAGCACAAGCAAGGAAACTGATTCCGAATCTCCAACCATTCCGATTGATGATCTTTTCTCCAATTCTTTCAAAAGTCAATTCCCATTTGAAATAACCTCAGAAGAAGTCATAACCAGGAGAAGGTTTATCAATGGTCTCTTTGAGACTCAAGATGCTCCCAAGGATACGTCACTCTTGCCATTTGAATGCAATTTGGATTTTGTCAATGGGTTGTCTCTCGACAAGGGATGTTATGTCGGACAAGAACTTACAATCAGAACCTTCAATAATGGAATCATCCGGAAAAGAATATTGCCCGTACAATTCTATAATATCACAGAAAGCTCTTCAGCACCTGGGGGTATTACTTTAGATCCTTCTGACCTGATCGTGGATGATTTAAAGAATATCCATCAAGCAAGCATGACAAAATTAACTGTCTCTCCATTAAAAGAAGTCGAGGAGGACTCGAAGGAACAGGAAACACCTCAACTGTCTCCATTTAACTCTCCCTTTGGTGCAAGACCTACAAAAAAAAGAAAGGTTTCGAGTGGAAAATTGCTTTCCATTCAAGATAACCTTGGCTTCATGTTGTTAAACCTTGAGGACATCGAGAAAAACGACTTGTATAAGGTCGAGATTCCCTGCTTAGAGGGTGGTGTCAAAGAAGTGGGCTTAAAGGTTTTCAAACCAGATTGGTGGCCCGCGGATGATTAGGAAGTTTGCAATTCAGACCGGCTTGATGGTCTCCGAATAAATAGTAGCATTAGATGCAATGTATATAGTATTAGGGTAGTAGTGCACTTTTTAGTGTTAGGGTAGAAATGTACTTCTCTTCCGCCGGAGACTAGAGTATGGTTTCCTGCACACACAGGAATTGGAAACGAAATTTGAGGTACTGGTATAGACTACCCATCATCCAACATGTCGAAGGATGAAGCACTTACTGCAGGTACGTATCCAAAGAGCCAAATTCCAAGACCAGAAAGCATAAGTAACTGGAATCCTTCATAGCAGGACCAGTTTCTCGCAAGCTTTGGACTCTAGTGGGCCCACTAACATCTAGATGAAATTGCTCTTTACGATAGGCAAATCAGATTATGGGGTATGGCCACTCAATTGAGGCTCAGATCCGCAAAGGTATTGATAGTCAACGTCGGTGGAGTAGGGACAGAAATCGTGAAGAACTTGGTTCTTGGAGGTTTGAACTCTATCGAACTTTTGGATAGTTCTGTGGTCAAGGAAGAAGACTTTGCTGCCCAATTTTTTTTGCCCAACGACGATAGTATCATAGGTCAGCCAAAATTGCCAATAATTGTTGAAAAGATCAAAGAATTGAATAACAGAGTCAAGTTGAACATAAACACCACCCCATTGGAGAGTATATTTGAGGATCCATCATATTTCAAACAGTTTGATTTAATAATAGCCACTGAGTTAAACAGAAGTCAGTTGTTTGCTCTCAACCAACACACAAGGGCGTTGAGCATTCCTTTGTATGCTACTGGATTACACGGATTGTTTGGATATATTATTACAGACTTAATTGAACATTATTCTACACCACAAAAGGAAGCTGGAAATCAACTTAGAGAGCCAAATACCAAAATTAACAGAAGCAAGACTATAACTAAAGTCGATTTTGACAAGGGTAGCAACACTGAAACCTTGACTATTTTGGACGAATTTGTTCCTATTCCCCAGATCTTTAAATCCAAGGAATTACCAAACCAGCTCAACAAAAGGCAATTGAAAAGATTGTCTGCTTCATTTCCCTTGATTTTTTCATTGTTCGAATTTGAAAAGCCATTGAACCCCGAGGATGTGATCGACAAGGAACTTTTAAGAGCCAAGGGTATCCAATTATGTGAACAATACGGTATTCCAACTGCCTCCATAACAGAAGAATACTTGGACATGTTTTCAAACCAAGCCTTCACAGAGTATTCCCCCGTAGCTGCGGTCTTGGGAGGAACCTTGGCCCAAGATGTTATCCAGTTCTTGAGTAAAAAGGAAAGTCCTATAAACAATGTCTTGATTTTGGATTCTGTCAAGTCGGAAATGCCAATATACTTACTATAGTTCAAATGATTATAGAACACGGATGTATAGCTTGTAAGCTAAATGAATAGACGATTGCCTAATATATGGTTGATGAGAATTGATATCAAAATATTAATGTTTGCTTACTTGGAAGGAGTAAATGCCCTGCCTTTTCTTTTCTTAAGATGTGATGTGTCTCTCAAGAACTTTAAGCTGCTGCTTACTTTGAGCTTTAAAGCCTCATACTTTTCTTTCTCACTGGCGATCACTTGAATTAGATTCTCTCTTTCGAGCTTGAACTTTTGATTCTCCTTGACTTCTAAGTCTTCCACAAGATCAAGCTTTTGTCTAGTTTCTTTTATCTTCTCTTGAATGATTGCTGTTTGTTCTTCTGATTCTTTGATGGACGATAAACTATTTTCATACTCCCTATTAGTGTATAGTTTCTCTTCATTTTTTGATTTAATACGAGCAAGGTAGCCTTTGATTTGTGATTGTAACTGCCATATTTCAAGTTGGTTTTTAACCTCTTTGATCTTTTCTTCATCAATTATCTCATTGTCAGAAACATAGTTTTCAACTTGCTTATCCAATTTTTTTATTTCTTCTTGAACCACTTCGATCTCCTTAGTTTTCTTTTCATACCATTTGTTGGAAATAGTGATTCTGGACTCAGCATGATCTATATCATCCAAGATTCCCTTTGTCTTCGTCAAATCTGTTTCTCTTGCAATCCTATCTGGCCTTTGATCAATCTTTAAATAACTTAAATATTCTTGCTCGTAAAGTTCCAGATCTATGAACAAACTATTGAGTGTCATTATCAATCTATGTGTCAAGACACTTGAGTTTGTTGTCAAGGTGTCTGGATGCGGGTATTTGGAGTGGATTCCAATTAAATCACTGTAATCATTCTTCAATGGATTTGTGATATAATCCAGTTCCAAACGTTTCATTTCGTAATATGTTCTTTTCTTCTCCGCTGGCTTTTCACTTTCAACATTGGGCAAATCTGCCGAATCATATGGAGTGTAATGGAAGTGCACTTCAGTTAGCAATGATCTTTCAACATCACTAGCACTGAATTTAGGGATGTTGGGGAGGTCAGGCAAAGGCCAAGGAATAAATTTTGACTTCTTGATTACTGGGGAAGTCTCCCAAACTTGATTAAAAAATTTGGAAGCCAAATATGTCAATTTCTGGTTGTAGATCGGGAAAATGTCCGGGGGAAGATTTCCAATGAATTCTCTTAGGCAAACAATGGAGGAGATTAGCTTGTATAAGTAATCACTCTGATCCTTAGTGTCCGAGTAGTACACCTTGCAGTGTTCGATTGTTTTCATAGGGACCAATCTGATGAAAATTGCAGGATCTAGTCTGTTCTGTGACCTTATCTTGTTAACAAAGTCATGAGTGGTGTCGACGTACCCATCGAAGATTATAAGGGCATCAAATCTCACTGAGTCCAAAACGTCTTGATCTTTCTGTATCTCACCATCACAGGGTAATAAATGGATTGTTGTTAATGCATCGGTGGTTTTTCGTTTCGTTTCCTTTTTGGAGTCCTTGTTATTCACGTCAGTTTTCCCTGACTTTTTCGATTCTCGTTGTACGTTCTGACCCACGTATCTTTTGATCGTCTTCTTACCGTTGCACCCGAGGAGGAGGGCCTCCACGAGGTCAAAGAAACGCGGGTCGTTCTTCATGACCACGCCAATGGTTTTGGAACGCGAACGGTTGGATCCACTCAGAATAATTACGTTCATCAAGTCCTTGAGTACGTTGAACTTGCCGCTGGTGTCGGCCAACTTGCTTGACATATCTTTCAGCAACAAGTTTTTGGGCATGTAGTGCTTGATGAGGAGGTAGGGGTGGGTGCTGACCAACATGCAATTATTGATACAGATTTCCAACGACTTCACGATCAATTCCTTCAGGTCGTTGGTCTCGCAGTACTTGAGGATGTCTGGATAGTGGAGCGACACGATTTGGTCGGTGAGCTCCTTCTGGAACTCATACATCGGCGTAGCGAGGTGGTAGTCGCCAGTGGTGTTGACGTTTCCGAGCTCGAGCTCAACAATAGGCGGCTCGGGAGTGCCATCCAAGATCTTGAGCAAGTCCATGGCAGAAGGCAGATGCTGACAAGCGGTGCACGTGATTGGGCAGTGGAGGCTTTTTGGTCAGGCGGGAGGAGTGTTGCCTGTGGAAGGCTGTTAATTTAGTCCAGTGAAGGGTGCAACAATTTGCTATGCAATTGTTACAGTCGACAGGCGCTGCGATAAGTGCTCACGTGAGGCGACCAGTGCGGTTGGTGGCCGCGGAAGTCAAGCGAGCGCTAGAAGGTGCGAAAAAGCAGGAACAGCCAAGCGAGGCCACGGAGTTGGGAGGAGGAATGGTGGTGGAATACACACGTGAGGAGAGAAGGAAGATCGGGGAGGTCGACGAGACAGTCGAAGTATCGCATGGGAAACGGTTGCAACTGTCCGATGGGGTGAAATCAGGAACCCTGTCCGAAGAGACACGGGAGAGGCTTGGAGGTGCCCAAAATAGCGGTTCCTTGGCCGAAACGGGAAAGGAACACCCATAAGATTAATATCTGCAGGCATATCAAGGCTGGGAGCATGTTGGGGTTCAAATTACCTGGGAAAATTACTCGAGCACTCAGATACTCGAGTTATTAGGCCCTTTGGGCCAGAAAGGCGACACCAGAGGGCCAACATGTGGCTATTCGTGTTTGCTGCACCTTGGTGCATTTATATGTCTCTGTGCCTACGTTTTAATACGAATGTTTGTGTATTGTCGTAAATGTTAGACGTGTGGCTACGTTAGTCAGTCAAGATTCTTCTACTAACTAGGGTCTAACTACTTAGGTGGGAGGAATTTTTCAGTGAGCCTCGTTTGAAATAGCCCAGTTCGTACAAGTGATTCTTGGGCCCAGTAGTCACTTGGCTGATCCTTATGAAAATTCATTCGCCAGCTAGGAATTGGGCTCTGTCAAGCCAACAAACCCCTAAACTTTCCAGAGCTTGACGGAACGATCCCATCCACTACTTACAACCTCTAATCCAGCCGCTCCCTGCGTCACATCACAGCTCATGACTTTATCGTTGTGCCCCTTCAAACTCTTCACCCTCACCCAGTTATCTGCAGACCAGATATTCACCAGTCCATCGTACGACGACGTCACAAGCGAGGTGCCGTCCCCAGAAAATTTCACGTCACTCACAAGCTTGGTATGGGCAGGAATCGAGAAAAGCTCGTTGTTGCGGCGAAAATCCCAGATCTTCACGGCACTGTCTCCACTGGCACTGGCCAAATGGTGCCCATTTGGCGACCAATCAAGTGCATAAATACCTGAGATATGCTTGTCAAATGTTGCAATTGCTCTTCCACTACGGAGATCCCACACTTTTATGATTCCGTCGAGTCCTCCCGATGTGAATAGACTTCCATCGGGATGGAAGGCTCCCGCGAATACCTCTTTGGAGTGCCCCTCTTGTTGCACTAGTTCCGTATGCGTTTGAATATCCCAGAGTTTCCAAATCTGATCAAATGAAGTGGTTGCCACGTACTTTGCACTGGGGTGGACCAGGACCCCCGAGATTCTTTGATCATGCGCGTTCTTGATTGAATGGATCGGTTTAGTATTTTCAAGGTTCCAAACATTCAATGTTCCCTCGTTACCCCCACTAACCAAGCTGTTTTCCAACCACTCCAAGGTGACTTTTTCTGTGTGGTGTCCCACCAATGATTTGACCGTAGTCAAATCTTTCAGGTTGAGAATGTAGACGGAGCCATTCCACGAGCCAGCCGCAATATACGTGGTCCCGTTAGCCATCGGCTTGCAGAATCTAACCCTGGAAATAGCTCTTGTGTTTCCAGGAATCAATTGGGTGCCATACAACTCGCATTTGGCTAGAGAATTGTTGATCTCTCGACGATGATTGAGTATGGAGACCATGTCCTGGTTCTTATTTGCCTCTCCTCGTAAACGATCGACTCTTCTTGAAGCCCTCATCAAAGAGTACTTGAGAATATCCAATCTAGAATCGTAAAGTTGCTGGGTTCCCGGAGTATAGAAGTCCTCGTCGTCGTCCTGATCATCAGATACATCATCTTTAGCCATTTCCTCGTCCTCTTGGCCAAAGTAGGTTATTTCTTTTGGAGCTTCCTGGACTAATTTGATTAAACGCTGTCTTCTATCAGCCCTGTCTTCTCCAAAATATGTTATTGGCTCTCCCATCTGTCTGAGCGCCCGTCGCACGTCATCATCGTTGGTTGGAATAGTATGTGATTGTGACTGTTGTGGAGTGTAGTCGTTGACTATAGGAATCTGGTCCGTATTCATTTCACAATCCTTCTTTACCGAGTTACAGTGTTCCGGAGAGATGCTCCCAGAGGATGATGTATGCCCGTACTGAGAATTGTCGAGGTCTGTGACTTGTAAAGGTAGAGGTTGTAGATTGGTAGCATCTCAGTTGAGATGAACTAGTGATCACGTGACAATGGTTGCAATTTTACGTCCTACATGGAACGACGAATAGCAGTAGCAAGGAGAGGGGCCATCCTTGATTCCATTTGATGAAACAGAATTCGCATTCCTCTATTTTCTAGAATACTAGTGTGGACAGTAAATTGAGAGGATAAACAAGTGGATAGTAGTTGAAAAATTATAGAGCCTACAGTGTGTGAACTTAGTAGAAAAATGAAGGATACTTCAGCTGTCTTCTATATTTGGCCACTATTGCGCAGAAAATGTAGTACGTATAGTTTCTCAGAAGCCAATTCGCATTCTTATATGTAACAATCTATAATATTGCTGTTGTATTTCAAACTATTCCTACAAGCTATCTCTATCAGTGGTTACCCTTGATAACCCTGGTAGCAAATTGGGCAAAGTTCTCCTTATCATTTACCATTTCATCGAGGTCTGGCTGGCAAAAAACTGCCAATGTGTTCCTAGAGATGTGACTGACGCTGGTGCCTCGCACATAATGTGGCACAGCCTTAAAATTACCCTGAGAGACCTCTTCAAGTGCCGATCCAGTCTGGAATGCAAGACAATCACTAGGAATTTTCACTTGATGGACATTATTATGACGATCACGAATATACAATCCGGCTTGCGGATCGGGCGACTTTTCGAGATCATGAAGAAGGCCCTTGGACTCATCCAAGAATAACGCAGAAGTCAATCCGGTAATGCACGAATGATCGACGTGTTCTCCGCACCAATCGTCGTCGGATGACTTGTCCTTCGAATCGGAGGGAAAATAATGTAATAATCTTGCTTTGGTACATGTACTGTTCTTTACTATTCTTTCCAAAAAATCCAGTTGATAAACACCCTGGTGACCCATGAACTTGTCACAGTTGATGGCTATGCTTTGGCCGACTTCGATTATAAGATTACACAACTCCTTGGTATCTTTTTCAAAGTTCTCCAACCCTTCAACATCCGTGGGTGGCCATATGTTGGGCGAGGTGTAGGATTTGTAGTCTTGAAACTTGTCACATAGTTCTGGGGTGGGTCCTTCTAGACGGGGGTCCCGATGAAACGCACAGTTGACATAGTATGAGCCTTTGTTGAAATCCGGCTCGCCTGTGCTGGCCAAAACTTCTTTGCCACAGGACCAGCCAGTGAGCCACGTCGACTCTTCACATTGGAGTTTGTCTAATCTTTCTTTTGGAAGCGTAGCAAGTACGGAAATACTTTTCAATACCTGTAATCTTAGTTGGTGGAATTTGGCTGGTAGATCCTTCACGATTATAATCCCCAAGGAGTCGGGACCAAATGCCTGTGTCAAGGTGGTGCCATCTAGTCCTTGCTGGAGCTGTTGAAGGGTCACTGATACTGGATCAGGCATGACTGATGGTGAGTGGTTTTGGATGAAAATTTGAAAAGCTGAAATGTGGAGATAAAGTTAAAAAGAAAGCCCGACGCGGGGGTCGAACCCGCAACCTTGTGATACCCTTTAGACAGATGAATAAAAGTCACACGCTCTAGCCATTGAGCTAGCCAGGCTTAGTAATACTATCTTAGGACACTATAAATGATCAATACTACTGTATTGAAAATTTTTCCAGTTTTCAAAACCCATTCCATACCGCAATATCAGCCTGAAGATCACATTACCTAAATAGGTTGAAAGAAATAGATTTTAACTTTAAATTAAGGGTATTTAATCTTTATTATCCTAACTGGGTCGATGGTTACTTCCATTGACGTTTTTGCCCAAAAAAATCTTGAAAATTCTTCATTGCGAATGCGATTCCGAATTAAATCAAAAAAATGGTGTGTTATCCATTGCAATAGGTATATAGTCAGTAGATTATAATATACTTCCCATTAGCAAAAAATAAAAAATCAAAAGTTCTCGAAGTAACGACCGTTAGATTCATTCTACATCAAAACCACATCCTACCTGGTTCATATTATTTCTGTTTTATTAATCATACAACATTATTTAAATAGAAAAGCCTCCAAAGACCATGGTAACCAAGAAGGCGTAACCAAGCATCATATAGAGGTCCTTAGATTGGCCAATCAATGAAGAGGCCATACTTGTCTTGTTTCCGGTACTTTCTGGACCGTTAGTAAGACCAGTTTCAGTGAAGTTAAGACCAGCATCTTGACTAGAATCGAACTTACCATCCCAACAGTATCTTTGGAAACATTGCTTGCATTGGTCCGACTGCTCGATTCCTAATCTTTCTTGTTCTCTTCTGATGATGGCACAACCCACACAAGCGGACCACTCCGAGTCCAAAGTGTGGTTCAACCTACTGGCAACTTCGAAACCATTTTCAATCATTCCTCTCTTTTCTTTTTCATCGTACTTCATCTTGAAAGTGGAGGTGTTGGAGAAGTAACTGAATGGTCTGTTGGCAATATAAACCACCAATGGAGAGTCGTAGATATCACTCTTGCCGGTTCCGTTACTTGTGATACTTACCAAGCTACTCAAGTTCTTAGCATCACATCCGAAAAATGCTGGTCTGGAAGTCAAATTTAAGTTTCTAAACGTGGCTGCATCCGGAACATGGGGGAAAATAGTACCATTGTCTTGCTTCAAGGTTTGTCTGTCGTATGTCATGACCAAAGAGGTACCATTGGGCCAATTAGCATCGGTGTCTGCAGAGTTATCAAATGCGAAGATGACATCGACCTGTCTTTCCGGTTGAATTAAAGGCGATAATGGGACGTTTTGGCCGTCTTCACCTCCATCCACCAAGAATAACGACTCGTTTTGGGCAATGGTGGGAACATCACCCGCACTGGAGTGATAGAATGGGTTTGGCTTGTACACAGCAATGTCGTTCTCGTCCTTCGAGATGTCACTGAGCAAACCGGAAATCACGCTGGTGATTCTGGAGGATAATCCGGTGGTGTTGATTTGCAACAAAAATTGGTTGAAGAGAGAAGAGGAAGTTCCCATGATGTAGCCTGCATTATCAAACCCTTGCACGCAAGTTCCGTTGGTTCTCCCGTCACTGACGCCCGAACCCAAGTACTTGACCTGGGAAAATTCATAGACCGAAGGGTCCCAGGAGCCCAATTCGAACGCATTGGTCTCAAAAACGGTGGAGTTGCCGTTGAGGATGAAAGTGTTTGGCGCTCTTCCGTTCAGCACCACGATGGGGAACGGCATCTGGTGGGAGGTGAAGGAGTCTGCGTCTTGTACGGTGGACCAGGTGAGTGCTGCACCCGAGTCTGAAGTGGTGGAGAAGAACTGGTGCGACAATGCTCTGCCCCAGATGTCGGTTAATGACACTTCGAAGCCTGCGTCACGCTTGGCGTCGATATCTTTTCTGATGCCGTTGTAGTACTCGAATGTCTTGATGATGTTGATACCACCGTAGTTCACAATGGAGTGGTCCAAGTCCCAGATCTTGCCGTCATCGAGGATCTGCTGCACCGATGTGAAGTTGTTGAGGGCAATGGTGCCCACCAACCAGTTGCCTCCCGAAAGGCCAACCAAGTAGGTGGACGCTTGCAACAAGCCACCCAAGCCGGACTCGTAGGCACCTCTGGTTCTGTTGTCCAACGCAGCCAACTGACCTGCTCCTGCCAACATGGCACGGTAGCCACCACCAGAAAATGCGAGGCCGATGGTCAACGACTTGTTGGCCTTGTTGTGGAGGAAATCGGCCACATCGAAGTCGGTCATGTTGCAGTGGTTGAGGAAGGCCTCCAAGCTGGCGTCGGACACCTGGTGCCGGTTCTTGATCCAGTCGGCCTCGTTGGGCGAGATGCTGTCTGCCTTACGGGTGAGGGTGCCTGAGGGACAGTCCACCTTGCCAGGCGCGTACGAGTCGGTAGGGGACCATGCGGAAGTAGTAGCGAGGGACGCTAATACGAGGGTGAGGAGCTTCATGGCTGGGAGAGAAAAACTGCCCGTTGGTGGGGAGAAAAGCTAGTGCGGGTGGTTATAAATGACGATGTTTGCAGTGGGCACGTTCGGGAGTGAGAGTGGGGTGCTATAAATACATAGGCGGCTGGTACTACCAGTCGGGAGCATCGGAACCGTGGTGTTATTGTTCCCGTGCCGTTAATTTCAGTGTAGAAGGACTCGGCGCGCGGGCTCGTACCGCGATGGGTGAGACGAGGCAGTGGGGGATCTGGGATGGGGAGTAAGAGGGGGGTAGCAGTGAGTGGGTAGCTATTTGGGGTTGGATGGGTCCACGGCTTGGTTCCTGGTGGTTCCTGGTGGTAGTGGTGGAATAGACGGCACGGTTCGAGAGTTAAGCCTCGTGCGTCACTGTGCTTCGCCCTGAATCATCGAAATGAAAAATTGCCGGAATCGCTCAAGTTGGGCTAGTTGGGCCAAGGCCGGAAGGACCAGTGTTTACACTGGCTGCTGAAACATCACGTACTGGGATGGTACAAATGCCTCAGCAGCCAGTTCAGTTCCCAGCTGGAACCCTCGGGCGATGCTCAGCGAAGATCATCGGTGCATGCCGAGACTGGCGGGCAGCAATCGTGACCCACAACCCCACGAGCTGCTACAACCTCGTCTGCCCACGCACACAACCCAGCAAAGGCGAATATCATATGGGCGTGGTGGTGGTGGATTCAGCCCCGGTGGATGGGAGTATAATTGGGACCACAACCAATCCTGAGGTTGTGAGCGCGAGCTGGCATATACGATAGTCTATTGAGCCAGGGAGTCAAAATCACAATAGACACGAGGTGTTTGACACCCGAGAAAAGAACAATAGGATGTGTCAAGTGGCTTGTTTATATGATTAGAACATGTATTGATCTACTTTCAACGTGTGTATTGGCCAGGATTATTGTATTTATTGTAACTCTCTCTAAACAGCACACAGTTCTTGTGACCTGCACTGGGTTCTTTCGCAGCCACCAGAAACAGACAAAGGCGATGTACCTCAAGTTGGTGCCAGTTTGCGAGCCACACACTCCAGAATGGTGGCCGAGTAATCCCGTTTGAGCGCTTCTCTGTCATCTCACTGTCAGGACTTTGTCAATCACACTGTGGATTGTGGACTATTTCGCACTCCTCTCAAACGGTCGCCCATGGGCAAGTTTCTGGAATGGAACTCAGCCACACCGGTAACCGGGGTATACTTTGTGGAAAATCGAACCAGTGTTCTCTTGAACTTCCTTTTCTCCACAAGCTTTTTCATGGAGAGAACCAATGCTTTCCATCGATGATTCTTGACCTTGCATATTTGGAGTAGCTTAACTTGAATTCTCTCGAAGTCATAATTGCATGCCTCCAAAATTGTCTCGAGTTCGGCATCATCCACGATTTCTCCCTGGCTATCCAAAAACGCACGCACCTGGGTCCTCATGATTCTCTTATTTGCATTTGCTCTATCCATGGTACTATCTACCATGATGGTTAATGAAGCTCTTTTGCACGATCCAGGGGATATGTACGATTCAAATAGAGAAATGAATTTTTCTCGGGTCAAATTACTCAACAAATCAATATCTAATTCGTCGTGCCCCATTTTCCCCGAAAACGAATAGCTCTTGTTGAAGATTTTTTCCCAAATATGCTTGTGGTCCAAGTTACTTTTCGACTCATTGTCAAAATTGGTGCTGTGTTGGCACGGTGAAATAGAATGCCACATATTATGAGGAAGAGACTCATCTGATCCACCATTAACGCTTAAGCTTAGAAATGGTTGCAAAATGTGGTTGCGAAACTCTTTTTCGGTTAAAGTCTGTAATTCGTGGTGCAAATCATTGAAGAATGCTTCGACTTCCTTCTGAAGCTCTTTGTTATCATGCGAGGAACTCAATATAACCAAATTAATACCAATCAGATTTCGATGTAGTACTGAATTGCAAAGAACTGTGTAAGCCAACCGTCTTTTTTGCCTCAATTCATTGCTCGCATGCATGGACAAGTAATATGCAATAAGCTCACAATAAGCCTGTGCAGTCGCATTGCTCCTCTCCCCAAATTGGATATATGTGTACAAAGTATTCAGGGGATCCTCTGTGTTGAAGTTACTTGTAGTATAAACATAATTGATCCCTGGAGAAATGTAATAGCTAGATGGTGAATCTCGCACTGAGGAATTGCTAGCTGAACCATCATTGATTCTTGATATTTGTGTCGAAATCTCGAATGCCTGATTTACTTCACAATCTCCAGTAATCAAAACTTCAATGTATGATCTTTCACCAAAAAGATTTGTTCCGAAATCCACTAAATCTTTGATATCTACCAAATCTAAACTGTCAATTCTTTCATCCAATGTCCAGATATTCTCCTCTAAAAACATTAGGGATCCAGAAATTGCCTGCGATATTCCATTTTCTTTGCTGATCTTGGTGTAATCTTGACGTAATTTAATCCTTGCTTTCATGAACTCTTTGTAAGAGATGGACGCTAAGCATTTGGTAATAAAATCTTTAAAATCTTGCAAAACAAACTTCAATATCCGGAATATACCTAGGGTTACTCCACTTAAATTTATGCAAATCGACTCCTTACCAGTTAGCAATGGATATATACCCCATTTGTAACCTACTAACTCGGCATTGTACATTCTCCCTTTGAGTCGGGTCCCGAACAATGCACATATTAACTCTACACACATGTGAGTATGGGGAGAAGATGAATTTCGAAATGGTTGAATTTGAAAGGAGATTGTTGTTTTCGAGTTTGTATTGGGTTCATACTCTTTCTTATACCAGACCTCCATTTCATCATTAGTGACTATTAGTATGGGTTCGGAATTAACATTACTGCTCGTACAATATGCGGTAGATGCTATGGCTAGATTATGTGACAAATCGCATATTTCTTTTAAAGAATGAAAGACAAAGGGATTGGATTTTGGGAAGAATTGCTGTTTGCTCTCACCGATATGAAATGGTACTGACTGAATTTCTTGAAATATATTTATGCAATTAATAGGAAAAAGTTGGTACTCAAAGTTAAAATGCTGATCCACTTGTTCTCTTGAATTTTCCGGTAGAAATAATAAATCATAATTAAATAACAGGGATAATATCCGAGACTCCGGGTAATTTATAATAATGTTAAACAGATTCATCCCGAAAACCTTTTTGGTTAATGCTAAACATTCTAGTGCTTTCTGGTAAAAGAATTCTTTTGAATTGACGATCTCATCCACTGAAAATTCGTCATCTAATTCTTTGGTTCCTCTTAATATGTTGGTGTATCCGAATTCAGAAATTTCTGCATTTGTCCTCATTGCCAATTCGGTCAATCCATCCATAGAAATTGATTCAAAATCATGATAGTAAAAACTTATTTTGGAAATGGTAGTAAACTGAGAAATATATTTTGCAAGGTAATCCACTGGAAGGGCAGTTATCAGATTTATATGAAATAAAACAATTTTGAGAAGTGATGTGAAATTATTAAAACCCTTCTTTGTGACTTGGAAATCCAAAACTAGAATCCGGTTTTTCTGGGCCAAATTCCTTTCACTGACTAATAGTGTCAAGATGTAGTCGAGATGGTTTGATAATAGATGAAACAACGAATTTTCAGATTCATCACCCAAAAGATTGCACCAAATTTCGACAAAACAGGAAGGAATCTCGGGCAAAATAGGAAAACTCAATTGGAAGCTTGAATAAGGTCCTTTTATGAATAATAGCCTATTCAAGTTGGTGAAGTCAAAAATGCATTTCAGTGAACTAGTAGAAGCTTTGACTGTTATAATACTCTTTTGAGGACTTGAAACTGAGTTATAGCTTGTTATGGAACTTTTCTTTGAATGAGAGAAAGAACAAGCACTATTCATGTTGCCTACCCTACTTCTTGAAGAAGAGCTATCAAAATAGGCATCGGTCTGTTCTGACTTATCTACTTGTAATAAATCTTTAATGTCCGCAAAATTGGAGCATATTAATTTCTGGAGATAGTTTAGTGATTGAGGGCCCAGAATAGCCACTCCGATATTTGGGCCAGTGAAGTACTTTTCGAAGTATTCAACTAACTTTTTCTTGATATTGATTGATCTGAGTTGGGGAAGTTCTTTTAAGGTGTGTACAGAGCCTGTACTAAATTGATGGAATGGATGATTCTTGTTGCTAATTATTCTTAAGCCATGATATTTAATTTTCTCCAAATCGGCCAAGTTAATGTTGTGCTCATTTTGTATTACCAGAACCTCATTTTGAATGAATTTTTCAAAAAATAAAGGGCACTTGAAGAAAGAGCTAAACATGCGGAGAGCCCGATTTAATATCAATTCACCATCAAAGTCTTTTGCCGATACCGGAATTTCGAAGAAGAAACATGTATTCTCACCAGTGGTAAAAGCGTTGGAGTTTCCTCCATATTGGTTCATTAGATTGCTAAACCCGTTATGTTCAGGGAACTCTTTGGTACCTAAGAAGAGCATATGCTCACATAGATGAGCCAATCCCAACAATTCTGGTGGATCATTGAAACTTCCGGTTCCGACAGATACCGAGCATGAGATCTTTGGCAAAGTTGGCGAAGAAATAAGGAGGCAATTGATTCCGTTAGGGAGTCGTATGAGTCTGTGCGAACTTGTAGAATGGGCAAGAGACTTCTTGAATGTAACTGGAATAGTTGTAACAGAATGAAACATTACAGTGATTTCAGAAATAACAGGACCAGTTGGTTATAAAATCTGAGAATCGAGGAACTCTTTTGTGTAGGTTTGGGTGCAAAATTTCCAAATCGAGCCTCGACAATAAAGTTGCATTAAATTTGAGAACACCGGATCAGACTGTTTGTATAGTAGAGCATTTGGTACAGCCGAAGAAATCCCGATGTGTCTAGAATTCTAAAAATGAAAAGGAATGGCATCAACTCTAATACTATTAAAGAGAAGACTCCATAAATCGTGGAAATAATCTTGATGTCAGAAATCAGCTATGAATAGTGTATTATTCAAAGATGCCGTACTAGAGTCTCTTATGTGTTACTTCTATCACTATATATTTGACAACCAGCCATCATCACTATAGATACAGAGTGGGCAATGATTGTGTTTCTCTTGTTGGTATTAAAATCCCCATATCCTTCAATTCAAACAAACACCCTTGAAGTCTGTTACCAAATAAGCATCTGGGAGAATTTTATCTTTGTTAATATCTTTCTTGTCATTTTCGTAAATATGTAGGAAAATGTCCTACAAATTGAATAATCACAAGAACAGAACTTAGATGCCGCCTGTTTAAGTAGTAATTTCGCCTCTGTAATACAACATTGACAGGGTTTATTTTAAACGACTACTTCTGAATTTTTTTTCCAATAGTAACTTTTTAGAAGATAACCTTTCTAATAGATCTCCAGCACTGACTATACTGTACCAATTATGGACCTCAGTAAGCCCAAGATTCTCCTATACGGGTTTATTGCACTTAACTTTTATGGGAACTTTATCGTAGAAACTCCAGAGATTCTTTTTACTAATGGCAATCATATTATGATCCACTCACTAGATAACCAAGTGTATGTTATGTGCACATTACTACTCCTCAACTCACCCTTTCAACAACAACTACAGCTACGGTATCGGAACGAAAAGACTCAGAGAAGAAATATTGGCTTAGGTAATTAAGTCGCGAGGAAAGCAGGATAAAAATAGGTGCTCTAGATGACAATGCCCCTTAATACGAAGTCTATAACAGAACGTCCTTACATACCTATGAGTAAGGTGGACTGAAAATATACTTCCATATCCAAGAACATACAGCTGATAACAAGTTTATTGTTTCTAATTGCGGTATCAGTTGCAATGCTGATTGTGCAGATGAATCCATTACAAAATAAGTATTGCTTCATACAACTTTACACAGCTACTTTAATAGAACTGTCTACTGTCAGATATCATGTTATAATCAACAAAGGGGCGAGAAACACAAAAGTTTTGACAGAAGTAACTGAATTAGGTGGTGAAGTGACGCTCTATAATGAGTATCATGAACATGATATCATAAAACTTATCGAGGACAGTAACAATGAAGAGGGTATTTCCTACGACTCTACATATGACTATTGTGAACAACGGAGAGAAGTATAGGAAATTGCAAGTAAAAACACACTACTGGGACTGCTGTAACCTGGGGCAAGAGAATGGTAGGTGGAAAGCTGCTCTTGACTTAGGCCGTCAAAACAAATCAGGTGGGAACATCGGTTACTTTAATCTGTGGCTTTTTAGTCTGGTGATTTTCCGCATTGGTGGTGTGGGCTTTCTTTCAATTTAATCACTAGAACAGGCTAAATCTTGTTGAGTAACAGAGTAGGGTAGGAGACCAAAATGTAAGTCTTGGCCTTAATTGTAGTCTAGCAAAGGAATAGAATGGGCGCTTTCCATTTTTTTTTTTGCTAATGGGACATTATAATCTTCTCATAAAATCTACTGATTATATATCTATTGCAATGACCATTATGGTCAAAAATCAATTTTTAAGTTCGCTTTTTGATGATTTTTTGCAACTTGGAGCGCTCCTCAGCTTAGTACAAGAACACAGTTCCGAAATAAGGATATCCTCCGTAGGCTATCCATCCTACCAATTTTCGTTTTGGCATAATTGATGCTTTAGATTAATCGCTGTCCGGACCACGGTCTGGCTCTTTGCTTGGTTTAGACAAATTAGGAAAACCTCTTTAGATCATATCACGTGACCGTGTTACTAATCGTTTTCTTGGCTAATTGTCTATCGGCCCCACAAACAATGTAACGGTTTGAGATCACGTTACAGTTGATTACGTACGATCCTAGGACTTGCTGACTAATCCAGTTAAATGAAGNTGACTCGGATTATATGATAACTCCGGATGTCGCATAAAGTGGCGAGACATTAGTTGAACAGTTTTATTATAAGTCCGATAGATGCAGTTGATGACAAACAACTGGACACTGCTGACAAATGCAGAGAGACAGACGATGAGCAAGAGGAGTCCGTACCATCGTAAGAGAGAAGTATAAAAAGAGTAGATAGAACTAGATTTATAAAGACAAGGAATTATTGGAGAACTCAAGAAGAGCAATAGTTCCGAGTGACAGATTACTTAAGATTCAATATATTATTAAGAGTGATATTATTTAAGATTAAGACGTTTCCAAAGAATTACATAAGTTACTGTTAGAGATACTATAGGACGGACACTATAGTGAAGGGACATTTATTAGTAAGAGGTTACTAATAGAACATTAGATACAGGACTTAAGTTTAATCTGTTACAAACAACAAGAAATATCCGATATAGTGTAACGGCTAGCACGGTTCGCTTTCACCGAGCAGACCCGGGTTCGACTCCCGGTATCGGAATTCGTTTCTTTTTTCTCCTTTTGCTGGTCACGGGGTGTGGTGATAATTACATCACCACCATGCAGGAGAGGCTGGTACTGCCCTGCGATAACGACACAACCAGCCTCGAGCCAGCGCATTTTGCCACTATTGCAGCGCCTTTGCAGGGCTGTCCCCACGCTGGATGCATCCCTGCCCCAGAATCCCCAGCCATTGCAACCACTTTTTGGCTTCTGTGCTGACAGCTATTCCCAGCCTGCGGTCGTGCCGATCCAGTTGTGTGACCCCGAAAAAGAAACGCTATCGCAGCGTGCACTCCTCAACCCAACCCCCTACAGAACAATAATATAGAAGGAAGGCCCCACCACCACCTGGAGATAGAAAACTTTCAAGATATCAACCGTTCGTGATTCCCAACCGACTCGTCGCAAACGCAGCCATAACCAAGCGCAAACCACCTCAAATAGCACGCATAGCATAGCAGAGATCCTCGTGATAGCATAGCAGAGTTCTCTAGCCACCATCCGTGAATGATTCAGATATAACCATTCCATGTCCAATCAATACGTGTATAACAACTACCAGTACTCCCCCAGCATGGGGTACGCCAGTCTCAGCAGTATGAACGCAGGCGCCAACGGTGGCAACAACAGCAACAACACCAGTCCGTTGTTCAACAACTTGAACTACGTCTCTCCCACCAGCACCTCGTACTCGAGCGTGTCGTCTGCATCGTCGGGCAGCGGCAGCAGCAGCAGCATGATGTCCACCAGCAACGGCTCGGGCTCCAGTGCCACCAGCTCTGCCTCGACCGGAGGCTCCAACTACTCGTTCCACACCCCTAGACTTAGATACTACCTTTCCAAATCATTTGACATCGAGGACGACATGGAGTTCTGCCCCGACATCCCGGAACAACAGTACTCCTCCAGCCCCAACTCCAAGAAATTCAACCCATACACCGCCAGTGTGTTCTCGCCCTCGCAGGAGGCTCCACCCTCCACCTCCTCGCCACGGGTGCACACGCCCCGGCTCAAGAAACCGTTGGAGATCATCCACCCACAAACCAAGTTGAGGGTGGGCTCTCCAGCTACTCAAAAGTAGACGGTTATCGGCCTGGTGCCTGCCGCATTAATTACGAGTATTGATGAAGTTTGTTAAATTCTATTTTCTGTCTTCTTTGTGTCTATATGTATATTAACCGTAGATAAGTGGCATAATACATGCGAAACTTGACTGGAGATGTGCTTGACGCACCGCGAACAGTGTCGCCCTTAAATCCTACAGTGATTTCTCCTGCTTGACGCACACAGAACAAGTGTACCTTGCGCTATCAGCCCAATTTCAACATGACGTGCGCATCCTCCGCAGACCGGAGCAAATGCCCGGAATTGCTACCTAGCTTGTCCTCGATCTATTGTTCTTGTTGTTCCTGAGAGATTCTTAACGCTTCTACCAGGCTGGCTCCACATTGCTGCCAATGTCGCTGTTGTCTCCCTAATATTGCTATTGTGTTGAGGTCAGGGCAGATTCCTTTTTGAGTCCATGTCAATCAAAGATCTGGCTATTGTCTCCCATATCCTGGTCGGGGTCTGGTGCCGCCAGATGCAACGTTTCTAGGCCTAAGGGTAGCGTGCCAGCATTCCGCTTTTGCAACACCCCTTCAACAAGGCTTTATGGCCGTTACCAAGTCATAATCTTCCCCACCTGACGCAGAGTGGGGTACCAAATGTCCTGTGAAGAAATTGTCGCTTATTTCGGGCTCGATTAATGTATACGCGACACTGCCCGTTTACTTAACCCATAATCTCCGCATAATACACGCTAGTTTGTAACACTCGACCACGTCCAACATACTTTGTGTAACCCACAGGGTTTGTTCGGTGGGGGTTTGTAGAACCATGCACGTTAGGCAATACCAGCCTGGAGATGAGGGTGTGAAAAACTATATAAGGAACCCAGATCCCCACACATTGCTTCTTTATTCAACAAAGTAGCTTAATCCTCCGCTATGCACTCATACCACTTAGCCATTGCCTTGATTGCTTCTGCTGCCAGCGTTAACGCTGCTGACTCTCAACAAATAGATTTTGTCACCAGATTGGTTCAGGATGCAAAAGCCAACGCCAAGGACTATTTGAACTTCATACAGACCGCTAAGACGTCGATCCCTGCAGAATTCACTTCCTTGGCCAGGGAGGTCCAAACCTACAAAGACGATTCCTACACCACTTTGATTGACGCGCAAAGCATCAATGTCAGTGAGTTGCAATCGTTTGCCACTGCCTTGCCATGGTACAGCAGCAGAATTGCCCAGAACAACGGAGGTGGCTCATCCCAGGCTTCCTCAGGAGCCTCCTCGGCCGCTGGTGGATCTAGTTCCAGGTCCGGCTCCTCCTCATCAGCAGCCGCTTCGTCTGGTTCTTCCTCCCAATCATCCTCTGCTGGCATTGGTGCTATGATTGTTCCTATGGGAGCAACCCTCGCAGGGGTGGCCGTTGCTTTGCTCTAGTGTATTTATTCCAATAAACCAATCACCATCTGGTAACTAATGTAGAGGCGGAGTCCGCCACAATAGTGGTGACATTTGGGACTGACCGCAGCGAGATACACTAAATCGGTCCACCGGACACATACCCCGACTGACATCTTCTAGATCCCCACTTTTTGATGGAGGATTCATAACCTGGTTTGTGTGTTTTAACTGGATTAGTGCATATTATGTGCCCAGCTCCAGAATTCAGCCATTATTACAGTACTGTATATGGCACTGTGTAAAAATTCAAAAATAATGACTCCTACGCGATTCGAACGCGTGCATCTTTACGATAGTAGAACTTGAGTCTACCGCCTTAACCGCTCGGCCAAAGAGCCATTTGATATTGAAATTGAGTAGTGACATTCTTATTATCTGTCGTGATTACGTGATCTGAACCATACGCCTCGATTTATTGTAATTTGTGTTGCGCACCCAGTTGCAAAAAATCATCAAAAAACAAAAATAAATCCAAAAATGAATTAAATTATAACGGTTTGACCATAATGGTGAGTTATCCATTGCAATAGGTATAAAGTCAGTAGTTTATAATATACTTCCCATTAGCAAAATAATAAAAAAACTTCCAACGAACAAGCTCGTCTTCCCACATCCAACAAATTCTCTTTCCTCTCCTCCAGCCACAGCACTATCCAATGTGTTATCTAGCATGATCCGCTCCATATACGTTCCAAAATGATGTCATGTGTCGTGGACCAAGTTGCAATAATCATCAAAAAAACAATTTATTGTTACAAATTTACAAAAGTTTGACCGCAATAACGTGATATCCATCGCAATATGTATACCTCCCATTACTAAAAAAAAGTCAGAACAAGGCCGCTCGATGAAATTTGTTATGTTTAGTTAGTTTACGCCCAATACGAGTACTGATGACTCAAGTGGATTTTATATTTTCAACAATATCTTCTACCATTCTGCTACGAGAAATTTCCCATCTTTAACTATTTACCTAAGCTCGTTTATATCGAAAACAACCCTAAAATTAGTCACAGAACTGCCAACATTCAAATATGTATCTTAATACTCATAAATAAGTATTGTAATCAATGTAATTCTAGATCATGATAGTTATTATTTTGCTCGATACAAAGACGTGTCAATGGTTGTTTGGACAAGATTGCAAACCTAGCACCAAATTGAGTTTCCCCGAAAACAGAAATCACAACTTGGAGAATAATAGAGTCTAGAATGTGATCACTGGATCGAGATACTCGTCCCTATGCCCGAGGAATTTCTCTGAAACACACAATATTAGAGCTATAAGCACATACTAGAAGCTGAATGATGCTGTTTTATCGCTGCTTTGTCTTTTGCACATATATTGCTATTCTTTGAGGAAATTTCGTTCTTCGTCACCTTAAGGTCAAAAAGTATAATTCCCGATCTGTTCTTGGTAGATAGCAATGCTTAACTAAATGGTCTACTAATCCCCGAGTCAAATTGAGCCACGCATCTATTGGAAGTAAATGGGAATAACCCCACTTCTATTGGCAAAGGAACAATGCATTGAGCATGACCCAAGAATAAATCTGCCTAACATAAAATTGATCACTCACAAGTACTACTTCACGCACCACAATCCTCTTCTATTTGGAAAAGTTCCGCAGCTATACTAGACATTGACCAGCCTCTCAAAGTAGCAGTACATTTTTGTCCAGTCACTTTATCTTCCTAATTACTTGCAAGTTCTATGAACACACTTTTAGTGGGATACTAATAATAATGCTAGCACAATTACTAGAAGACAAAAGAATAGTGAGAAGATGTTAGAAAGAAAACAATAATTACTTGTATTATTTAGCTGTTTGCTATTGTTTATGCAGTTACGTAATACCTAAATAAGAATTTGTTGGAAGTTTATCCTCGGGATTTGTTCAACCAACGTTTTAAGTGTTTGCTATTTCTGAGGTTGTGAACAGGGTTTTAGGATAGAGCTGAAGAGCTGCAGTACTATAAGTGAGTAGTTAGCTGATACTTGAATACGAATACCCAGCTGATGTATGTTGCATAAAATTCTTGGTATTTCTTGGAGTTGTGAGTGGTGATAGGTAAAAGTATGATGGGATGTGACTTGCATACTTCATTACTCTAGAAAAATACTAATTTGTCATCACCAATAGGTGGGGATAAACTAAATCTATTGTTTCCATGCCTCAATTTTGACTCGTATTTACAGTTATGCGGATCTGCATGCATTGATGCACCAGTCAATTGTCCATCCGTCTAAACCTTCCCCAGCAGCAAAAGTTCAATGACATATTGTTTGGCATCAAAATGGTTTTGGGCCCGTGTGAGCAATTCGGAACGTTAGCTTATCGGACGTTAGCTTATCATGGATGTAGTACCAGTATCCTTCCAAAATAGAACTCATAGGATTACTTCTCTTGGATACATTATGAGAAGGGGCAAATCTCGAGCTCCAACCTTAACACACTAAAAAAATAAAGCTTACATAACCGAGGTATAAAACCCGAAAAGGCGAATTATACGAAGGAGAGTGTGAAAAAGAAAAAAAAACGAACAGACCGAAGTCGTTATTCCCGAAGAGATATTTCCCGGAAACTTGGTGCAGCATTTATTTTGTCGAGGAGACGCAGGATACTTCCCGAAGTGAGACACGAAGAGTACAAAAGGGAATACTCATCGGCTGATTGGACCAAACATGTGTGTTAAATATAATTGTGGTGGTCAGCCGATATCAAATTCTGCCTAAGCTTTTACCTGCGTCAGCTGTATGCAAAAGATAGCTCAGATAGGCTTCTCGAATGGTGCCAAGGTGCTTGGTAACATCTATCTAGGTCATGTCCAACAAGTGTCAGAATTCAAGTAAACCGTGACGATACCAAACTCGTATTTCGGTCTTCAAGAGTAACATTGTCTGCTGTATGTCTTGGATTTGAACAATAAAGATTATTCTGGCCGATCCAAAATAAGATGTAAATCGGCAGTAATTATTGTTTTTCGGCGAAACTTTCTTACATCATCTCATCTTAACCGAACGCAAAGCCACCGCGGACTTATCCACTCACAATATGCTGAAGGATCATGTGCGAAAAGGCGAGAAATTGCTTTTCATAGCTACCCACTTTGCTTTGAATGGTATCCACTATTATACGACGTATGCAATGACTATAGACATGCAAGATGATTTCTTAGCCAAAACCTATTGTATACGGTCTAGAACTGATCTAGACTATCAGATCTGAAAAAGAAAATCTTGGCTGTACCTATTTTTGTTCATTACAGTTGCAATTCGGGTGAGCCAAAGAGGGGAGCAAAAAATATTCGAAAAATAACTGCAGTGCAAGTGCTGCGAAAGGAACAACAAGCTGCACTAGCTAAACAATAGCAGACTAAGCATGCTCACTGTCACCTCGTGTCTTCGAAGAAGATTCTTGCAGCATGCTGCATAAAACGTGGATGTAAGATGTTCGATGTTCTACTTAAACCCACCCTTTTCTCTATTTTCCGATAACGGCCTAAACACACAATGAAGTTGCTGAGTATTGTGACATTTGCAGGAGCACTTGCTCTTGCGGCTGCTAAGCAAATCGAAGGTGTTTTCACGAGCTTTGATTCTATTCAACTAAGTGCTATACCAGAGGTTCAATTCCCTACTCCTGCAACACCCAGTCATTTGTTACATTTTAGTTGGGAAATGAATTCCACTTTTGCTTCCCCTGGAGATAAATTCGTTCTTAGAATGACTTGTGTCTATTCAGTCACTCTGGGAAAAGATACTTTCGAATTGATAGCCGAAGGCAAGACCTATGCTATATGTTCAATTACAAATGCTGAACTGTCGGATCGAATCTCCCTCTTGGATTGTACTGTAACTGATGAGATAAATAACGGAGATGTGGTGGAAGGTAGGGCATTCATTCCTGTCACTTTTAATATTGGAGGACGAGCCAGTCCTTTTGATGAGGAGTGTGCGTTAAGAATTATACCAGGATCTGTTCCAGTTGATTCTCTTGCCTTCGGGACTGGTAATCATTCAATCTCTACAGCCACTAATTTCATCGGGGTTCCAGAATCTGGAAATGACGCATCTGACGTGAGTAGCATTGTCCGGTATGTCCCTTCGACTGATAATTTTGATGGATATGCGGTAGGTCCGTCTCGTTGCCTTGTAGGTTCCACCTTCAACGAATTCACCTTGATGGTTCCTGGAGCCAACATTGATTGTGATTCAGTTAAAGTGCATGTTACTGACGCATTCAACATTTGGGGCCTCCCTGCAATTCATTATGAAGAGGAGATATACTCCGAATGCTCATCCGAAAGAATCTACGTCAGAACTGAGGCTACTTTGGGTAAAGGTGTTACTCCATTTGTTGAATATAAATTTACCAAACCCGGCACTGATATTATCCAAACTAGTCTTGTCGCTCACACTGTGTGCATTGATGAGCCTATAGTGGATCAAGAGCTTGAAACACAAGTGGGTCGGAGGGTTAACCAGGAACAAGGTTCCAGCGGTCGTATTATTCCAAGACCAAAATCCACAAGTACTATCACTACTCCATGGACCGGTACGTTCACCACAACTGTCACTAGAACTGGTACTGATGGAACTGACACTTTGGTAATTGAGACTCCAGTTCCAGAAACAACCGTCACTACTGCTTGGACCGGTAACTCCACAACCACAGTAACCAGGACTGGTACTGACGGTACCAACACTGTCGTGATCGAGACTCCTGTTCCAACTGCCACCGTTACTACTGCCTGGACTGGTACTTTCACCACGACCGTTACTAGAACTGGTACCGATGGTACCAACACTCTTGTGATTGAGACTCCAGTTCCAGAAACAACCGTCACTACTGCCTGGACCGGTAACTCCACAACCACAGTAACCAGGACCGGTACTGACGGTACCAACACTGTCGTGATCGAGACTCCTGTTCCAACAGCCACCATTACTACTGCCTGGACTGGAACTGTTACCAACACAGTCACAAGAACTGGTACCGATGGTACCAACACTCTTGTGATTGAGACTCCAGTTCCAGAAACGACTGTAACTACTGCTTGGACCGGTAACTCCACAACCACAGTAACCAGGACTGGTACTGACGGTACCAACACTGTCGTGATCGAGACGCCTGTTCCAACTGCCACCGTTACCACTGCCTGGACTGGTACTTTCACCACGACCGTTACTAGAACTGGTACCGACGGAACTAACACTTTGGTAATTGAGACTCCAGTTCCAGAAACGACCGTCACTACTGCCTGGACCGGTAACTCTACAACCACCGTTACTAGAACTGGTACTGACGGTACCAACACTGTCGTGATCGAGACGCCTGTTCCAACTGCCACCGTTACCACTGCCTGGACTGGTACTTTCACTACGATCGTTACTAGAACTGGTACCGATGGTACCAACACTCTTGTGATTGAGACTCCAGTTCCAGAAACAACCGTCACTACTGCCTGGACCGGTAACTCCACAACCACAGTAACCAGGACCGGTACTGACGGTACCAACACTGTCGTGATCGAGACTCCTGTTCCAACTGCCACCGTTACTACTGCCTGGACCGGTACTTTCACCACTACTGTCACTAGAACTGGTACCGATGGTACCAACACTCTTGTGATCGAGACTCCGGTTCAAGCATCCGAAACTCCTATTCCGGGAACAATCACCGTCACCTCTACATGGACTGGTAGCTTCACCACTTCTACTACTGCTACAGGCACAAATGGACTTGACACATTGATCATCGAGGTTCCAGTTCCAACAGCTACCATTACTACTGCCTGGACTGGAACTGTTACCAACACCATCACCAGAACTGGTACCGATGGAACCAATACGTTGGTCATAGAAACTCCAGCTCCAAAATCGACCCTCACTGTTACTTCTCCATGGACTGGTAGTTTCACTACCTCTACTACTGCCACTGGCTCTGATGGTGTTGACACTTTAATCATTGAAGTGCCATCTTCAACCAACAGCCAAAGCTCCACCGTCACCTTGACACCTAGCAGTTCTAGAAGACTTCCTTGGAACTCCAGTTCCATAGAACTTTCTAGTAATATCGATACTTCGTCATCTTCGTCATCTTCTTCAATTCTTTTGACTACTACTTCGTCAGCTTCCCTTTCGGTTGATTCTTCAAGTCTCACTTCAAACTCAATTATTCCTTCTTCATCTTTGATTCCATCCGCAACACACCCTCAAGAAACGTCTAAGTCTTCTGTCCCACCCTCAAGATCTGGTGGAGACCATGGAAATCCTGTTAGTAGCGTTGACTCGACTATTAAGGTGACATTGCTTCCAACGTCAAGCAATTTGTCTACTGATTCTAGTACAACTGTTACAGATGTCCCCTCAATTCCTACTCCAGGACAAAACCCAGTAACTACTTTGGTCTCCAGTAACAGTGATTCGAGTGTTTCGGCATCGGCATATATCCCTTCGATTTCTAGCTATGAGGGTTGGGCATCAAGACCTCAAGCATCTAAGCTCTTATTCGCATTGCTTGCATTGGTCGCATTCTAATGGTGCTCAAATTAGGGCACATAAATTTCAATATTTCTATTTAATTTCATTATTTCTGTATTTCAAAATTCCATTTATAGTCTAAGGACTTCAAATAACATTGTAAATCTCACTGAATTGATTTTCTTCCTACAGGATATCTAATTTTTGTATTGGAAAGAACATAACTCTTGCTCGAACTATTTTGAGAGAAACTTGTTGCCAGTATCAGTGATGGTAAAAGAAATTCCGATGATAACAATAATCAGAACATTCTATTTCTTGATGGTATGATAGTCACTTTGGAGGGAGCGTTTCAATGAAGACAGTATCAGTGTCGGTACAAATATGGCTCCAGGCTGAAGTCATTGTCAAAATTGCAACTAGAGTCTTAACAATCACTGCATGATACAAATTTCAGTTGCAGTATTGAGAGTAAAGTCATATTATGCCCAAAGCAAAGTAATGGTGGTTTGGAATTTAAACACTCATATGGAACGATGGTACGTTTGGTTGGGGTACCTACATATATCAGGGTGGTACGCCATACATCCGTATAAGGTTAAGAGCTTTAGTAGACTTCCTAATATCTAGTTTTATTTGTGAATTTTAGCCGTTATCAATTTAATGGATCAAAATAGTGTTGGTTATCGGGGAAAAAAACAAAAGATGTTCAAACCATGATATAGTGGCAGGTATTTTATAAATGAAAACAGATACACCTGAATTGTGTTAACTGAAGAATTAATACTCTTGATAAAGCATCCTTAGCAGCCCCTGCATCAATGTGAGTCGATTCTTGAATTTCATATTGCTTCACGGAAACTTCTGTGATCACCTCAATTTCAGGTCCACTCTCTTTATAACTTTTTTTCCTATTGAAGAAAATTTTATAATCTACTGACTTTATACCTATTGTAATGGATAACACACCATAATGGTCAGACCTTTTATTCAATAGAGATTTTTTTTTTCGTTTTTCGTTTCTTGCTGCAACTTGTTGCTCGCCACAAAGCACCTTTACGAAGCAAATGATGTTAGATAAGATTTTTCATTAGGAGCTGTGGCTGGAAAAGAAGAAAGACAATTGGTTGGTGGCTGGAGGACGAGCTTGAGCCTCCCCTTGTGATTGTCGTTGTATCCATAAAATCTTTTTTTTTTGCTAATGGGAAGTATATTATAATCTACTGACTATATACCTATTGCAACGGATAACTCACCATTATGGTCAAACCGTTATAATTTAATTAATTTTTGAATTCAATTTTGTTTTTTGATGATTTGCATATTTTTAGAATTTTTAAATTGGTAATATATTACATAATTGGAAAACGACATTTTCAGAAACTTCAACAAACAAACAAGAAAAATCCGTGATAGTTTAGTGGCTAGAATTACCGCTTGTCGCGTGGTAGACCGGGGTTCAATTCCCCGTCGCGGAGTTTCNNNTGCGCAAATGGTTTAGTGGTAAAATCCAACGTTGCCATCGTTGGGCCCCCGGTTCGATTCCGGGTTTGCGCATTTTTTGCCACAGCCCCGTACCTATTTCCTACACCGCCTTCCCCACGTTCGTACATCCCCACCACTCATCGTTCTCTTACAGTGTAAATCCACCTTGTGCGTTGAGATCCTGTACAGATTGACCTGGTCGCATTCCATACCTAATCCGCACTATTGTAAAATGTAAATATCCCATATTGTCTAATAAGCCCAATTCCTATTACCTCATTTAAATCCTTGACCACTCAAGAAATCAGCCACATCCAGTCCTCCACAACCTCCACAACCCTCCATAACCAACATCATCCCATAATGTCACAAATTCAGCCGGTTCAGGTGCAACAGAACGGCGATGAGCCCCACGCCAGGCCGGTTCTCCCCAGCGGAGTGACCATCAATGGAGACAGACGCCAGGTCAAAAACAGGTTCGGGTGGGTCAGACGATTGATGCAAGGCCAGAGCAGGCAGAGTGGGTCGTTGGTGGCCCGTAGTAGCGACGCTGTGGCCCGCCCCAAGGCTAGAACCCACAAATCCCAAGTTGGTAACTCCAACAGCATCGAAGAGCAGCCAGCAGAAAGGAGGCGGAAGCACTCAGCTGGTAGTTTGCCATCGTTCGATAGTGACTTCGCAGAAGTACGCAGCGACAGCGACCAGACAACGGGCTCCGACAACATAAGTACCACACCCCTCAAGTCGATTGTGTCTGCCCAGTCCACCAAATCGCCATCCATCTTGAGCAACGTAAACAATGACCAGAACTCGCTCAATGCCTCGACCGCAGAGACCTCCATCGCACCCAGCGTCACCACCAACTACGTGGCTTCGGGCCAGCCCCCTGCCTTGCATAGCCTACAGGACCGCGATAGCGAGTCCATCGTCACCTTGGCTAGTTCATCCAGGCGCATACGGAGACGGAGCATCGACACAAACTGCAGCACTGCGGGGATACCCCCTGCTTCCATCATGGAACGTCTTTCCGTGCAGCCTACTACCGCAAACAGCACCTACGCCGTGAGTGTCCGGACGAGCCAGCTCGACCCATCCCAGTCAAGCATGTACGACTCGACCGACCAGACCAGTTCCGTTCGCAGCGTGGACTAGATCAACATTGTACTATAATGGCCCTGCCAGTGTGAATTAGCAATAAATATCTGAAACGATATATCTATGACAGAATGCAATTGGTAACGAAAATGGACACCTGATCGCTGTGAGGTATAACTCAGAGGACGTTTGCAAGGGAGGTGTAAGAAGTTCAATAGTGGAGTGCCAGAAATAGATAGAAGCAAGTAAAAAAGAACTTTAAGTCTACAATTACCAGCAACGAGCAAGTGAACCAAATCTTCTTCGGAGTTAGCAAAGGGCCATCGTTCCAGATGTGATTCGGAAAGTCAAGACCAGGGGCTCATGCTCCATGGGTCTGTCGGCTAAGACTTCAGGACATCACGAGTCTGTTGGCAAATAAATATGTTGCAATATATGTAATGATCTCATGCCATCCAAAGGAATCCATTGAAAGCACTACCAACTCTGTGGTGGTGCTAAAGCATCACTGGATGGTAGGTGTGTAAATTTCCGCACTTTAATCGTATAACCATTATAACTGGAAATTGTAGCAAAGAAACCATCGGTATGGACTGCTCTTAACAACTCGGTAATACCCTCTCTTAGCAGTAATTTCAAACGCAGCTGTTTGGCCATCAACCAGACAGAATCTGGCTGTTTTTTCCATGAAGCACAAAATCCACCTACTAGACCGGCTTTCGCAGTCTTTTCCAGCCACTCACTGGAATTAGCGAGAAGTGTTCTTTTTCCGATAAGAGAATGGGACACATAACCCAGGTAAACTACCAAAAAGTACATAGCATGAACATAGTGATGTGATTGTGAGCAAGCCCTTGTGGCCACTGGGTGCACGAGATAGGTCACACGAGCGTAGCAACCGTCCTTTCTCTCCTACACTCCCTAGAACTCCCTCTCTCCCTCTCTCGCTAAAGTGCTCGCTCCCCACCCCTCGCCAGGCATTCTCCCTAGACCCCTCCAGTCGCACCACCCACAGCCCTACGGTGGCACCACCACCTGCTGTCCCTCTGCCGTCCCTCTCCCACTCCTCTCATTGCCTGCTGAAACACCCCGCCGTGCTCCTGCCGTGCTCCTGCCGCGCCCATCCCCCTCCTTCTGCCTCCACGGGAACCGTTACTTGAGTTACCCTGCCTCATCAGCCCCGGTGCAAAACATAAACAAACCTCATAAGGATCAAAAAAAAAGACAATTCCAGGCACCTCCCCTACACCGCCGTATCGCCACCAAAGCAAGCCAGCTTGGACACCTCCTCTAGTTGAACTGTGGCCCCCACCAGAATGGGCACCTTTGGCTATACCGAAACCATCGAAGGCGATGTGTACATCCAGCGCTTGTCCACCTACGTGAGGCGAAACGAGGAGGCGCTCGCCAACGGACTCCTCTGCTTCTCCAAGAACCGCAACACCGCCATCAAGGTCAAGCCGTTGCGGCTCACCTTCACCATCCACCACCTCTACTACATCACCGAGCGGATTGAGTCCTCGCCGTTGGGCGTGGACGTGGGGCCTCTCAACGTCAAGCTCGACAACCCCAACCACGAGCCCACGTTCATCTCGTTTATGGCCAACAACGCCCGGGCCTCCAAGCATTTCGACAGCGACACCCGCTCCATCTCCTCCATCAACTCCATGAAATCCATCGTCTCCAGCGCCTCCGTCTACTGGAGGTCCTTCGCCCTCAGCAAGGACCCCAAAGTCATCAACAAGGACATTAAGTACTTGTACTCGTCCTTCACCAAGATCCCCTGCCTCATCTTGACCCCCAAGACCAAAATAAACAGCATCACTTCCTACGAAGAATACCCGTGTGACACCTCGGTGCCCCTCAAAATGTTCAAGAATTTGCAAGTGTTGGAAATCGTGGACTACGACCCTAACGAAGTCTTCGGCTGGCATATCCTCAGCGAACAGCTTCGGATTTTGATTGTTCGGAACTCAAAGTTGAGTTCTATCAACGAACTTCTCTTCAATCTCGTAATCGATGACGAGTCGGGCCGGTCTACTTTCAATACCCATAAACAGACCAGGAAATTCAACGACTTATTCCATTCTTCGGGCACGGCTACTTCTGTCCCCGCTGACGAGTCTTTCTCTGAAGATGTCATTCAAGCTGGTAATAATGCATTTAGATACCCCAAACGTGAAAGGGCTACTACTACGTCAGGAGCTGGCTCCTTACCTAAAGAGTCCTTTTTCGCCGAATTGAATTCATCCAATCCCACTACCAAAGACTATCAGACCTTGCCGGACTCTAAATGGTCATATTTGAAGCAGTTAACAGTTTCAGAAACATCCATAACATCCATCCCCGCATTTATATTCAAGCCATTGACTAATTTAGTCAAGCTCAACCTTTCAAATAACTTACTCGAAGAGTTGCCTGACGGATTGGATCAATTGATAAACATCAAGTACTTGAATTTCGCTGATAATTACATCACGGATTTGCGCAAACTTCCCACCAACCTTGCTTACTTGTCGGCCATCAATTTTAACAACAACAAATTGAGCGACTTGTCTGGGTTAGAGAATTTGAGTAGTTTGGAAAAAATTGATTTGAGAAGAAATGAGCTTCAATCTTTACAGTCATTGAAACCTATTGTGTTACAATTCATAAAGAACCCACAGGTGTTCAACAACGTTTACCTTTCCAATAACAAGTTACCTAAGACATACAGAAGTGATTTGTTCAATTTAATCAATGGTGCCAAATACAAAAACAATATGAAAATCGATGATTCAAGGCCCGGTTACTTTGAAAGTGCACTTCTCTTGGACTCTGAAAATTCATTCAAATACTTGGAAAAGTTCTTAAAAGAATCAGACGTTTCCAAAGAGCATACACCTGCTGACCACGATGTTACGGCAATTTTCAATGGTGTTACACAAGATCCTAGCCCTCCAACACCAATCCCGGACTACAAAAAAGGACACCGCAGGGCGCATACATTGGAAGCTTTGATGGAACCATTTTCAGTCATGAAGATTGTTGCTGAGAACGATGAAAATGCCGACAAGCAAAAGCGAAAATATGAACTTTCACATAGCGTATTTACCACTTCACCAACAGTTGTCCAGTCAGATTCCAACAGCATCAGCTCAACTCTGAAAACACCAAACTCTCCGTTGAGCACCAACCATAACCTCATCAACAAACTTGAACTTCCGTCTACCTATTCTTCCAAAGCCACACTTCTATCAGTTCATTTGAACGGATCAAATCCTTCAATTTCGGGTAGCCCATCCAACATGAAGAAATCCTCTACCCTCTCACAGCTAGACATGGAGACTGCATCAATCAGTACCACGACTGCACCCAACGTGGTCACCCCCGTTCAAGTTACTGCCCGAATGAGCACTTAGAACCAATACCTTAATATTTAGTTATAATGCCTTTACATAGTATGTATAAATCCTGTATTAGTATCATGAATCAAATTTAGAATGTACACTCGGAGATCTCCATGCGCGGAACCCAGGACGGAAAACATCTTTCAGGCAACCCCTCAAAGATTAGATTTATCACCTGTCAAACGTATTTTTTTACCCCCTACGACCGTTTTCTGTCACAACGGCTCTATACCCAATCAATTGCAAGTTCTAATATTCTAAATCTAGAAACCTGAAATGCTAGTAATAATCAGGCGAACACTGGTCAATGGTAGATAACTTGCAGACGCTAGTTCCCTGTTTATTACCGTTAATTTTGTCACAACTTCGATAACTCATGACTCATCGGATCCCACATTAGTGTACCAAAATTCCATTTTCAGTTTGTTATGATGGACAGAATTGACCCAACGACAATAAAGATGAAAATACTGTTTGGAAAAAAATTGCTTTAGCATCGTCGAAATCTTGTACCATATGTAACTACTCATGATCTTACAGGAAGCGGTTGTGTCGTCTTTCATCATATTGTCAGGGATCATACTTTCAGCAGTTTCTTAGACCAAAATTAAGTCGATATAGTAGCTGGTGAATCTTAAGATAAAAACATACATTTTCCGTAAACTTGCATAGCCGGATTCCCATATGGCTGTCGAATGCTTCATGGCAGTATTTCAAATAGTGAACAAATTAATACCTATGGATGCTTTTATTATATCATTGTTGTTAACGACTCCCAACTAGTACCATCCTCCCTAGATTTTGTATTTGAAGCAATTATTGAGTGGAAGTATCTCCTAGGTGAAGTGTACTAACCCAATTTATAATTCCAGATATCGATATTCAGGTGACTTCAGAACACCAAAGTCTCGACTGGAAAACACAACTATCCTAGGACCTTAACATAAATCTCTTGAAGATCCATGTTTGTTTTTGGCGAACGTCCCATTTCATAAGATTCACCAGAAAAAAACAAGGGACTATTCTATCGGATTTAATGATTCTAGAAACTCTCATGGAGGAAGTGGAATATTCTGAGGAAAACATACTTCCACTGTTCATTCTTTAAGTCAACGATTTTTGCATGATGGTCATCATTATGATATCTTTAATTTTAAACTGAACTTTTTGAAGAGAATGAAGCTTAATTAATATGTCAAACACTAAGGGTTGGTTGTTGAATAGCTCCCATTTGCTTCCAATACTCTAAAATCTTCAAGATTTCTTTCCATTTCAACTTCTATAATAACTCCTCTCTTGTCTATGGGTACATTAATTGAAACTTGGTACTACACTGTCGTGGATTAATAAACGATAGATCATTCAGACAGTGGTAGTATAAACATTTGTCACATATTCAAACTTGTCCATTATTCAAATTAATAAATCAAACCTTGGCTGTTAGCAAAACACTACCACCCATCTGGAATCTAGACGAATCGAATAGCCTAGACAGAAAACTTGTCAGGAGAGTTCTGATATTTGGGATTGCCTACTTGGAGTACTTTGTAATAACTGGTGAAAGAAACGAATGATTTTCTATTTAAGCGAATAAAAGTTTCATCAGAGTTATTATGCCAAGGTTCAAATGGTTTGATAATTAATACAGAACCAAGAAAATTAGGACAATAGATTTTAAAATCACATATTACTCGTTTGGTTTTTGAGATTAATTAATCCAGCAGTAACCATTATGGTGAACTAAGAGGATTTTTAAAACCACCCTTGGATTGAACTGCTTGTCAATCCTGAATAATTAGGACTACATTTTTCATTTGTGAACTTTTATTCGAATCGGTTAAACTAGCCTAACCAGATAAATACAAATCAATGAGTGATAGGGGGTGTCATAATATTTGGGTTTCTCTTAATAAGCAAGTTTCCACGTCAAGCTGAGGTTACGAGGAATTTGTCGGTTGTGACAAAGTTTAAGTGGTTTCAAAAAATGTGCATATTTTCAATAGTTTAAAATCTTATCTTCAACAGCACATTGTTTCACACAAAGGGAATTGTTGCTATGCTTCATGATTCATGAAAGGCAGTAGATTGGCATCCCGAGCTATCATTTGAAAAGATGAGAAAAATGAAAAGTATTCTACTTTCTGTTATGAATGTGGCTTGTCTATTATCCGTCTCTCCGAGAATTAGAGTGCATTGATATTAGTCCAATCGATTTTAGGTTGGAAAAAAGTGATAGATAGATAGATAGGTAGGTGCCAATTTTTGTTTATCCGAACCGCTCAATGCCAATAAAATTATGAATCATTCATTTAGGGAATTCTTATCTTGTGAATTGGATGACTTTGAGTGTAACTATTTCCTATAGACAGAGACTCTTCCAACCTACTTTTGCCCCCTGGTTTCTTAAGTTCATGTGTGCTTGCTTTGCTCAATATGACTAGGATTAATTGAAGAAGGGTGATTGGTTTATTTCAGCTATTTCAAATTATCCACAGTTGCAAAGGGAGGGGGTTAAAACGACCTTGGTGAGATCGGACTGTGGTAGGCTTAAATTTTGCGCTTGGATGCACTGTTCGCTTAGTTTCATGCGCTCCTGTCTGTGGGTAAACTCAACTTTTCACAGCCTTTTGTAACTTCTTATCTAAGCCGAATCAGTGACCTGGGCTCGAAAGCAGGCTAAATATGCTATTCAATCGGAATTTTATCGTTTATAGCCGCATCACCCACGGCATGCAATATGTTCACTTGTTAAACGTTGGATTTGCCAGAAGTGTGTGCATCAGAATCCAGTAGCCATCCCAGCATAATACAGCATACATGGAAGCGTCAAGCATATAAGCTGCAAGACAGGTGATGGTTATAACAATATGAGTCTAATCTATTCCATCTCGGATACCAGTATTGTTAATTTTCAAGCACTGTAAGATGTACAACGTGGCACTCAGTAGATTCAGCAATAAGAGCATCAAGGCTGATAGAGTGTTGTGCCTCTCTGTTTATTCGTTCTGAGCCACGGAGGTGCTCAGGAACGTTGAAGTACACACAGCCATTCGCACCTTGGATATGCTTTGTCAAGGGGGGAGGGGCGGCCTACGAAATTTCGGAGAATTTCAGAGTAAGCTATCAATCCAATTCGAGGCGGTGATGGTGCGCTTGCATACCCCTTTGCGGACTCCCAATTGGATTTTCTGATCTAAACGGAGGTTTTTCCTTAGTGCAATAGCTGTTCCGGACGCAAGTGAGGGAAAATAGAGCCGATATGCATCCAGGTGTGGTTGACAATACTAATCCCGAAGAAGGCTGAAACAGATATGCTTGAAATGAGCCTGGATATGACGGTTGTTTTGCGTGGCGTGGCTTCTAGATTGTCTAAAGGCAATGGGTGCAAGATAAAACCTATAGGGGCACCTTCCTGGTTGGCAAGTGTCAAAACCAGTTAAATCGGCCGGAGGGAAGAGCCGATTTGACAAGTTTAATCGAAAATGTTGCAGAATCTAGCACATTGCAGCTACGGTAAGGAAGAAACCGGAACCCTGATAGTATTGTTCAGGCAGTGGTTCTAGTGTGGATTAGAACCTTTACAGGTATGTATAAGCATTTCTGAGCTAAGGGGTTGTCTCCCACGCTTATTTATCCTGACAGGAGATTTGACACAGCCTGATAAATTATATATTTAATCAATCCACATTGGTCCTTGATTAATCACTATTTGAAAGAACACACTTTCTAGTTCTGTTTTAAGTCTATACTCATCTAACCTAACTACCATATCTAAAGGATTTCAATTACACCGCGAATGTCTGGAGTCACAGTTACAATTGACACAAGGTCGATTGATAAGAAAAAGAATTTTGCAATGGTGCTGGAAAAAGCAATCAGTAAGTCTGACGATCTAGCAGACAAGCTTGGTGATGCCCATTGCAATATCTTATCTACTAAGAGAATATTGGTATGTCTCTCGGCGCTAGCACTAGCTAGTGTGATATCTTTTGCTGATCAGACTGGTATCACTGTGGGTTTACCTCAGATTGCTGAAGATTTGAATGCCCAAAATACAATTAACTGGGCTGGTACTGCTTCATTGTTGGCTAATACGGTGTGTCAAGTCTTGTTTGGCAGAATGTCTGATATATTTGGAAGAAAGAACGTACTTATGGCATGTTTGCTTATATTAGCTATTGGAGATATTGCGTGTGCTGTTGCCAGAACTGGTGTTCAGTTCTTCATTTTTAGAGCCTTAGCCGGTATTGGTAATGGAGGGGTATCCTCCTTATCAATGGTTATCTTAAGTGATATTGTTACACTCAAGCAAAGAGGTAAGTTTCAAGGTATTTTGGGATCATCGGTGGGAATTGGCAATGCTATTGGTCCTTTCTTGATGGCTGGATTCATCAGGGCAGGAACCTGGAGAGGATTTTACTACTTCTTGGCCCCAATGTGTGTTGTTGTAATGGTTGCAATCTACTTCTTGATTGATGGTCGTGGTAAGGAATTAAACGGTGTTATCTCAAGAAAGGAAAAATTCAAGAAAATTGATTATTTGGGATCTTTAACTATCACTGCTGGCTTGACATTAGTTCTAGTACCAATTAGTGGTGGTGGATCAAGCTACCTGTGGTCTAGTGCTTTGGTGATAGTTACATTCATCATTGGTGGCCTTTTATGTATTGCCTTTATCATAGTTGAATGGAAGATTCCTGAGCTTCCAATGATCCCATTGCGATTATTCAAGAATCCTTCCTTGTGCTTATTATTTGCCTCCAACTTTTTCTTTGGTGCATCCTACTTTAGTTTCACCTATTACTTACCATACTACTTCCAAGTTGTCAAGGGAAAAGATACAATTCATACATCCATATTCGTGCTACCATTGGTATTAACACAGGCCATCATGTCTGTGGTTGCGGGTCAAATTATTTCATACTCTGGTCGCTACTTATACGTTGTCATGGCTGGCTTTGCAACTTGGACACTTGGAAACGGGTTGCTTCTTCTTTGGGACAGAAACCTCAATGATGGAATTATAATCCTTATTCTCTTGATCATGGGTTCTGGTGTTGGATTTTCTTTTCAACCATCAATGGTTGCCGTTCAAGCTCAAGCACGGAAGGCCGATCGTGCAGTTGTGATCTCAACCAGAAACGTTATGAGATCGTTGGGTGGCTGTATTGGTATTGCTCTAGGCTCAACTATTGTTAGCAATAGCATGTTATCTCAGCTCAACACTACCAAGGCTCATGATATGCTTCCACTGAGTTACATTGAAAGTTTGAAGGCAAACATCTACTCGAAGGTCTCAACCGATGGTTTGAATATCGCTCAACAGACTTACGTCAAAGATTTGTACGTGAAAGCATTGCACAATTACTTCTACATGATCATTCCGTTCATGGGATTCTGTTTGTTGAGTTGTTTCTTTGTTAAGGATAGGGGATTGTGCTGTCTTGACGAATTGCCTGAGGCAGTGAACAAGGAAGATCTTGAATCATCAGCCAGCTCGCATTATCCAATCAGTACATCTACGTCACGCACCTCGAGAGCCAACGTCTAGTGTCAGCGGGCTGAGTTTCTTGGCATGCCTAGAATTGTATCCTCAGGCTGTGCGTTAGGACCACTTTAGTGCCAAGTTATTTATTTATTAGATTTGAAGGAGCGAATGAGGGCTAAGTAATAAACCATATAATAGAATTATCCGAAATCTAGTAGCCGCCGGTGGGAAAAGCAATTTCCTCCTACTTCTACCTTGGCTCTCTATTTTACTTTTGCAGCAATCCCGAAACGGAAAAGATAGCAAGGAGTGCGCCTGGCAGGGGGCAGTAAGGTTTTTTTTGCCACCAGCTGAAACATGCGCAATTGACATATTCTTGGCATCATATGCATGATACTGCACAGGAGCCGGGATTCGTTCGGCAACGGGTGGTGCATTATCGCAATTAATCCGGTAAATCTAGCTTGACGTGTTAGTAATCCAAGGCTGAAGCTTGATATTATGGACCAAATATGGCCCCGCTCACCTCCCGAGGATAGCAGTGTGCAGATCAGGTTCAGTAGCTGCTCCTTGCAGAGTGCCCTGCAATATTTGGTTAAAATTCTGACATGTTTAGCTGCAGTGCACGAGAGTCCTGGCCGTCGCAAAGACACGGGACTACAGAAGCCAACGTGGGCAACGATAATTAGATTGCAGATGGTTCCGCCTGAATCACCATCCGGATGATTTTTGTCACGTGTTAATTACTCGCGTGATTCTAGTCCCGTGATGGGCTAACACGCGTTTCCTGTTTACCTTCGCTAGATATCTGTATCACTCCATAGCCATTCATGTTGGAACCGTTGCTCAGGACTGGCAATCGCTATCTACCCGACAGCATCTCGAAAGATAGACTGGTTTTTCATGACTCCGCTAGCATCCACGACTTCGTAAGAAGGTCTCCTAGACGCAGCCGCCCACTGATTCCCAGACTACCAACATCAAGGCGCTACAGCCAACCTACGTCAAGGCAACCCCAGCCACAAACCGAACTGGATGAGCAGTTGGGCCAGAAATATGGCTATCGTGGCTCAGATAGAGTCCTCAGAGCCACTCGCAACAGAGAACAGCCAAGCTCGTATAGTCACAGAAGGAGATGGGCCACAGAAGACGCGAAAAAGGACGTTTTGCCCAGCAGATCGATTCTTAGGAACAGGCACATGGAATCGCCGATTCGATCGCTTCCAGCAGAGATGTCTTCGTCGCCTATCAGAAGTAGCGGGTTCTACAAGTCTGTGGGAGGAACATCAAGAGTGATAAACGACCATAATAGCAGAGTGCACAAGAAGACAAGTGCGTCAAAGCCAGCCAGCGGATTGTTTGGCAGATTGAAAAAGTACCTCGGAAATGTGGTGGAGCGATATGAGACTGACGATGCCAATGTGAACAACGTGAGGAGCATATTGGGCATCGACAGTATGGAGGCTGTTCCCGAACATGAGGCCACGCAACGGGATGATCTCCAGAATGACAAGTCAAGATACCTTGCAAGACACAACATCGGGACGAACTATAGAGATATTGAATCCAAATACAGTGGTCAAAATAAAAGAGTTTCTTTTCGTGGTGCAGGGCATGAAGACATTCAGATATCGACATTGAAATCACAGCTAAAAGAGAAAAATGAGTTGATAGACATGCATAACCAGACTATAAGTTCATTGAACTCGAAGTACGACACCGCATTGAAAAATTTCAATGTCGAAATCGAAGATTTGGAGCGTAAGAATCAAAAGGCACTCGAGGAACAAGAGGCTCTCTCAAAAGAAAATTCGGAATTGATCACTAAAAACAAGGAGTTGAAGCAAAAGATGGCGCTGACTATAGAAGAATATGATAAGAAATTTCAAGAGTTGTCCAAAGAAGAAACCAAACTAGCCAGCCAATTATTGAAGCTAGAGAGAAGAAGTAAAGAACTTGAGAACTTGGAGATCGAGCTACACTATCGCCAGTCAGATTTGGATCAACGAGAAAAGAGTATGAAAGAATTGGAACTTAAAAGTGCAGTTATGAGGGAACTAACCCAAGTCAAGGAAACATCAGAGAAACGTAGGGTTAAGCTTGATCAAGAAGCAATTCAAATCAAAACCATGATAGATAAACACTCAGATGAATTCAAGAGATTGAGAAAACTTCATGGATACTCAATTGAACCTATAAGTTTGCGTGGATTGGAATCGTCTGATCTGTTCAAATCTATCTTCGAAAAAATCGATAATGAAATTGAGTTTCTTCAAGCGTACAACAATGACAAGGATATCAGTGTAGAACAGATTGATAACCCTACCATTGAAGAACAGTTTCGATCTTTCAACGAGGAGTTGCTCAGGAACAAAGCATCAAAAGAAGAGAAATTGAAGGAATTATCTGAAACATTGCTAGTAATGAATCCCAAAAGTAACTCAAACCCAGAGATATTATCAGATATACGCAAGTTGTACGTGAAGAAGTATAAAGTGCTCTTTAAATTGCGGACAATCAATCAAATATTGTCGAAGATGAATATTGTCTTTGAGTACCAAGAAGATTCAAAAGTATTGCAACAATTCAGCAAGCGGGGTCACTCAGATATCCAGGAGTTTTATGGGAAGTTGAAGAGGGAAATCGAGGAAAGATACTTATAGGAGCTGACCAGAACAGGGCTTGAAAGAGAGAGAATATAACTAAATATTTTCAGATGGTATCTAATGAAGCTTAAGTAGAATATGGAGAAATTAGAACAATTTTATCTATGACAATTAATTTAGATATTAGAGTTAAACTGGTATAATATTCGTTTGAGACAAGTTTAAAAACTAATTTTCCCTTTACTTTCCTCTTCTGTCTATAATTTTCTGAATAGCTACAACGAGAAGTAGTAACACAATTGCGATTAGTGTAGGGCGATGGTAATTTCGCACGTGACTGATGGTCGCATGACTTCCATCACTGACGCGTCTTCTCAAGCATCAGATCCAGACTACAGGCATATACCAGGCTACCTCAGTAGGAAGGAAGCTTAAGTCACAGAAATCTACGAGAGTGAACATCAAGCTTTCCAATTTTTAATTACCCGTTTTTTCCAGTTCAAATCGTCCAATAATTTTCCCATTCTCAACAAGCACGACGCTAGTCCACTAATACTATTCCTATAGTACCATCACAAGGATTGAATCAGATCAATGTCAACATCCTTACCCATAAAGCTCCAGCCATCAAATCTCCGTCCCATAGCGTATAGGATCTTATCCAAGAAGCATGGGCTCAATCTAAAGACCGATGCCTTGGCCATACTTACGGAAACCATCAGTTACAAGTTTGGGTTCGAATGGAAGAGTGTGAGGTCGCAGCAGTTCATTGAGGAAGTGGCGAGAATCTGGAAACTTGAAGACAGAGGGTTGTTTATTGACGGTGCAGGCCTCAAGCAAGTGCTCAAGGAGTTATCCAAAAAGAAGGATTCCGAAGCCGCTGGGGAGACAGTTCCAGCAGTAGCAGGAAGATCAGACACCGTCGTAGATATTGTGGAAGAGGAGGAGGTTCCAGAAGAAGTAATCAATTGGAAAGACTACTTCAAAGTCATAAATCCTAATCAACAACCAAAATACAAGTTCGACAGACACAGAAAACAATTCAATTTGGTAAGCTCCAACAGCATTCCGGGCCACTCTTTGATGTCCAAAACCTTGGAGTCTACGGTGGAGTTGTTCTACAACCGTTACAATCTCATTTCAGACAGGCTCTCCAGACATGAGAACTTTCAAAAGGCGTCCTACTCCAACGTCTCCTCTTTGCGAAGACTGGCATTGGCAGGGTCCTCCATACAGGGTCTGTCAGCTAGTAATGAAATCACCCTTATCAAGAATGTTCTTGGAAGAGACGGGAGTAAATTCATTCTCTTTGGTTTGTTATCAAAGAACTCTGCTGGTGACTTTATCCTTGAAGATTCTACTGACTATATCGAGTTGAACATCAGCCAGGCCTACAAGGCAGAGGGATCCTTTTACTGTGTTGGTATGTTTGTGATTGTTGAGGGAATTTATTCTGCGAATGGAGGCTCTTCCAACCAAATGAATGATTATATTGGTGGATGTTTTCACGTGAGTGTCATTGGGCATCCGCCTGCAGAGAGAAGGGATGTCAGCAATGAAAACTATGGCAGTTTGGATTTCTTGGGCATTCAAGGTAATGCTGGAAGTAGTTCCACCCTGGCTAAGGTGGAAAAAACACTTAAGATCAATAAACCGTGGAAGAAAAAGTTAATTGCTTTGGAAAAGAGCTTGACTACTCACAAATTGATTATGCTTGGGTCTGATTGTTACCTAGATTCATTCAGGGTCATGGATGGACTTAAGAAGTTGTTTGGGGCCATAGAAACTTCACTTGAAGACGAGTTCTCAGAACCCCTTGCAATTATTATGGTCGGATCATTCATATCCAAGCCTCTAACTCCAACCAACTCATCGGTGTCCACCATTTCAAACTCAGAATATTACAAGAGTAACTTTGATAATCTTGCTAATATCCTCTCGGGGTTTCCAAACATCATAAAAACATGTAAATTGATCTTAGTCCCCGGCAAAAATGACCCCTGGCAGACTACATACTCTCTTGGAAGTTCAAATTTGAATTACTTGCCACAGAAGATGGTCCCCAACGTGTTCCTCAATAGGTTGGAAAGGTTATTCCCGAAGGGTAACCTTATTCGGGCATGGAATCCGTTCAGAATAAATTATCTCTCTCAGGAGATTTTGATTTTGAAAGACGACTTAATGAGCAAGTTTAAGAGAAATGACATTATATTTGAACACGACTTGGAGTTGGAAGAGCAGTTATTGGAGAAGGAGAAGAAGGAAATGGGTAATGATGAAGAAAGAATCAACAAACTCGTACTGGGTCAGAATGGAGACGTACATATTCCAGAAAAGATCAAGCAGGCCAGGAAATTGGTCAAAACGCTTCTTGATCAAGGTAATTTGCAACCCTTTTTGAGATCACTAAAATTAATAGACCCCAACTATGACCATGTCTTGAGAATCGAACCGCTCCCCACTGTACTCATACTTCAAGACGCAGGGGTTGAGAATTTCGAGGTGACTTACAATGGGTGTAAGGTTGTGAATATTGGAAGGTTGATAGGAAACAGTGGACGAAGATTAAATTATGCCGAATATTACCCATCAGGAAAGCGGTTTGAGTTCAAGGAGATTTACTTCTGATCTAAGCAACAAGGATCATGAGCTTTGAGGGTTCTCTAATCAATTGCCATGCGCGTATAAGTGCCCTGTTCTCATATAAAAGGATAGGTGCGTAAATGTCACTACAAAATTAATAAGACCATTTACACTAAGAATAAAATAATATTGTAAATAATACTATCCGTAAGGGTGCACTTGTGAGGATTGCAACTATTGCGGTATTGCGTCTTCTTTTTGACGTACAGCAGAACGGCGCAATTAACTCGGAACTTGACGTTGTACTGCGCAATAGCAAGCATTTGTGGGAACCGTATCTGTGTGCCCACACAGGCGAAGTCTTGCGAGAAAAATACAGGAACCAAACCTTGGCGAATAAGGGAGAATTTCTACGAAAGCTGTAACACATATTTGGCAATCTCCAACTGGATGTCAACGGGATGTCAGCTAGATGTCAATTAAATAGGATGTAATTCGCTTTCGTAAGTGATAAGTAATGCGTGATCTAATTATTTTTGCGTTATTAAATACGTCCCCAACAGGGACCCAAGAGTAGTATTTTATGCAGAAGAGAGATCTTCTCTGGTTACTGTGTCGATCACCCATACACTACCAGTCCATTAGCTCGATACACTAGCAGATAATAGTTTTAGAGGTATTTTCAAAGTGATAGGGGCCCTCCCAAATAATAACGGTCGCGATAATTCTGGACTATATGCACACCGCCACATCACCGATTTAAACCCACTAGTCAGATCTGTGCCAGTTTCCAGGAAACCCCAGCCAATATGGAAGTGTCTGACCAGCCCAGCGAGCACCAATTCCTCAAGCAGAAGCACATCCAATACGTCATCGAGCAAGACTCGCACAAGTCCTATGAATACTGGCTCAGTGAGCACCTCCGCATGAATGGGCTCTACTGGGGCGTTACTGCGTTGGCCACCATGGATGTGTTAGAGGCAAATCTTCCGCGTGGTAAGGTTGAGGAGTACGTTATGAGCTGCTGGGACTCGGCCAGTGGAGCGTTTGGTGCGTTTCCCAAGCACGATGGCCATATTTTGTCGACATTATCGGCCCTCCAAATACTACTGATTTACGATGTGGCAATGCCCACCTTGGACTCGGAAAAAAGATCCCAGCTCACCCAGTTTATTGTGGGTCTCCAGCAGGACGATGGAAGCTTCCAAGGCGATCGCTTCGGAGAAATAGACACTCGGTTCTCGTATACTGCCCTCTCGTCGTTGTCTATCCTCGGAGAATTAACACCTGAAATCGCCGATCCTGCCATTGCTTTTATCATGCAATGCCAGAATTTCGATGGCTCCTTCGGGTTGGTTCCCGGCAGCGAAAGTCATGCTGCCCAGGTGTTTACATGCATTGGTTCGCTTGCCATCTGCGATCTGTTGCACTTGCTCAAGGACGATACCAAATTGAGCAACTGGCTCAGCGAGAGGCAGGTGTTGCCAAGCGGAGGCTTCAATGGACGTCCTGAAAAATTGCCCGATGTGTGCTACAGCTGGTGGGTGTTGTCGTCGCTTGCAATTTTCGGAAAGAAGCACTGGGTGGATCTTCCGATGCTCGAAAAGTTCATCTTGGCATGTCAAGATGGCTCCGATGGAGGGATTAGCGACCGTCCCGATAATCAGACCGACATCTACCACACCTGCTTTGGGATTGCGGGCTTGAGCTTGATCGACCACAGGCGGTACGGGTTCAAGGAGATCGATCCCGTCTACTGTATGCCAAGTGAGACAACCCAGCACTTCACCAAGTGGAAGCGCGTATCCTAGAGTGGTGATAATTAATTAAGTGTGGGTGCATTTGACGCCAATCGGAATATAGTTAATGCTGGAAATGCGAGACATGCCTGACGGCGCATGGCCAGCGCGCCAGCGTCGGTCTCGAAGTAGCTAAAGGAACAACACGTAGAATATCGCGGCAAATTCGTTGATATAGCCCGATCGGGGCTTCTGGTGTGGCATCCCACCGTTGGTGGGGGGACTCAGTAACGGTAGGTTTATGCATAACTAAATAGCCGATGGAAATTATTTGGCGGACCAGCACACCATAAAAATAATGGCCCAGCATGAAAAAATATGGTTGGGATTTCTTTCCGGATTCGTACGCTATTGTTGATGCTCGCTAGGGATTCCAGAGCATATCACGTGCCTTTATCTTCTGCACTGGCAATAGCCGATAATCCCGCACAGGCACCGAAAGTCATGCCACTCTTTCAAGTTTGTAGCACGGAGTTATAAAATACGCTACTGATGTGCGTGTACGATCTCTATGCATGCGAGACTATTCCCAACATGCATAGTTGAAGGAATTGGGCTTTGCAAAACCATTCAATGGATCGGATCGTACATGAGCCCACTGTCACAAATGGGCGCACCGTGAGGGTGGAATCCGCACAGCGTTACGAGGTCATGTTCTGGCTCACTAGGCCATTTCCCCTGTATGGGAATACCCATCTGAAATAGCCTATGCTTCGGTTTCTTGGCTGCCAGGCAAGAATTTGAGCACTTGCAAATAATTTCAAGTTACAATCAGATAAATTTTCTATCTACATGCTTCATTCTATGAGGAAAATATAATGTGCGTGGGTGCATTCTAGGAAATATTTATTCAGCAATGTGTGATTAACAGGCACTCATTTGCAACCTAACAGGCTTCAATTCAAAGCCATGTCCTTTAACCAGCTGGCCCTGCTGCACCCAGTTCATTTCCTATTATTAATGGTTGTCGGTTGGACAGCAGACACAAAAACACTTCCATACCTGTTAAAGCCTATCTTTCCATCGCTTTTTGGATATTTCACCCGATACCACCGGCGTACCAGGAAGGTTTTAGAGAGCACCAAACCAATTACGTGTGGTAAAGCCTATTAAGAGTGGTTTGTAGCGGGATTCCGGGGGCCAGGCTAACCTCGCTTCGACACCATTGGAATGCGCAGCTTCCATCCAGAATGATGCCAACACCGCATCCAGCTGCAATATCCGTGTCGCTCGCTAACTTAAAATCCTTGACGTAGGCTCATTCCGCAGTGGCGCCTCATTCTGGTACCAGCCAGAGCAAATTCCGCAAATGAACACCCTGGGAGCACCTGCTGCGGTGGGCGCACACATTTGTGGTTGAAACCCTTGAAGTGCTTCCATACGTGTAACAGGTGATAATCACACCTGCCTGTGACAGCAACGGAAATACTTTGTAGGTTTAGTTGTTCTCCGTCCGCTAACAATAGCGCATGGATTATGATATCTCATCACACGTTTGAGACAAGAATGTTGCATATCAAAGTATCTTGTGCAGCAAGGCTCAGGGCCCTAGTCCGGAAAAAGAACCTCCATGGGAACACACTATTGCTGAGTGACCTCTGTCGGCGCCTGGGCAGACCGAAGGTTTGAGCTCGTGGTGGGAATAGAGGCTGATGAAGCTTCAGGCCAAAATGGTCCGACTTTTTGGTCAGGCCCACCACCCGGGGTAGTAATTCTAGATTGCAGTAGAGAATGGGTTCACAATGCTCCAGATTCCGGGGCCCGTGTTGGGGGCCCAGTACAAGGGAGCTAAAAATGTACACGAATTAGACTTTTGTTTCGCTGTGCACTGATGGGAGGTTAAGGTTCAAGGGCACATTGCACTGGTTCGTAAAGCGTGTCAAAAAAGCTTGTCATTCAGGTACCTTGCGACAAACCTACCGTTGTCATTTGACGGGTGGCGACGAGTCTAGACGGGCCCACGGGATTTTTAGGCACGGTTGCGACCCACAAGCACACTAGAGCCTCTGTCCAACCACTGGGCCTAGAAGTGTTGATGTACCCCCTTGGTGCACAAGCTCCTATTTGCCAAAATTTCACGTATTGATGCGTCAGGGCTAAATTACGTGTGGACCACACTAGAATGCGGGAGCTACAGGGAAGTCTATAAGGGCAATTCTTACATTGGAGCTGCTATACAATTGTGGTGGTCGTAACGTAGATTAGTGGGACATGGCATGGGTGTGTGGGTTCAGTTCAACAAGAAATTGATCGAGTGGTGGGACTTTTTCTTGTCGGGATTTCCGTGATGCAAGGTGGTGTGGGTGCTAGTTCCGCTGCTGGTGCCACTGATGATGCGTCTCCACCTGAACTGGCACGCGTTGGGGGTTCTGTCTTGGAAGAACGACGAGATCTCCCTCCAGCCTAGCTTCTGGACCTCCTTGAGCTCGCGGAGCAATTTGTCTTCCTTAGCGGACCAGGTGGTGGACTGCTTGGAGCGTCTCTTGGTGTGCATCTGGGGCATGGAGCCTGGCATGGCGATTCCGGGCAAGTATGAGAGCCCACCGCTAGCTGTCATGGGTGAATGCTGCATGTGGATAGCAGGGGTTCCCTGCACCATTTGAGGAGCATATGCCACATGTGCCTGGTGCTGCTGCTGCTGCTGTTGGTAGTAGAGGTACTGGTTGGGCGCATGGGTGTACTGTGGCAATGGCTGTGTCTGGGCCTCTCCCTGCTTGTAGTAATAGTACTGGGGATTGGCGGTGTGTGCCGCAAATGCTAATGGGGGGGATGAAGTTGTGGACGAGCTTCTGTGCGATGGTGGTTGATGCTGATATGTCTGATGCGGATAGAATCTGGAGGGCGAGTACTGGAAGTACAGGTCGTTGGGTTCGGATGTGCCTAAGGGCCTCAATTGCTGGCTCATGGGGTGTGCAGACGGAGAGACAGTTGTGGAGGGGGACTCGGCAGGATAGTCGCCGTCGGCGTCATGCGGTATGGAGGGAAGACGGAAGCTTGATATGTCTCCGCCAATGCTGTGCCGACTGGGATAAGAAGAATTGTTGTTTGTGTATGACATTAAGGATATCATAGCACCGTGATTGCAAACAGGAATATGTAGGGAGTGCTGCCAGACAAAAAATCTGCAAAATATGTTCCTTATGTAGGTTTTATTATTAGGATCCGATGGGATTTGTATGCTATCGTGAAACAGTCGAGACCGACCTGTGAATGCACCTCGAAAAATAGAATTCCACAACGATAGTCGAATCAATAGTCAATTAAGATACTTAAAATGTCAAAACTTAGAAACAGGGTAAACGACAAAAGCAGGTACCTATTAAACAATTTTCGCGCCTTCTATTGTGTAGGCAATTTCTTTTAATTGCCGTTTCGAAGTAATTAGCGACTAGGATAGTCTGAAGTTTGATTTGTCCCGAACAATAACCAAAGTACAAGGGCAGTGATATCGGCAGATTGCCTATGAAATGAGCCAATAAGTGGTGGTGCTTGCAGATGCTGGTGGTCAAATACTCGAAAGATACTTGCGTCTGGATAAGATAAACAAGCTTGCTTGGAGAAAATTCCCTAGATAAATATATTCTGAGACCGATACACAGTTATAAATAGAGGATGCCTTTGCTTCAGGGCATCTACTACACTTTCTCCTTCACCAGCGTTATGCTGTGCCAACATCAAAAAGTTTAGATAATCAACATGCCTAATAAAATAATCGAGACCACTCCAGAGAAAATAACGTAATTGAAACAATATCGGAAATCATATGTGCCAGCTGCATTAGTAAATTATGCATAAATCACACTAACTACGAAAAACAAGGCTTTTGTGTGTTAATTATTTCCTTTTGCGATCGAAATTTTATTTTCTGGATGATTTTATTTTTTGTATGCAAAATATATAATAGTTTATTAAAAAAAGGCCAAAAAATTACACCCACTTTGAAACATTTGTAACAATATCTAGCATAGCTTGACAACGTTTTTTTTTACTCGCCTGCACACAGCAAACCCGGCCCAATCCAGAGAAGAAGAAACACCTTCACCTTCACTACCCGGATCTACAGTCTGACAAGTCCGCTCATGCTGTTTTGCAATGCCTCAGGAGCGCCTTGAATTCTACCCCAAGAGGCCTGTTAGACCCCGCCATCAAGAATTGTGATTCCTCGAGCATTACTAACTTCCTTTAACAGAAACAAGCAAAAAAAACAATCCATACCTCATGTACTTGCAAAATCATTTTTGATAGAAGCCATTTGTAGTAGTTGACGAAATAATCCCCCAAAAAGCAGTTCTTTTGAGAGTATCCGAGAATAATTCCTTCATGGTCACTTATCGGCAAAAGAAGACTCTGACGGTAGACGTTATTTTCACGGAATTACGATTCTGCAAATAGGGCCAAGATCTCATCATGAAATATTTCTTTTCAAGAGGCCCAGAGAGTCGATTGCGGCTAAAACAATCCATCCAAAGCGGCTGAAACGGACTTAAAGAGAAAACAAGTGCCCATTATCCTCAGTTCTAAAATCCATTTACCAACCATGGCTATATTCAACTGTCAGATAGGCCATTTTTCCTGCAGTTACGACACTCACCTCCAACTCTGTCGGTAATTTTTAGATTCACGACTATAAATAGAGAAATGTGGCAGTGTTGCCCTTAATTTGCCACGCTTGCACACCTTCACTTGCCTTAAACTTGGAAATACTGTGCCTTGAACTTACTACCTGTTCCCGCGTAGTGGTAGAGTTTACCTGTGTGCTTATACTTGTCCTGGTAGCGAAGGCGCGCAGCCTCCTGTAATATTGTGGGGTATTAGGCTAAACAACAATTCCTCAAAACTAGCTAGCCTAGATCACCGCTGGTATGCCTGATCAGGTAAGCATTACTTGCCGCCGTTTGGATATGCTTCTTCCCGACACTAAGAAAACACTTCGATATTTTTCCCCGTTATTATTAATGCTATCAGAGCCCAGCTGCACCATATACGAAAATACCAGCATATGCAATCTCAGGATTGATAATTATGCACCCCAAAGGCCACCATAATTCGCAGTCGCTGCATAGGACTATCACCGCTCTTGTGATGCACAACTACATATACGGAGCTCGTATCAACTCCTGGCTAATAGCAGAGTCCGACAATTTGCGCCATCGAGACGGTGGTTATCAAATCCTTCTCCTCTCTTCAGTCTCTCTTCAGTGCTACCACACGGCTGTTTGGATCTTGTTAATTAACCTGCACATACATGCGCGCGCACCACCACTCCAATACGCAAGATTTCCTTGGTCCGCTTTTTTGTCAGCTGGAAGGAGACTAAAGATCTGCCGGACAGTCTAGTAAATACAGACCATCTGCTGCGGTTTCCTGGATCTCTGGATTGTCCTGTTTCCCGATTATAACAATGTTCTTCTGCCGTCAGGCGATCCGGCGACTGTTCTGCAACCCCGGTCTGTCATCTCCAGACTATTTGACGTATCTGTTATCTCCTGAACACGCGGAATTAGCATGCAATACCTCTAAATCTGCACTCTCCTCATCCGGATTTGAGGTGACTCAGCCCCATGCTGCACACCTGCGTTGCTGAAGTCCTCTAGCCCCTCGTCGCTGTTCCCCCGAGCTGTCCGCATGAAGTGACTGTCGGTGAATGCTTGACCATGCCGAGATGGCTTCTTGCGTTAGTCAACACCTCCACCACCTCCGGTGTTCTTTTTAGCGATAGCGATCGACATTCCTGCCTGCGACAAATCCGGACTAAGATCCCAACAATAAGCGGACGCAACTAAAAAAGTTTACTCGGGGTTTGTGGCTTGGACTAGTGCTGGTATTGAAGACGTGGAATCGTTGTTCCTGATGGAAACCTTTCGTGGGATGGATCCTATCCAAGCACAAAAACGGCTTCTATTTGTGGAGTGCCAGTAGCCCCTGAACGAATGCGGAAACTGGCTGGCCCAGGAACCATCGCCGAGGGGGGTAGCAAGTTGTGCATATTGCGATGGGCGATGGGCATCGCAATTACTCCTTATTTGCGGCGGGTCACACATCACGAGAACCGAAGTCGTCACTTGCAGTACCAAGGAGGGCCGATGGTGGTATGCCGTACTATTATCCGCAGCATGCCCCTGTGCCGCACCCGCTCCGGAAAAAGCCTTGGTAACGGCCACTTGTGAGTGCTTAGTTGCTGACGCACCGGGCGCATTGACAAAGGATAATTGTCTTTATGTTTGAAACGGACATTGGCGCAATGGGGCTATTGTGCGGAAGCATCCGTCATGTAAATTCCTCCCTCTTACAGCTCTGCCAGGGGCAGCTACAGGGTATTGTGATGAAACAATTGGATAGATGGAGAAAAAAAAACTAGTTGGTCTAAATGTTGAGGACTATCTGTGCGGACATGTCGCGACATACTGGCAGTGCCTGCATGAAATGCGGAGGCTGATGGTCGTCAAAGGACAATCGGACATGTCGATTCAAGGCTGGCTACAGTGACGGCGCCCGTGTCGACACGTCTGGTGGAATTCAGCCTCTGTATGGCCACTTTTGGTTCTTTTGGTCCTTTCCGCCCGACAGGCCCACCCCGGTTGTGTCAAAACTGTCGTCCCCAACATTAGTTCGTGCCATGGTCTGCGGGCGGTGCGGTGATGCGGTGATGCGGGTGGTGCATACTCGAAACTAAAATTCCCCTGGCGCCAGTTGGTGGGATCTAATGGCGGCCCAACGGCGCCAATCCCAGCAAAGAGGTGCATGCAGCACACCTCCAGTAGGCGTGGTCTACATACGGGTCTCGACTGCCGTGTGTATATAAAGCAGGATGCTACATAAAATGGTCTGATAGTACCTAGATACAGATCTTGTGAACTCTATAATGGTGCATCTAGACTGTGGATAAACTTCGCCCCACATACCACAACAAACTTTAATCAGCCTGGCTGAAACAAGCTGGTACCGGGCCGTCAATTGTAGGACACTGCGAGGCACAGCCGTGTGGGTCAGTATTCGCAGACATGACCTACCACCAAGGCTCTTGCTTATCCGTTCCACACCAGGCCTCGGCTGTTTTGCGGCATTTCACACATGCACCTTATGCACCTTAAGTGTCAATCGTCCCCACATCACCACAATGTGGCACCCCGTCACCAGGCACCGCTACTCCCAGAAGGAGAAACCCCGGAGAAACACCTGGTAACGAATGACACTGCAGCAGAATAGGGTATAAGGTTTCAGGACCCATCATCACCGCAGCAGACACTCATGCTCCCGAACTTCCAAATTTAAGTGCCCACTGCTCATATTGTTCGAGTCCTTCGCTGGACACACTGGGCCGAATATACTTCAAGCTATTTTTGAAGTCGTCCAAGTTGATCAGTCGGATATTTTCCGTGGCCGTCAGCAACAACTTGTCGCCCAACGATCTCAAGGGCCCCATGGCCGAGTCCTTAGCCAATGCGGTGATGTCCGAGCCACTGAAGCCCTCGGTCAACCGCATCAACTCGTCGTAGTCTTCCTCCGTTAATTCGTTGTTTTGGTACTGCAACAACTTCTTAATCTGGCTCTTTCGGGTGTCCCCCTCTGGTAACGGGATATACTGTCTTCTGACAAATCGTCTTCGTGCTGCTTCGTCAATGGACCACGGCAAATTGGTCGCCCCAAGAATCAACACCCTGGACACATCTTCCGACTCGCGTCCAGCTGCGGCGCTCGACAACTCGGACCATTGCACCAAAAACTCATTCTTGATTCTTCTCGTGCTCTCCACCTCTCCCTCGGTTCTAGAACTCAAAAGTGAGTCGATTTCGTCCACGAACACAATGGAGGGTGCCAACTTGCGTGCCAATATGAACAATGCCCTCACCAACTTCTCGGATTCTCCCAAGTATTTGGAGGTCAATGACGATGCGCTAATCGAGAAAAATGTAGACTTGGACTCGGTAGCGACGGCTCTGGCCAACATAGTTTTTCCCGTTCCCGGAGGCCCAAACAAGAGCATTCCTCGCGTGGGCTCTCTGAGGCCACGAAACAAGTCTGGTCTCAAGAAAGGATACACCACTGCTTCCTTTAGCGAATTTTTGGCGCCTTCCAACCCCACGATATCGTCCCAGTATACCTCGTCTCCTTTCACCACGATATCGTTCAAGATCTGCTTCGCAGCCAAGGGGTCCACGCCCTTGACGTTGCTGATAAAAAGATCCTCTTCTTCCTCGAGGGTGAGCTCTTTCGGTTCCAGGGCTTCTGGCGACGTAGCTGGTGCTGGCGACGTGGACTCTGGTCGTGGGCTCGTCTTCTTCGTAGCAGGCTTCACTGCCTTTCTGGTGGGAGAAACATTTTTGGCCGGTGCTTTCACGTAATTGTATGAGATGTTACTACTGGGTTTGGGTTTGATGCTGGCTGCAGGCTTGGCTGCGGGCTTGGCCTTGACTGGGGCCTTCTGGCTCGTCTTTGTGGGTTCTTTGTGCACTGCTGGCTTGGGACGAGGCTTGGAGGTGTTTTTCATCAACGCACTAATGTTCATGGGCTTGGGCTTGTTGTATACGTAGCGTGCCGTGGTTGTGGCGGGACTTGGTCCATTGTCTGGCTCTCTTGAAGGGGCAAGGCTTGGGGAATTCGTCTGCGATACGTCTGTGGCGCTCTTGGAAATATGAGTGCTGGTTAACTTGGGCTGAGACGTGGTGGTGGAGGGTTTGGCGATATTGCCAGTGCTATGATGGTTAACTCTGATTCTTGGAGGAGGAGGGGGAGGAGGTGCCTTCTTGAGGGACAAATCCTGCAATGCATGGTGAGGGGCTTCTTCGTGGTCGCTGGCAAAGTAGTCCACCAAAAAGTCGTCTTGTTCGTACGAAGGCTCGTAGACATGGTTGATGGTGGGACCAGGGCTTTCCTCCAAGTCTATCAAGTTGGGCTCGAAGTCACCGTTGGACGACGTCGAGAGGCCCGAAGACGTCCTGGAGCCGTTGACCTTCTCCCAGTTGTCGCCAAACTCGAATGAATCCTGGTCAAAGTCGTCGAAAACGCTTTCGGACGATTTTCCCGATTTGACTGCGGTAGTAGCGGCCTTCTTGGGTGCAACTGGCTTCTGCCACGAGAAGTTGGCCGCCTGGGACGCCTGGTGGCTCTTTTTCTTCGATAACGTGGGTGGTGCAGACGGTCTCAACGACTTGAGCATGGATCTCGAATTGGTGGAACTCAACGACAGTCGTTGGGCCGAGCTTCGGAGCGACGGGATCGTCATCGACGACAGTGGCGACTTGGTCACCCCTGGCCTGGAAGGAGGAGTTGGAGCAGCCACGGCAGCGGACTGAGCTGCTGCCTGCTTCTTTCTGTTGACCTCGTCCACACGCATCTGGACCCGGATCAAGTGGCGAATGTTCTCATCACGAATTCCCTTCAACTCCAGGAGAATGGTCAATTCGTCATTGTTGAACTTGTACGCCTGTTTCTCGAACATCTCGATCTTAAAGAGGAGCGATGTGTGGAGGCTTTTCCAGCCCTTAAGAGCGTCCTCCACGCGGAACTGCTCCTCCAACGTGATGTACTTGATGCTGAGGTTGCAGCAGTCGTCGTAGGTCTGCTGGAGCTCTTCAAGAGGCGCCAACTGGGGCGGTTTCTTTCGCAGAAAGAGTTTGGACATGACTGGCGATTTGAGGGCGTGGCTTTACGGTGTTTTTTGGATCTTTTCAAGATTGAGCTGTTTCTGACGTCTTCCGGCTGCTTGTGGTGTAGAGTGTAGATTGGCGTGTAGCGTACTGGCAGTGTTGGTGGTGGCGTCTATAAGCTGGGCAGAAACTGCAGGGAAACGAGATTTGAAAGAGTGTCTGAGCCACGAACGGTCAAATGTGATGCAGTAAGGAGGTGATGGCCAATGCACGGGTGGGATCGATGTGGACTAGCGGGCAGAGGCTAAATTGTGGTGGAAGGATTCATACAGTCAAGCGACAATACTGAGACTGTATGGGGCTTGCTGGTCACGTGACTATATGGTCCTGTTCCTTGGCTAAGGGCTGGGGGAGGCTTGGTGGTGGTTCTACGAGGGTGGCGGTCACGTTGGAGCGGCTGGTGGACTGGACGGCACAGCCGCTGGACTGCTAAATTTAATTTGGGGCAATTGCGATATAATTATCATTTGGCTTAGAGTGATTGCAAATTGTATGACGTATTATCATCCATCAGGCTTAGGACAATTGCAAATTGTACGAACGACTATCATGTATCGTCGCAGCAACTTCGTATATGACATCGTGGGGGTGTACTCGAGAATTGATGCTATACTGGATACATAAGGCAAAAGACTGCTAAGCTTACGTGGGGTTAATAATAGATATATAGGGCTCCTGATCGCAGAATTAATGCTATTTGCTTGATCCAAAACCATTTATGGACGGAATCAAGGCGCTGGAACGAGGTTAATATTCGTAAGTTGGACCATTTACTCTATCAAACAATCTCGACTTATCAATCAGCTTAATCCACTCGGATTCTTACCACTAAGGATTAAAGTGTCCAGAGCAATAGTGGTAGTCAGGGACAAATTCCTCGGGATTTTCTGTGGCCAGGGCACAAGTGAATAAAAATAACCATGCGAAAATGAAACGACTGCTCATATCAAACGAGCTTCTACTCCGAATCAAATACTATATCTGAGAACTTGATTATTGTTTCCAAGTACGTGTGTAGATTAGTCTTAGTCATATCGTGGCTAGGATTCTATTAGAAAGGTTTTCCCAGAGTGTTGCAGTTGCTACTGCTTCAAGAAGCGCATTTCTGGAATTCTGAAGTCTCTCAACTGATCCCGGGATCTCACTGGGCTTGGCCGTGTCTTGTAGTATGAACTTCAGTATGAACATCCATACTACAGTACTCAGTCTTGACAGATAGAAGTGTTTACATATGTTGTGACGTAACGGGATACTCCAAAGTTTCTAACCTTCAAAATATTCTTTGTAGCCACATTGATCTGTCCGTACAATCAACAAATAACCCACAACACCGCCAGACCCATGCTACTACTGACCCATGCCCAACCTCCCTAAGTTAATAGGCGAAGAAGAGCACGAATGTAGACGCAGCACCATGAGCCCGACGGCATTACTAGTTAGTGCCAAATTTCCGGAGGCAACTTTCTGATGTTCAAAGGATGGCCCACCGGCGCTATTTATAGGGGCGGTCCAAAGCCGGGTAACTGCTTCTGGTCTGGGGCGGGTAACTTCAAAATGGTATATCACGTGATGTGTGATATAGCCATACCTAAGACAAGAGGCGAAGGGTGTGAACCAGCAACACGGAAGGTCCCGTGACAGTTACTAGATATCAGAAAATAAGTGAAATTTCCCCACAAACTACTGGAGGTATCTGAGCATTTAATGATTAATAATCTGTAGTTCCCTATTTGTGGTCCCAAATCGGCCAATTAATCGATTATTAAAATATCTTTTAAACCCAGTTACTTCTGTAAGTTCTTCAGAGGAAATCAGATACCTCTGCGTATGGAGTAAATGCATCTGCTACTATTTTGCCATGAAATTTGATAGATTACATTGCCCAAAAGTGGAAATTTATTAAAATTTCACTGGCATCAGATTCATCCCCCAATTATCCAAGCTGAATTTCTTCTTTCCCATATGCTGTCCATCCTACAGCTGCCCATCCCTGCACCATTAGATATGAAGGCTCTACAACCCGGCCACTGCCGGGTAACCTCTAATCACGTGATACACTATTGATACGTGGAGCAACTACACTACAGCCTGTTCCACATCACTATGGGGTTGTCTGACATCGTGGTGCCTGTGGTGGCCTTCCTCCTCACTATCCTAGAGGTCAGCTTGCGCCATACTCTCAATGTCGTTGGGTGGGCCTCGCAGACCTACCCGAATGCTTTCCAAGCTATCCTCGGACTTGTGCTTGCGTACTTAGCGTACAAATTCATCCGGAAAGTGATCAGAATATGGCTAGACTTGATCGTTTCCATAATCAAGACTGTGATGTTCCTTTCAATTGCAGTGGTGCTTGGATTGGTGTATCTTCGAGGATTTTCCAAGCTAGTCAACAACGACTTGCCGTACTTCAGAACGTTGTGGGATAGCTACTTCAGCCAACCTGAGCCGTTGACCGGCTCTGGAACAGGCTACTGGATTTTGGACACCATTGGCCAATTCACAAACACCAAGCTCGACCATTTCATGGCCAAAGTGAAGGAACCATTGCAGCATGCCACCACCACTGCGACTCCCGATTTCGATCCCTACGGCTACGATCCCTCGGATTACCTCAGGTACGCCCAGGACCACTTCAAGGCCTCGCAAGGTGGCGGTTTGTTTGATAATTTGGCAGCCTATTTGAATGAACTCTGAACGGTGCATTTTCGGTGCCATTTGACATGGGGATGTGTCGTATTACTTCCGACGTCAGCCTCTGCAAAGCTCCAGACAAGAGTCACTTTAAACTATTGGAAATTTCGCTTTTAAACGAGATTCTTAAGTAAATTTATGAACAATTGTGGGTGGAGATCTCTGGATTTGAACCCCCGAAAAGACTGAATGCGAGTGTTAGTCGATGGCTATGAGTAATGATGTTAGCTTATTCACATCTAAGAAGATACGGCATGAAACTTACATACAGTTCATTCCTAGATGTTGGCTGCGAAATATATACAAGCGCATATATCTTTCTTTTGCCACCACCTATGCTGGAGTATCTGTCATTACTGCTCCTGCTGACACCTCAAGACCACTGAGTGCTTGGAAATACATACATTAAATAAGCTAATACTGCTGAATAAACTCTCGAGAAAGTCTTTCCCACAAAACCATTACTGATATGGCATTTTATAAGTATTTGATAATAAACGTCCTTTCCAGCCTACAGCCAAATACCCGCATAGTCTTCAGAACTGCGGTGCTTGACTTATAATCTATCTCAAGTATAAGTTTTTAAAAATATTGTATATGCACGTAAATTAATAAGATGATCTAACTAGACCTGTTTATCCCCAACCTTCTCTACCTGTTTTTCTGGCAACTCGTCTATACACTGCAACCCATTATCCTTCACAAAAAGATTGCTCACCAAGCATACACCCATTAAGGGAATGGTAAGAATGAAAAAGTTTTTGATCGACTTCATATACATCGTCTTGATCAATTCCACCTGGTCCCTGCTCATGCCGGAGGGGTCGATTCTTGTATAGATGTGAGTTTTCATGTAGGTCAAAAAGGCAGAACTCAATATGGAGTCGTCTCCTTGTTGGTCAATTTCTTTCAAAAGACTGTTGCTCACGATCAACGAAGCGATGGCTACACCCACGGCACCACCAAACGATCTCAACACATTTCTGGCACTTATTACCACGGCTCTTTCGGCCTTTCTGGCCAGGGCCTGTGCAGCCACCATCGTGGGCTGGAACGTCCAGCCAATTCCGGAGCCCATGAGCAACAAAATGACCACTATTACCCCATAATTGGTAGTCTTGTTGAAAACCATCAACAACCCACACGCAAGGGTCCATACAGTGTATCCAGCGATGATAACGAACTTGTAGTGGCCCGTTCTGGAAATAATTTGTCCAGCAACAATAGACATGATCGACATGGGTAACACCAAAGGAAGTACGAAAATCGACGAGTGAATTGCATCCAACTGACGGACAATCTGAAGGTAATACGGTAAGTAGTAGAGCACTCCATAGTATGCCATTCCAAAAAAGAAGTTGGACAAGAGAATAATTGACAACGACAACCGTCCGAACAAATCCAAGGGAATCATAGGAAGCTTGGGGATCTTCCATTCAATCAACACGAACCCTACGAAGCAGCCTCCGCCAATAATAAACATCACGATCACAAGTGTACTGTTCCAGGCATAAGTGCTTCCACCACCACTGATAGGCACCAAAAGTAACGTCAAGCTGGCAGTGGAAAATAAAAGGCCCAAGTAGTCGATCTTCTTGAATTTCTCAGCCCGTGAAAGAACGCTGGAAAGCTTCTGGGAGTTTGATCTGTCGTCGATCAAGTACCAGATGGTGAGCATCACCATCACAATCAATGCTGGCATCATGTGATAGAAATTTCTCCAGCTGTTGTGCTCAACAAACCCCGCCATGATGAAGGGACCAAGAGCATTCCCAAGGCCAACTTGGGCACCCAAAATTCCCTGGTACTTTCCTCTTTGCTTCAAGGTAACGATGTCGCTCAACATCACCATGGTCAACGACTGGGTACCTCCAGCACCAATTCCAGCAAATGCTCGGAACACATAGAATTGTGGTCCCGTTTTGACAAATCCACAGATCAAGTCTGCTACCGCCAAAATTCCCAACGATGTCAAGAGAATGTTTTTCCGGCCAAAAATGTCGGCCAATCTGCCGAACAACACCTGGCATACACAGTTGGCTAACAACGACGAAGTACCAGCCCAGTTGATGGAGGTTTCCGCATTCAAGTCCTTGGCAATTTGCGGCAATGCGATAGTCAACCCAGTCTGGTCGCAAAACGAGATGAAGAGGCCCAACGAGAGGGCTGTGAGGCACACTAGGAGCTTCTTCAACGGTAAAATGTTGAGGTGGGCATCCCCCAATTGATCTGCTAGCTGGTGCTTTTCAGATCGCGACACAATCGGTGTAAGTCCGGTATCGTTGCTTTCCGGACCACTATCGTGGGCCATATCGTCGCTATGATGTTTGTCTTCGGCCAGTTCCAACTTGGTCCTTTTGCTGGGTGAAATCCTGGTGGGTTCTTTTGCACCCATTTGGGACTTTTCACTGATAGCCTGCATGATCTCTGGTCTACATATCTGGCAAATCCTTGGCGTATACCAGCGAGGTGGCTGCTTATATAGAAAAAAAATTCGGAGCGCAAGCGGCATCTCGGACTAGTGATGTGACGTCTGCCGGGGTGGTCAACGGATGGGGGCGGGAAGCGCCCCTCATCTTGATCGCTAGGAATAGCGCGCGTAAAACGGCGCGAAAACGACGATTTTGGTGTCTAAATGGCTGTGATAGAAGGCAGGGGGGACCTGGCGAGATTCTGGCCTCGTAATGGCACTCTGACGATGTTATTCAGTCCTTTTCTCCCAGTTGTAAGCTCATCAATAACAGATTTTTAATTACTAATGAGCCCTGACAGCGGAAATATAGCCGCATTGGGCTAGCGCGTGCATAATGTTACATCTCGCATCACTCGGAGCCGGTGCTCGGCCACTACCCCGCATGAAACCAGCAAATTGGATTGGGCAATGGGTGGTGTGCGGGCAAGGTGGGGCTCGTTTGGGGACCCCGGAGGTTGCAAGCAACACCACCAGAACGGCTTCAGGACTCCAGCGTTTATACACATTTGCCGTTAGCGCTCAACACCAACCCCACTTTCGAAGTTTGAGCAGAATTATTGAGTTCAACATCAGCAAAACTGAAAACCATACATTCTATAATCCGCTACTTTATATCCAACGATATATAGAATGAAACGTACTGACTGTGGTGGTACCCGTTAGGACGTATCGTTGATAATCACGTATCTGCCTTTTTCTGGTCGAATTTGGTATGAAATGTAGAAGGTACATGAATGGAAACGTACCTATGAAATGTCCAAATGCCATTCAAGGGAGGTCCTAATAATATCTCTTCAAACATTCTGCGTAATGGAAAGTAGATTGCAAACTACTGCATTTTTCCAGATAGTTGCTGATTAACTTGCCAGTGCTATTTTGGCTGATTTTTGCCAGAATATTATGAATTCTCTAAATAAAATCTGTGTCGAAATTTTTACCTAAAAACCTCTTCACTGTACCTAAATATTATCCTTAAAACGTCGTATTGTTATATTATCCCCAAATTAGTTTTTCCGTCACTTTCTCTGTTGCCCTTAATCTGTATTTGTCTAAATATCTCACCTATCATCTGAGATCATAAACTATTTTGCCTTTGACTAAACCAATTGACGCTCTATCCAATATTCCAGCACCCTACACCCCTGCCTCTATCGCTATTATGGAGTTTAACTCTGATTACATAAGCACACACATACTGGGTCTCACGCTTTTCTTCTCATGACACAACAAGAATAAGACTTCGTGGCCAAGCTGGTTAAGGCGTAAGACTGTTAATCTTGAGATCGTGAGTTCGACCCTCACCGAGGTCGTCTATTCTTTTTGCTTTTTGGTGGAGTATCTTTATTGGTTATTTACCTGCTGCTGGGTCCATACGATACTGGCCCGAAGAACGGACCACCTCATGGCTTCTTATAGCCGTTCCCTCACCTGTTTCAGTTATTTTTTGCACGCTATACCCAATCATTGACATGGCTACTGCCTAAACATTCAACATCATTATTACTATACCTGAAGTATGGCGATCCTGTCGGATCGTACCCTCCTGGCTTCTTTAGAGTTGCGTAGCTTGGTCCAGGTAAATTTTCTACATAGCCATTGAGCTTTCTGGACTGTCTGACTATGATCCTCGGCAGAAAAAGAGGAAGAGACTGTCATTGATCTGGATACTGCTTCCGTGATCTTGAGCTAGTGCCAGAGAGATCTCCTACCTCTTCCTTTCAGCTCTTCCACATCTTCCAGCTCACCACAACCTCTTGGATCGCCTCGCAGCTCTTCCTGTCAGCCTCCCCACCACAGCCTTCTGAAACCTCACAGCCCTCCCTACACGTACGAACAGTATACATCCATTGACTAACTACTTCTTTCCACTCTTCTTGATGCCTCCTCCAATCAAAGGTCCTCCCTTCTTAGCCTTCTCGGCCATGGCCTTCTTGGCCTGAGCGTCGGCCTTCTGCTTGGCCTTGAACGCCATGTCATCTTCATCCTCTTCAGCAGCTTTCTTCTTGGGGGCCTTCAAAGGCTTGGCCTTACCACCTTGACGTCCGGACATTGTGTGTAGTGATAACGATGAGAATTTCGTGGTGAAAGATGAGCATTTTCTGATGCTCTCTGGCTCCCCTCCCCCCCAACCTGCAAACTGGCCCTCCAGGTTTGCCGCGCAATCTTACACATTACCTGACCCTTCAACATCCACCAGAACTCCTCCAGCCTCTACATCTCGATCTTTCCGCCATGGCCATCTTGACCACCCCCGACAAAGAGAAAATCAAGCGGGCCGTGCCCAAGGCTAACAACAAGGTGATCGACGCCACGGTAGCACGGCTTTACGTGGCGTATCCCGACCCTACTCAATGGACCTACACAGGACTTGTGGGTGCAATCACGTTGGTGGACGACTTGGTGGGCCACACGTTCTTCCTCAAGCTCGTGGACATCTTGGGCCACCGTGGAGTCGTTTGGGACCAGGAATTGTACGTGAATTTTGAGTACAACCAGGACAGAAAGTTCTTCCACACGTTTGAGATCGAAGATTGCTTGGTGGGATTGTTGTTTGAAGACACCAACGACGCTGCACACTTCCACAAGCGTGTCACGACCCGCCAAAAGCATGGTTCTAAACAAACAGTCAACAACAAAAACGCAATCGCGTTGAAAGAACGGGCAGGCCCTTCTGCAAACCTGCAACCGGGCCCCAGAGGCGAGTTCGTGGACCTGAACACTGCTCAGAGGTCCAGACGGTCCAAGGGTGTGTTGTACTACGACGACGTGCCCCCTCCCGAGTGGAGGTCGTTGTACGCAGAGTTGGAGGCTGCAGGCATCAGCGAGGACATGATTGCTGACAACAGAGAGTTCATCAAGGAGTACATTGCCCAGCAGGGAGGACCTTTGGTAGGCTTGGAGCCTCCAATTCCTCGGAAACTCCAGAAAAAACACGAGCAATCGGTAGCCAGTCCTGCCAGAGTGAGTTCCTCGTCGTCACAGAAGCCAAAAAAGGCTCCTCCACCTCCCCCACCTCCAGGAGGTGCCTCCTCCAACGCAGCCTCCTCGCCAGGCACACCAACACCGCCTCCTGCTCCCCCAGCGCACGATTACGACGACAACAGCACCGATTCCGCTGCTGAATCGCCAGCACCCGAGCCAGCACCCGAGCCAGCGTCTCTGAAACCAAAATTCAGATTGCCACCAGCTAACGCGGTGGTTCCACCCGTTAGGAACTCACTGTTGCCCCCACCACCGCCCCAGGGCCAACAGCAAGTAGGAGCACCACCGCCATTGCCTCCACAAAATACCAGACCGCTCCCAAACTTGCCAGGACAGCCACCCCAACCGTACCACAACGCTCCTCCAGCGTTCAACCCCCCCAATAGAGGAGGTCCACCACCACCACCTAGGGCCAATAATGGACCTCCCCCCCCACCCAGAGGGGGGCCTGTCCCCCCACAAAGATCGGGTGCAGTTCCACCACCCCCACCTCCCCCCAGGGCTGCCAGAGGGGGTCCTCCACCTCCACCACCCCCAAGGGCTGCCAGACCCGCGCCAGGTGGAGGCCCTCCCCCACCACAGAACCAGTACGTTCCCCAAGCCCCCCCACAACCGCCCATGGGCCTGTCGCCATACAACGCCCAGAGTCCTCCGCCATTGCCCCCAATGTCCAGCCATCCCCCACCTCCTCAAAGGACTCCCCAACCGGCCCCTGGGGTTGCCTCTCCCCCACCACCTCCCCCACCACAGGTGTTCTCTCCCCAGCAGTCATCCCAGGGTCCTCCATTGCCACCAGCTGCAAATGGAGGTGGCGCCCCTCCCCCACCACCTCCCCCACCTCCTATGCCATCCATGACTTCTGGTGGACCTCCACCCCCCGCTCCTCCCCCACCTCAAATGGCTGCCAATGGACCTCCACCCCCCGCTCCTCCCCCACCTCAAATGGCTGCCAATGGACCCCCACCCCCACCTCCTCCCCCAGATATGTCTTCCTCCACTCCTGCGGAGGCTACTGGTGACCCAAGCAGAGATGCTCTTTTGGCGTCGATCAGAGGTGCTGGTCTAGGCATGCTCAAGAAGACCGACAAGTCCCAGCTCGAGAGGCCAAGTGTGCTCCTTCAGGAAGCAAAGGGTGAGCCAGTGGCTCCTCCTGCTGGAGGTCCTGCTGGAGGCTCTGCTGGAGGCCAGCCTGCCACCTTGGCAGATGCCTTGGCTTCTGCCTTGAGTAAAAGAAAGAATAAGGTCGCCCAGAGCGACGACGAGGACGAGGACGACTGGTAGCTAGACGTAAAATTTGCATATGAAGACCACCTCCTTCACAGAGGCCAATAAAGAATGCTTCTCAAATGGTAGAATACCTGTGTAATATTGTACTTTGATCTATCCGTTCTAGCGAGGACGGAGATGATGCCAGCTGGTAACTAGAAATAAAGTTGCATTTGTACCAACGTCTCAAAAGCCGCTAAAATACTTCAGGGTGGAATAATTTTTAAGATAACTATCATTTGAATTGAACAGTTCATTTTTATCTGTAATAATGTATTTGTATTATGTCGACTTCACTCCTCAGATCTGATGAACAACCAGACACATAAAAGGATACAAAGGTAGTGGAATTTCCACCATGATTGCGACTTCTTTTGAACAGTATTGGAGGCAGAACAAGCAAGCTAGTAATTTCAAATTAGTGTGTGGCGGCAATTGAGTTTGTAGCTGATGGGCAGGTAATGAAAAGCATTGTCAGTGAGTGCTAGAATTATGGGACTAGTTGTGAATGAAAGAGAAATATTATGATGTTGGATGAAGTTCAAAATGTGATGAAAAGTTCCAAGTCGTCAGACTTCACACAAACATTCAGATGTGTCGTGAAGAAATTCCTGTCATCAACGTATTTGAACTAATACAAATACTACTCAATTGGTACATCGACTCGTTTTCTGGTCTTCAGCATTACCCTTAGCAACCATCCTTCTCAGACTGCAAAATGAAATGATACTGTTGAAATTCTTACTATGAAAACTACTATGTATCCTGTGAAACTCGCTAGGCAAGTCATAAGTTGTTGGAGGCCACTGGAACTCGTTTTTTGCATTTAGCATAGAACAAAATCTAACTGACACATATCAGTTAGATCGATTATAAAGCAACAGGTAAAGATTTAAATAAGGACCAGAAGCTAGTTGTCAAGTGATTACTGTAGACGTTTCACATTGAACGGCTATACCAAACTCAATTCTTGCACTGTCTCCTCCCCCAGCAATCACCGTATTATTCGCCAGAGGCTATAAAAAGAGAGTAAAGACTACTCATATAGGGTGAATAATCTAGAAAGTACGCAGAAATATCTATAATATCCATCGATTTTATTATTGGGTAAGTAATAGTAGATAATTATTCAAGGACAGAATAGGATACACTCCTTTCGTTTCCCTAATCGTTCACTGTTAAATGACTTCCCGTATCTCGATTGTCCTTCGATATTGTAGAATTCGAAAGAACCGCAAAAGGTGAGAATAAGTTTGTTTGTATAAGTAGTTGTTACATTTTACAAAATTATTTGTTGACGGTATCATTAATTAATTTTTTCTGTTTGTTACGGCCATGATCTGGAATTAACTAACTAATTAATATCTACGGTACTATGCAATAGCTTCTTCCTCTCGTTAGAAGCAACAGTGGAATATTTGAATCTCGAATAATTTTGAGTACATACATACGATTATTTATTCAATCATTGTACCCACTACTATCTTAATGTATTTGTACCCTTTTCACGACCATTTCTCCGTATATCTCTATCAATCTACATATACCACATCCATATCTGGTCACGTGCCGCACATCGCCAAACAAAAATTTACAACCATCACCAGTCTCCCACTAGAAACATGTCCAAAACGAGAGAAGACGTCCAGAAACTCCTTGAGTCGTACAGCGAGGCGTTGCAGTACTGGCTGGATGGCTTGGCTGACCCCAAAAATGCATCCAAAATCAAATCTGCCAAGGTCAAAGCGCCATTGGACGAGCTCAAGAAATTGGCAAAGTTGATCAGAGCACACACCACCAAGGTAGGAATCATATTCAAGCCTCAGAACTTGGCCAAAGACGTGGGACCTGCCTACACCACCGTGCTGAAGTTGTCAGAGACGACGGTGTTGGTTATCTCGGTGGTGGTGCAGTTGCAACCAGGCGAGACCTCGCATCTCTTCTACAATGAAGTGTTACAGCAGATAAAGCAGTTGTTAGCGGCCAATTTGGGGTTCGTGGGTGAGCTCCAGGCAGTGTTGGACGATGTGGACGAGTTGGCCAAGGAAGACGGCTCTAAATCGGACGAAATCAACGGGCGTTTATTGGCAGTTGGCAAGATTTGGGCCACCTGTGACTCGTTGTACGGGTTGGTGGAGAACGGCAAACTCGGGCTTTTGACAGACAAGATCAAGGACAATATCGGACTTATTGACGACGGGTTCGAGGAGTTCGAAGAGTGGTGTGAAAACCCGCAAGAGATGGATGATGATCCGTTTGGATTGGATAGTGAGGACGAAGACGAGGACGGCCTCGACGGAGCCAATCCTCCCACAGAGAGCGACGACGAATCGAAAGAAGAGTTGATCAAGTATGCCAAGACCTGGCTCAAGAAGATCGAGTTGGTCAAGCTCTTGATGGCCTCGTTCAAGAAGTCATTGCCGCAAGCCACCACAGGCGAGCAGATCGACGCCATCTACGGACACCAGCAGGACATCGTCAAGCTGATAGACAAGCTCATTGTGGACTTGATGTTGAACGGAAGCATTGATGAGGAACTAGAGGGCATCACTAAACAGATTACACAAGAGTCTACCAGGTTGGCCAAGCTCGCACAGGCCATCCACGTCAATAACTCAAAGAAGAGCAAGTGGTATGATACCTGGATAACCAAGTTCTAGTCGCAGGGACAGTATTCAAGTAGCATTTTGATGAAGATAATTGATCTATATCTTGGTGTCTATCCATTCCATTCAGGCACGGTTCATCTGCTGTTCATTCAGGCACGAGACCTAGAGGCGTGACAGTCATTGGATCAATCCCAAGTGCTTGGCGTGGTGCTTGGCGTGCTCCTCCACGAACGAGCTGATGAAGAAGTACGAATGGTCGTAGCCTTCCACGATGTGCAAGTCGATCTTGCCAGCGTAACCGGCGTCCTTGGCAGCCGCAGCAAAGTTTTCTGGCTGGAGCTGGTGGTCCTTGGCGTAGAACGAGTCCAGAGACCCCTGTTGGATCAAGATGTCGGGTTGATTGGCGTGGGTATAGCTTTTAATCAAATGGGTGGGGTCGTAGTTGTACCAGGTGTTCTTGTCGGCGCCTAAGTAGTTGCCAAACGCCTTTTCGCCCCAGGCACAGTTCAGGGGGTTGGAGATGGGTGCAAACGCAGACACTGAGCGGTAGACACCCGGATTACGTAAGAAGCCTGTCAACGCTCCGTAGCCTCCCATGGAGTGGCCAGTGATTGACACGGTGGCGAAGTCGAGCTGGCCAAAGTGCTGAGCCAATGCTGCTGGCAACTCCTTGTGCACGTACGAGTACATGTTGTAGTGGGTGCTCCATGGCTCCTGGGTGGCGTCCACGTAGAAGCCAGCCCCCGTGCCAAAATCCCACGAGTCGTCTTCTCCAGCAATACCAGCGCCTCTAGGCGAGGTGTCGGGGAACACCACGGCAAAGCCATACTTGGAGGCGAAGTACTGGAGGAATGACTTCTCAGTGGCGTTGTTGGGAGTACAAGTCAATCCTGACAAGTACACCAACACTGGAATGGATTTGGCGGGTGATGAGGGAGGCACGAACACATTGACGTCCATTTTGGTGTTGGTGGAGGTTGAGTCGTGGCTCAATTTGTGGAGGATGCCACCAAACTGGTGGATCTGGGCGTTGGTGGTGAACATGGCGTGGAGGAGTTGAGACAGCAATTGGCTGTAATTCTCATTATAAGTACGCGCGCAATTGACTGGCGGGAAATTATTGCCCAGAGCGGACATTGGACCCAGAGAGAGTTTGAGTATAATATCCTACAGTAATTATATTATCAGCTTCATCGAGAGACTTGCAAGGAAAAGGTGATCCTAGGCCAATGCGAGATACTGGTGGTTATCTGATAATTTGTTTTTGTTGATTTCTGGTAGTAGGGATGTATTTAGCAGGTAATTTAGACCGACGATTTGATTTCGACTGGTGATTTAGACCAATAATTTGATTTCGACTCGTATCCGATACCTCTAAGATAGACTGGTAACTTCTGCCAAATTAGACTGCTAAACATTGTACTGGATTTTTTGATTTCCGTATTGAAAATGCCTCTCCGAATCACAGAGAGAGCCAATTTGTCTGACCTTCGGGCTCATAAAACACCCTAGGGGTCAACCACCCACACCTGTTTAACACCGCATCTTGACAGTTTATAACCTCCTACAAATCTCTCAAATCAATTGTCTCACGCCATTTGGCTTAATTATACTTTTGGATTCAATAAATACCTATAAACTGGACTTTCCTCTGGGTTCATACGGCAAGAGCAATGCCAAAAACCCTGACACGAGGAACAACGCCCCCGAAACGAAGATGGGCGCAGAAGTGGTAAGATCGGCAAAAATGGCAATGATGGGTGCAAAAACACCAAAAATTCTGTTGAAAGACGCAGCAAGACCGACTCCGGTTCCTCTAATTTTGGCGTAGAAGATCTCGGGGGTGTAGGCGTACAACACCCCGTACATGATGTTGGAGCAGAACGAGAACGCACAGTTCCATCCAAGGTATGCGTTGGACGTCTTTGCGGTGGTGGATGCAAAAAGGAACACTCCTGTCAAGATGCACGAGCCAAACAACGTTCCCTTTCTTCCGATTCTCAATTCCACCAACACGGCTGCCAAAAGCGCACCAGGAATACCGATCACAGACACAATCAACGAGTTTCTGTAGGTTTCTCTGACACTCAACGGCTTGTTGGCGTTACCATTACTCTTGTTTTCAAGGTAGTAAGGTAAGAAGGCGTTGTACAAGGGGAAAGCAAGACCAATCAAGCCCCACATGAAGATAATCAACGAGGACGAGAACGCCAATCTACGGTTGGCGAAACACTGGCGGATGTGTGAGAGATCGAACTTTCTGATCTTTTCCTTGAGCAACTGGTTGTTGGCGAACAACGAGTTCTTGGACTTGACAGGCTTGACCTCGTCACGTCCATAAATCTCGTCCACGCGCTGCAAGTCCTCGATGGTGATTGGAGGTGGTTTGCGGTTGATGGCTGCGATTTTGTTGAGTGACTGCAATGCTCTTTCATCGTCACCACGCGCCAAGTAGAACTTGGGCGACTCAAACACTCTGAAGGCAAAACGAAGGAGGAACATCACCAAGGTCAACCCTCCCATAGTGTACATGAAGTAACGCCAGCCCTTGTTGTCGTCCTTGCGGCACACGGTGGTAGCAGAATCATCACACGAGAAGTTACTGATAAGCGCCCACGACAACAAGTTGGCGAGAATCTGGCCCAAGGCCCACCACGACGACATGGCAGTCAAAATCCACTGGTGGGTGGATGGCAAGGCCTCCAAGAAAATAGCAGAGTCCACTGGCAAGTTGCCTCCCACACCAAAACTCCACAAGGCACAGAACGTGCCCATGGCGCCAAAGTTGGGGGACGCGCCAGCCACCACCCCAAAAATACCTGTAATCAAGAACGTGAAGTTGAAGGCCCATCTACGGCCAATAATGTCAGACGACAACGACCAGAAGGCAGCACCGGCCAAGAGACCCAAGTTTTGGGCTAACGTGAGGTAAGGGGCTCTTTTGGGCGGGTAATGGACACCATCGACCTCGACCAACCGAGCCAACACCAACGAGGTCACAATGGGCCACGCGTTGTCGGCCAACCACCCGAAACCGGCCACCACTAGTAACCCGTACTGGTAGCGACCAAACCCAATCTGGTCGATGGCACGTGACAACACCTTGGACTTGGCCAAGTACACGGGGTCACCGTCCTCCGCACTGAACAACGCGGAAACGTCTGAGTCGCTGCCTGAGTCGGACTTGAAAGACTCGCTGACGTGGATGGGACGGTCATCCTTTCCGGAGAGCGCCTTCACGGGCTCTTCGTGGTCGGACATGGAAGAAATGAACACCAATCAATGGTAAGCAGCAGCTGGATCAACAGTGCAAACAGATAATATGGCAGGAGATGACGACGGTTCAGTAGTCAATGCTGCAGAAAGGAAAGTTGCCTGGTATGTCCTCCAGATGTCTTGGAACTGGTGGTATTAAGTATAATTTCAATATCGCCCTCCTGCACCCTGTCATGGACCTTGCAGCGAGGTGCAGATGATAGCAACACCTGTGGCTTCTGGTGCTAATTTGGTGTGATGACGAGAAAGCCGTGGCACGGCACCAGGGTCCTGGGCACCGTTTCACAACCGCCGTGGTGACTCACTTATTGGACCAATGGCGTGCCTCGTGTGGGGTTTTGCCGGTACTGGGGCCGCTGTCAGCGTCCATGGTCACCCTGGGCCTTCCAGTCATCGGGGGCAAATGCGGCGATAGCAATGCGAACTGCACAAGTGCTGCTAGTGGGGTGCATAGAGGCCCTGGACGCACAACGCACCAGAAATAAAAGGAATGCAACAATAGAATCCAGCGTTCCGAGGCTTGTGCCGAGGCGAGCCATTGGTGGTTTTGGCAACCATGGAGTTACCATCATGTTTGGGGCCCGCTGCGTGCTACCGACACTGACAAAGCACCGCCAGGGCACCGCTCACTAGTACATGCAACTCGTGTTTCGGACCCAGCCGAAAGCACTCCAAAAACCTCTCCCAACCATCACACCACGAGCTCTGCCAGGGTGGTCCAGCCAGCGGATTTAGAATAAGATTAAAGATTAGCGAGGACAATCGTTCTTTGGTAGAGCCACATTACGGCATTCGAAACTACAATTTAATTATTTTCAGCGTATAATTTATCTCTAATATCCCGAGACTGATCCAGCACTCCTGGTGATCTCAGTCGCTACGCAGACTAATTGACTCTAGTAAACAGGTAGCTTTCGCCACCCTTGGCAAGGTTTAATTGGTACTCCTCCACCTGCCAGTGCTTAAACCAACTGCGCACGGCAGTCATGCCTTCTCTATGAGCCTTACCACGGCCCCCTTTCTTCGCGTGCTCCTTGGTCTCCCACCAGCAAGTGGCTAAATTCTTACCGTGCACATCATCTGGGGTCCCAAACCAATACTTGAGTAAGCCTCCAGACTCGTTGGCCTCCACATGCGAATCCTTATCCACTTTGGCAAGAAATCTTCTGTTCTCGGAAGATGCCTGGACTTCAAGCTTAAGAATCAGTCTAAATGCAATAACGTACACACTGGTAGGCTCAATTTCGATTTCAAGCTGCTTGGCGTAGTTTCTGGCTAGTTCCACAATTTCTGGAATATTGAACGCCTGGTCGTAGTCATCGAAGGCATACTGCTCGTTTCTTGGCTCGAAGGACTGCAATGCCAATGCTATCACTCTCTTAGTGTCCGGCACTTTGGTGAGGTCCAACCAATGCTCTTTTTCGTGGTAGGGGGAAGATCTGATTTGATCTAAGTCTCGGACATCAAGACGCACGGAAGCCTTGTGCACTGGTGTGAGAAGATCGAAATCGTCCTCAATTCTAGCTGTGGTTACGCTCATGAATGCAATGGTTGGAAAAAGAGTGGTATGGGAATAACCAAACTACTATTGATGAACGAATGGGCAATTTGTATTTCTAAGCTATCCTGTCCATGTTTGGCGACGCGATGCGATGCGGCCATGGCCAAGACTAGCGGCAAGACTGCATTCTGAAGCCACTATTTTCTTTCGAAGATAGCGATTTGACGTGTAGTCACGGGAAAATTGCAACTGTGGTTAGATCCAGATATGATATCGTGAGGCGAGTAGGTGCAAAATTCTGGTTGCAGGTCACGTGGTATGGTGTATTTCAGCGGGGGTATGACAGGATACCAGTACAAGCATGCCTAATAGGGCCAAGGTTAAATGTACAACTGCCGGTTTTGGCCAAATATCCGAGATATCGGTTACCACTTATTGTAGGAGGGGATGGGACATGACTGCCTAAATGGCCGGATACAACATTCCGCATTGGGAAAGATTCTAGATTTCGAAATCGAACAATAGAAATCCAGGAACTTCGGTGGGGTGACAATTAACCAGGACACATAACTCTTATTAAACTCTAATGGAAGCCAGAGACTCCTGGTTTCATGTAGTGTAGAGAATTCAGATGCTCACCCCATAGTTTGGGCACATTCCTACATCATCTTGAAATAGTGGAGTGTTCGCAAAGGATATACCTGCTCGAAGTAATACTAGTCTTCCAAGAAACTGACAATGTACTAATGCATAAAAATTGAATAACTCACATTCTAGTTTTTTTGGTAAAAAATTGAAGAAAATTTTGAAAAATGGCAATATTTATTTGTGGATCCTCTTGTAAGGGAATTCACAATCAACGTCTTCGTCCCTTAGTCCACTCAACTACTGAACTACAGTCTTTTAATATACTTCTTGATCAATTAGATGACCTCTTCCAAGCTATACTTTCTCTGATCTTCTTATGATCTTTTTTCATCGATGATACTAACATTTTTTTTTTTGCTAATGGGAAGTATATTAATCCTTACTGAATTTAATCCGCATACTTAGGCGAGCTTACGTAATATTATAGGATTATTGTATGTTGTCAAAACTCAACCATATCTTCAACAAAGATCCGATATAGTGTAATGGCTAGCACGGTTCGCTCTCACCGAGCAGATCCGGGTTCGATTCCCGGTATCGGAGTTTTCTTTTTCTATAACCTTTCTCGCGGAAAGGTGTATTTTTTGCTCGTTGTCTACTTTAATATGTTTTGCGTCTAACAGCGAATTACGTATGTATTTCAGGGATCCGTTCCGTAACTAATGCATAACACCATGGAGGTATAATGAAGCCTACCAAACTTCATGTTCTTGTTAATAGATTAGTTTCAGTCCACTATTCTGTCCTTTTATGGTTTGAGATGCATGGTGCCCGCCCCTTAACAATTCTCCTTTCATTATTGAGATATTTTTATCGATCTAGTTCTCAGTCGAGAATTTTCCTTATCAAAATTTCTGAGTTTACTACGAACTGCGCTCGAGTGGAGCAGCTCTAAACGATTTGGATCTCCATGGTGTCGAAGTACTTCTCTACAGAAATAGTCTTTTTTTTAGAAACTATTTGTGAACTTTGCTCTTGGAACAGTCTAACTGCTTCAAGCTATTAAAGTTTAGTTCTCTCCGGATTGAGTTTCCCTAAAGTGGATTACTCCGCCCCAAGAAACTTATTATTTCTATTTACCCAGTGGTTTTATGTCAAAGAACTTTCAAAACCCTAGAATGACTATCTGAGTCACATGTTACAGTTTCTAATGCCCAGTTTGCATTCGTGCTTAATCGCAACAACCAAAATTTTGGGATGGAAAGAGTCGAATCAAGATGAGTAATTGAAGTATTCGGTACGTATTATAACGAGCTTGAGGTTTTGCAAATTTGAATTATAAGGTAATGCATTAAAGAGAAGTTATTTAATAATAAAACTAGCCTGAACTCTGAAACAAACAAGAGCTCAGAACTGGACGTAAATATAAGGACAGCTAAATCCGTAGAAGAGTCAGAGGATTATCAAAAACGCTCAGAGAAGGCCAGATTTCAAGAGGATTTGACAGATTAACCAGGTTAGAACTGATAAATAGAATAATACCAAGACATTTCCAAAGAAAGTTTTAAGCTCCTACTAAAGAGTGGCATAGGAGGAATATCACAGAAATTGTTTTTAAATGCAGAACCCAATGACCATCAACTATTTCACAGCCTTGAGAACAGTACTAGTTGCAGTATTAGTTGTTGCAGACAATTTGGTTGTCTCGTTTGAAGGTACTGACAACGCATTCAACTCAGACTCAGTGACCATAAATAGCAGTTTGTTAACAGAAGGGAGAACTTATGATATTGGCTTAGAGCTGAGCGTATTGTTATACCAAGATAACTTCATATTGTTCGACAGTGACAACCAAGATAGGACCAGCAATTCACTGAATAATACAAACAATTATACCGAGCTAGATGCTAGAGACAGTGTCGCAGACAGTATAGCGTACTCTGACCTAATTTTACATCAATCGAATAACACTTTGGGAACTACTGGTACAGAAAACCCAGACAACGACACTATTACAAGTTTACTACCCAGCTCGAAAGTTGATCACGAAGTAAATGGCTTACACATCACAGAAAGAATTAGCAACATAGCCTCTAGTTATAGTAATCTTGTCGTTGGCTCAGTGGCAGGTGCGACTTCAGCAGCACTCAGTATCTACCAGTTGATGAAGAAAGAGTTTAAAAACTGTGCTACTTACTCAATCATGATAGAAGACACACATTACCAAGTATCTACCTGTACGACAGGAAAGCACTGTGACACACAGGCATCTCAAAAACACATAGAGAAGGCTATTGAATATTCACTAAATTCTGCATTTTTAAGAAGATCTTATAGAGGCTCATTTAAACTTGATAATGGCGGAACGTGGCACACATGCGTCGAATATTATCATGAAAAGCACAGAGACCTCACATTCCCAGGTTGTCCTAAAGATTGGTGCGGTAAGGGTAAAGACTAAATGAAGAAGAGGTAAGGTGAATAAGTATTTTAAAGAAGAGAAATGTATAAACCCTTACTTCAATGATCTGGAAAAGAGAATAAGAAAATGAAAACTCAACCCGTAATTGAGGGTGTAGGACTCTCCAGTTTTTAAAACGATCATCGATCACGATTTCGAGGTGGAATATCTCGTATTCGAAGTTGCTGAATAAACAACTTGGAGGGTCAACTTATGACGTTTTTAATAATGCTGGAGCTGATTGAAATCATTCGATTGATTTTTTGACAGGTAGCTAAGATGGAATCATTTAATGTTTTCCAAGGAATTTTTTTTTTTTTGCTAATGGGAAGTTATTATAATCTACTGACTATATACCTATTGCAATGGATAACACACCATTATGGTCAAACCGTTATAGTTTAATTAATTTTTGAATTCAATTTTGTTTTTTGAGGATTTTTTGCAACTTGGTGCGCGACAGAAGGCACCTTGTAGAAGCAACTCATGTTAGATAAGATTTTCATTAGGAACTTTGGCTGGACAAGAGGAAAGACGATTGGTTGGTGGTTGGAGGACGAGCATGGGCCTCCCCTTGTGCTCGTCGTTGTATCCATAACCTCCAAAGAGTCTTAATCAACTTGTCCAATTTGATGATAGTTGTATCATTTATAATCTGCGCCAGTGGGGCGACTAAGCTTCGTATGTTGCGAAGTTCTTCTGGGATCCTGAGGATTTCCCAACATTGCTGGGCTGTGGGGTACCGAACGAAGACGTGTTCCACTGCCCTCATGTCCGGAGGGGTAGCTGCTTTGCATGTTGGACATGTCTGTTCATTGATAAAGGAAACATCCCTTTCAAGTTACGTTAGTATGTGCACAGCAATTGAGTGCATGACTTGATTTTTCAACTAATGGGAAGTATATTGTACTGAATATGTACCTATTGCAAAGAATAACATACCATTATGTGGTCAATTCTTTTTAAGTTGATAAAAATTCAAATCAGTTTTTAGATGATTCTTTGCAATTTGGGGAGTGAAACCCTACACAGCTATAAGGCAGGTCATGATAGATGACAGTTTTTATTAAGAGCTGTGACTGGAAAAGAAGAAAGACAACTGGTTGGTGTTTGGAGGACGAGCTTGGGTCTCCTGTGGACTCGTGGTAACCACCAATGAGTTTTAATAAATTTGTCCAATTTGATGATAGCTTTAATATATATGATCTACTCCAATGTCGCGACTAAGCTTCATATGCTGTGAGGTTCTTTTGGAATCCTGGGAATACAACTGTGATTACATAATCTGACACATTAACCTTGTGAGTCTTCTCTTTCTCAACACTTCAACAAAAATCCGATATAGTGTAATGGCTAGCACGGTTCGCTCTCACCGAGCAGATCCGGGTTCGATTCCCGGTATCGGAGCTTTCTTTTTCATTTTTTGAACAGGCTATATTGTGTACAGTCCCATATAGTTGTGATCCTAGTGGATTCCACGAGTCACATGCACCCTTCATTAGGTGTAGTGAACAACTTTGGTATAGGTCACATGACACATGACACGTGCCCTCGTATCGGAAGAGTGGGGAATTCCACCTCTAGAGTGTCTTCACTACACCATCAACATGAAGTCAGAGGAGCTGGTGCTTGCTAATATCCGCAATTTTGCTGAGAGGAACTACCATGGCAAGAATCACTCGGTATGGTCACGTTTGCCCGAGTCCCGAAGAGCTGCAGTGTTCATATTGTTATTTCTAGGAAGTATGGGCGAATTAAGAGTGATCTTAACCAAAAGATCCTCGAAGTTGAGGAGCTTTCCAGGACATATTTCGTTGCCAGGAGGGAAAGCAGACTTCCCAGAAGAGACCGAGTGGCAAGTGGCTCGGAGAGAAATGATGGAGGAGATTGGAATTGATGAGAATAACGAAGACTTGAAGCATAAATACGGCTTCGAGATCGACCACCTCAATATCATGCCTAGCTACCTTCTGAGAACGTTCTCTGCGGTGCGTCCATGTGTCGGATTCATGAGAAGTGTTAATGGGTCCAATATATCTCTGGACCTTCGTATAATCTTGAATCCTGGTGAAAGTTCCAGCATATTCTCATGTCCCCTCCGCGACTTCTTGTACCCGTTGGTGGACGAGCCTGCTAAGGAGAGCCTTGAGAGGACATCACATATGTTCAAGTGGGGCGGAATTCCTTGGAATCTTCGTTCATACTTGTTTTCGCAGAATAACATAAATGAGGTGGACTGGCTCCGTGACATCAAGGACTTGTCAGCCTCCGAGGAGGAGCACGATTCAGATTCTCCGGGAACGTCCAAGAAGAGCTTGAGTGAGTGGGGAAAGCTTGGTTCCAGAAGAGACGAGGAAACCAATGAAAAGATTTACGATGTATGGGGACTCACGGCGAATATCCTCCACGATTTAGCGGAAATAGCTTATGATGGTGGCCACTCCAAGAGGCAGTTGGGAGAGGAAGAGTTGATCTATAGTGTGTGGCACCACGGACGCCTGATGCAGTCAGGAAAGAGGTCGGAAGAAGAATCCAAATTGATCAGTTCTAAAGTCACTGACAAGTTTGGCTTCAACGATATCTTGCCTCGCACCGAGTTCCTCCGGTTGAAGGCTCTCTACAAGGAATAACTGCCGGATCAGTCATGAAAAGATACATTACAGAATAAACTGGGTGGTGCGACATGCGACACGCCTCCAAGTGCAACCCATCAGAATGCGACATCCGATCCTATATAACTAGATAGAAACCATGGACGTACAAAAGATAGCCCAGGCTCTCGAAGATGTATCTATAAGCAAGAAGGACGAAGAGGTCCACCACGAGGTTTTGTTGCCTGCATCGAAACCTCGCGATCTGCTGGAAATAGACGCCAAAACGTTCGAGTTGTTGGCGCTACTCGACCAATACGAAACACTTGCAGAAGACACCAGATTGAACTACATCAATGGGCACCTCAACTTGAGTAGGGCAAATTATAACGGGAAGGGCTATGGCCGTGAATCGTGGGATTTGAGGCCCTACAGAGCTGCCAAATCTGTGGCATTGAAGGAGGAGCTTGTCCTCGAGAATCACGAGTATACTAAGAAGGGAAAAGCCACTCTGGAGCAGAAACAAGAAGTAGATGAAAAGAAAACCCTGAATGGGGTTTCCGAGAAGCAATTGAAGAACAGAAAGAAAAAGAACGACGATAAGCCCAGCACATTCGAAATCACTGAGCCGGAATGGGAAGTCAAGGACCCCATTGCTCAATTTGGAGGCATGGTGCCGTATCAGTTGAGACTCTCCCAGAAGCTGTTTGATGAGGGCTTGAGCAATTCGGTCAAGTTGTACAATTTGCGGGCTAAAATCAATTCATTGGTCTCTCTAATTGAGCGAGAAAACAAAGCTACCCCAGAAACAACGGCTACAAAGCCTCAGAAGTAGCTCTCAATAACCTACTGATCCACATTTAAAGCATAGAAGTTGCTCACTATGATACACCTTTAATGGGTGCCCCCCCCACTATTCATTTCTACAGGTCCATGCCAGCATTTGGCACTAGTTATTAATACATTTAGCATGCCTATTACTTTTCAGTAGTTGTATCGATATATTTCTAAGCGCTGGACTATGGAAGTTTAACGTCTGTTGCTATTTATTAAGTTTAGCATACCTACTTTTCAATGTCACTATAAAGATCGCTATCATTCTCGTAATCGGCAGGGTCCATTTCGGGACCATCGCTGTCGGATGCATCTTGTTCGTCTTCTTCTTGCTCACCTTCAACCTTTCCTTCCTGTCTTGCCTTTCTTCTGGCCTTCTTTTCTTCCTTAACAGCATTCTTTGCTTTCAAGTTTTCTTGTTGCTTGGATCTTCTTTCTTCTCTCAATTTCTTTCTTTGAGCGTGCTTCTTTTCCAATGCCTTTTGTTCTAATTCAGACTTCTTGATGTTGGCGTGGTAAAGGGTTTTAGAGGAACCTGTCAAACCTTCTTCGATCTTGACCAAGGTCAAGTTCAATCTAGGACCCAATTCAGTTAATTTGATGGCTCTCTTTCTAACGGAAGAGGTTTCTTCGGATTTGCTGACTGATGCAGTTTCGTTTTGGACGTCCACAATTCCTTCGTCGTCTTCGACTTCGGAGTCGGAGGTGATGCCACCGACCGAGTATGGGTCCAATAATAAGTCTGAGATGTCGGTATTCTTGGCCATGTTGGGTAATCTCTTGTTCTGGATCAACTTCTTGACATTTCTGCTTTCTTCAACAAGCTTGGTGTTGATGGCGTAGTGGCGCAAGTCGAGGTTGCCGGTAACGGGGTCCTTGTTGATCATCAACACTCTCTTGATGGAAGAGACCTTGGTCAGCTGGGGCTGGATAGGAGGGAATATGTTCTGGAACACCGTGATCATTAACTTTTCGTGGTTGTCTATTTCGTTCATCTTGGAGGAGAACCCGTTCAACACCAACAACGGAGGGGCCAAGAACTCCTTGGAGTCCTTTCCCACCGACTTGGGGTGCTTCAAGATGTTTCTGACGTCTTTGATCAACGAGTAGGTGTTGACTTTGAACTGCAAGGTGGGCCCACGGGGCATCTTGCCCATTCTCAACGAGATGTTACCGGTGTCCTCACTCTGGTTGAAGATGAACAAGTCGCTTACTCCCAAAGGTCCGGCCATCACGATGAAGTCCTTGAGCTTGTTGGATTTGCGCTCTCTCAAGTTGATGGCGGTGTGAGGCTGCATGACGTTTCTGAAGTCCTTGACCAATTGACTGAGCGAGTGGTTGCGGAGCGAGCTGCCCAAGCGGAGCACCATGGATCTGGGGATCTTGGCAAGCTCTTCTTCGCTGACTTTGGCGTGGGTTCTAGTTTTGGTTCTTCTCTTGGCCATGATGCAACGAGACTGTGTGAAGGATGGTGGTTCTAGCTGGTTGTGCTGGTTGTGCTGGTGGTACTGGTGGTGATGCTGATAGTGGCACTTGCTAGTGGAAGAGGCCTGATGGGTGGTGTAGGCGATGAGATGAGGTGGTGTCGTTTCTCAGTGAGTTTCGCAGGTTTAGTGTGCGAGCTCATCCGAAAATTTCTCAGGCCGATGAGGTCAATTAGTAACGATAAAAGAGAACACTATCAGACCCACCAAGGAGATTTGCCAACAGAAGCACTCTATACCAGCGGACCCGTCTATAGTACCAAAGAGCACTCCATAGAACAAGCATCCCAAGAACGGATCACCCACTGCTAGAACAAAGTATTCCAAACGAACGGATCACGCACACAAGAACACACACTGATGGCTATGTCTAAAGTCAAGAAACCCAGCTCGGTGAAGAGCAGCGCCCGCGAGTTGGCCGAGAAGATCAAGCGCAATGCCTTGAAAGAAAGAGCCGAGAAGGAGCGGGCAGAAAAGGCGTCCAAAGCGTCTCCCGAGGTCGAGGAGGAGGAAGTGGTGGTAGACGTGGACGGCAAGGGCGAGAGCGATGGCCAGCCAGTGACATTCCGCACATTCTCGGAGCTCAAGCTCATCCCCGAGCTCATGGAGGCCATCGAGCACATGAAGTACACCAAACCCACCCCCATCCAGGCCCAGTCCATCCCCCACGCGTTGAAGGGCAAGGATATCATTGGTCTTGCCCAAACAGGGTCGGGAAAGACGGCTGCGTTCGCCATTCCTATCCTCCAGGCGTTGTGGTACTCACAAGCGCCCTATTTCGGGTTGGTGTTGGCGCCAACTCGTGAGTTGGCTTACCAGATCAAGGAGACGTTCGACGCGTTGGGCTCCGCCATGGGCCTCCGTTCCGTGTGTGTGGTCGGAGGCATGGACATCATGGACCAGGCACGCGACTTGATGAGAAAGCCTCATGTCGTGGTGGCCACGCCTGGGCGGATCATGGACCACTTGGAGCACACCAAGGGCTTCTCGTTGAAGAACTTGAAGTACTTGGTCATGGACGAAGCCGACCGTTTGCTCGACATGGACTTCGGGCCTGCGCTCGACAAGATCTTGAAGATCATTCCTCGTGAAAGAGTCACCTACCTATTTTCCGCCACCATGACCAACAAGATCGAAAAGTTGCAAAGAGCATCCTTGAAATCGCCAGTACGAATTGCCGTTTCCACAAAGTACCAGACAGCAGACAACTTGATCCAGTCGATGATGTTGGTGCTGGACGGGTACAAGAACACCTACTTGGTGCACTTGTTGAACGAGTATGCTGGCAAGTCCATCATCATCTTCACCCGGACGTGTGCCCACTCCCAGCGGACGTCGTTGTTGGCACGGATTTTGGGGTTTGCAGCCGTGCCGTTGCACGGACAGTTGAGTCAGGCCCAGCGGTTGGGACTGTTGAACAAGTTCAAGGCTGGCTCCAGCAACATCTTGGTGGCCACCGACGTGGCAGCCAGAGGGTTGGACATTCCCAGCGTGGACGTGGTCATCAATTATGACATTCCCACCGACTCCAAGGCATACATCCACAGAGTGGGAAGAACCGCCAGAGCCGGCAGATCGGGCAGGTCCATCAGTTTGATCACCCAGTACGACTTGGAAATGTACTTGCGGATCGAAAGCGTGTTGGGCAAGAAGTTGCCCAAGGATCCGTCCCCCGACAAGGCGGTGTTGGAGGCGTTGCACGTCCATGTAGACCGTGCCAGTGCCGAGGCCATCAGACAGACCAAGGATTTCCACGATAAGAGAGGCAAGAGACGGGGCGACGACAGGGAAGAGAAGTAGAGCAAAAGAGAATTATAAGACCAGATTATGTTGAATTAATAATTGAGGTGGATAGGATTAATACATGAAGACACGATAAAACGAATGTATACCGAGGAAGCGAATAATAGGCATCAAGAGGATCAGCAGGGATAGAATGAACTGCCAGATACTTTATTTCCTACCTAAAATAAGATCTGGGTATGCCAACTCTTCATTTCTCTAATAATCTAATTACATTTTGACGTGAGCTAGGCGTAGTCGTATTTGCCCAAGAACAAGAACTTTACTGTTCTGTGCATAAGGGGCATTATCCATGTGTATTCCCTCTGACTGACTATATTATCTTGAATATGTACTTTTTGCAAGTCTTAAATCTAGCAAATATCCGACTAAATCTATGGTTGAAGAATTTCCACCAGATTGGGAATAATCGCCATACTTCAATTGTTTGCTTAAAATAGTATACTGGGCTTTACGAATACTCTGAAAACATATGTAAATTAAGAAACTAATACTAAAAACCAGTGCATCCGCACGTACCAGAACTAGAAGAAAACCATCGAATACCACACATGGTTGTGACCAAAACAATGAGATTAAGAGGCCATCCTGTGCTTAGAAAACCGTCAGCGAAACATGGACTAAAAGGCCAACTGGCAAACCATAACCTTTGTATATAAAACTCCGGGGACTATAATCTGGAGACAACCTCCCCAGACATACCAACTGAGAGACTCCGAATAGTACACTATTCCGGAGACCCTGGAACCGTTCCCAGCAAAATAGAACTGAAGTAGTCTACTCTATTTGTGTAAGAAATGAACCGGACATTCGCCGTATCCCTTCTTGTTGAACCAGAACTTGATGCATTTGTAGTGGAACACACAGAGACACTCCAAGCGGGCCACCTTGTCTCCCGGCTTCAAGTCTTCCAAACAGATGACGCACTCGTTGTCAAGCTCTGCGTCCTTCTCTGCCGAGGGAGGCAAGGTCGAATTGGATGTCACCGAGCCAATTCCATCGGAGGAGTCGCCAAAAACGGGAGCACCCACTTGGGGAATGGTTACCACCGACGACGATCCCATCTGGCTGGGAATACTCTCGTACTGGGGCCTGGGGATGGGAGGAATGTTGTAGACGAGCATTTTGTTGCGAGGATGGGCCAGAGGCGACGCAAAACGGTCGTTGTCGTCGTGGGAGAAGTCGTAGGCCACCAAGCACTCGTTGATGTGCGACTCTTTGTACTGCTCGAAGTCCTCATTGGAAAACACCCGCGTGGACTTGGTAAGGCTTTGGATGTACACCTTGAGGAGGTCGCTGGCACATACAGGGCACAAGTTGGAGTCGGAGTCGTTGTCCCGGGGAGTTCTGCGAGGCTCGTTCACCGACGACGTCAGACTCTGCACCACTAGCGTGTTTGTACGCGTGGAGTACTTGGTGGTGCTATCGTTCTGGTGGGAGTAGGGACTGCGAGAAGCAGCCACTTCTGCCGAGGATCCGGAGCTGACCACGCTGCTGGCTCTGGATCCTGGCTCGGGGGCGTCGTCGTCATCGTCACTGGATCCCGCCCCCGCAAAGAGTGCTCTACGGATCATTCTGATCTCGCTGGCACACTCGTCGCATGTCCGATACGACTCATGCTCGCTGGCACGGGCCCTGGCACCTGGTGCGTCCACAATCACCGTGTTGGGGAAGTACTTGACGGCCTGTTCGGAGCAGCTTCCACATACTACCCGTCCACACTTGCGGCAGTGGTGGCGACGGTTGAAGAAGTTGTAAGAGGAGTGGCAAAGAAAGCACGTGACGGCATCGGTATCGTCCTGCCACACGGGCCCGTCCTCCCAGAGAGGAGGTCTGTGGGTGTCCATGGCCGAGGTGTGGATGTGGAGTGGAGTGGTGTGGATCTGGATTGATAAGAGGGAGGCTGGGCTTGTCTGCAGGACTCGAGATAATTTGTGTGCAGGACACCAGCATCAGCAGATGAACGCATCGTGTGAGAGATCGGGAGTATTGAAGCATGGGTCTTTCGGACGACCAACTCACTTTGGGATGTGCAGGGCCACTACCAGGCCTAGCGCCCGTCGACGCACAGGAGCAGGACGTCACTCCAGGACACGGCCAAGGTTCTATCTAGTCACGTGAGATATGACTAAGCGCTTACCAACCGTCCCCCATCAAAAATCGACCTCCACCATCACCTCTCATCACCACCACCATGGCCGACCGTCTTACCCAGCTCCAAACGTGCTTGGACCAATTGGTCGAGCAGTTCAACGCCACCGTCAACTATGTCAATACACACAGCGAGCCAGCGCTCCTCGACGACGATTCTCGCTCGGTAATCAACATGGCAGCTGCTGCTCCAGTGCCTGGCCAGCACCAGGAACAGGACAACTCAGGCCAGGCGCTGGCTGGCGCTGGCGCCAAGGACGAATCGCTGTCTGCAGTCACCTTCGACAACACTATCACCGAATTATCCACTGATATTATCTTGAAGTCGAGACAGATCAGTATGTTGATCGACTCGTTGCCTGGAATCGGAGTGTCTCCCGAGAGCCAGATGCAGATCATCGAGGAGTTGACGCAGGAGTTGGAGGATGTGGAGAACCAGCGTGTAGCAAAGATCGAGGAGAAGGACAAGCTCTTGAAGTGGGTGGAGTCGTTGATTGCCGAGGTGGCCACTGGGATCTCCGAGACTAAGAGGTAGCCACAGTTAGTGAAGGCCAGGGGAGGCCAGAATGGGCCCATGGCGCTGTTGCATGGTATTACGGTGAAGACACCACGAATTTGAGGTGTACAGTGACAGAATACTATTTCTAGTGGTATTATAAGCTGTTCTCTTGGAACCACAGAAAGTCTACCGGGGATAGTACAATTTTTGTATCACAAGAGATCGGTACAGTCGGCAATCTACTGAAACACTACAGTGTTGTATCACCAGCAAAGTCTACGCACAATCAAATCTATTGGTTTTCATTTGCATTCTACCATTGTTGTATCACCAGAAGAGTCAACGTTTGGGCTCCTCTGGACATAAATATAGCATCGCCAGAAAAGTCTAATTACAGTCAGATTTTAGTGGTTCCATTGGTACTGTTGTTACAGCAAGTCTACTGTCCGTCTATATCAGACTACTTACAAGGTTTCTATATCCAAAAATGACAGACAGGCAAGTCCCCATGCCCATGGCGAACTCATGCACTGTTCTGCTGTCCAGCCGCCGTTCAATGCTGGAAGAAGTTGGAGATAAAATGTGACTGCCGTGCCCAAGATCAACACCAATAACACGTATCCAAAGTACTTCCTCTTGGAAATCTGGTACTCCACGTACTGTGCTATCAAGAGAATGCAAAAGTACAACGACACCAAGTACTCACTGGCGAACGTCGGGGTGGAGAGGTAGATGAATGGAATAAAGTGGAGGGCCCATCCTGCAATCGTGCTAAAACTATTTGCATAGTAAAGCTCGGATGCCTGCGAGTCGGTGGCGTAGACAAACGGATTGAGATGCTTGACCGCGTGGAAGAAATGATTGAACAAACCGATGATCACAAACAAAAGTCCCGTATAGTAAATAGGAATATTGCCTAACGAATAAACGGTACCATTCTCGTTGCTTGTAATGGGTCTGCCCCGGATAGCGAACGGCCATATGGCAGGCGTGGAAGAGTATTCCACTTCCTGGCCGTCTTGGCCTTGGTGAACCCTCAACATAGCCATATGGTATTCCCAGAATTTCTGGAAAAATCCGTAGGGTCTGAAGGCCACTCGTGGATGGCTCAAGTCGTCGTCCAACACCGGGTGGGAGTTCGACTCGATGTACCAGAGGGTGTTGGGGATGGTAGGCTCGTCGACACACAACACTTCGTTTTGTCCAAAGCCCCAGGCTGGCAATTTATCCTTGTGGCTCATCAATATACACTTGGTACCCTGGTGGACCAACTGGAAGACGGACTCCGTGGCACGGAGTTTGATGAGAGGAAGGTCGTTGACCGCATGGGGTTTTTTGGCCAAGATCCGGATTTTGTAGTCGTAGTTGATGTCGCCCATCAACTCAGCACGCGAGCTGTTGCACGAGACCTCATTGGCATAGTCGTGCTCTGAAATAGGCGGCCTCAAGTCGTGAACTCGCATGTATTTGCCAGTCTGTTTGTGGAAAAACCTGATCATGTCTCCGTCCTTGATGGGACGCGAGTGTTTCTGGAGCTCTCCCTCCCTGTTCTTGTAGACACTCTCGATAATCCACTCATTGTCTGGGCTCAAGGCGTCATCGAGAAGCGTGACCTGCTGCTCTCCACTGCCTGTTCTGTAGTTGAAATCGTGGGAGTGGAGGTACGACTCCAATTGGTTGTGCTTGATGGTGACAGTGCTGCCGTACGAGACCTCCACAGGCATCGAGAGCAAGGCATCCGAGTCGTGCAAGGTGGACTTGAACTCAGGCGAAAGCAGGCCTGATCCGGTTCCGTTGAAGGGAAGACTGGCCAAGTGCACGTAGAACAACGAACAGTAGATGGTCAAGGGCCACACCACCAAAGTGACGACCCTGGCTACGAGGTGCTGGAACCACTTCACGTCCAGCACCAGCAAGTCGCCCAAAAGACTCCACAACTGGCTGGCTGCCAACAATCCTGCCCATGCCAATGTGAAAATTGCCGAGTAGCGAGTGGATAAAGCGAGTCCAAGTCCCAACCCGGCTACGAACAAGCACTTGTACCACTTACGGGAGAAGGGAGTCTCATATTGCACCTTCTGAAGCCCGTAGACCGCTAGCGCCGTGGTGAAAAGCAACAACGACTCATGGCTGACGAGGTTGGAGTGCACGATGAGCGTGTGGTCCACGGCAATCAAGGCTACCGCCAACAATTGGGTGACAGGCCCACACTTGCTGGCCCGCAATGTGGCGTGGGCCAACGCCATGGTCAAGACCCCCAACAATACCGGGAAGTAGCGGGTCCAGTCGCTGGGAATGGTGTTGACGCCCTGAGTGGTTCCCAGCACCAAAGAGAGCCAGTAGAACGCCAATTTGGCAAGTGGCGGCTGTGTGTCAACGAAGATCTCGCCTCGCGAGTACTGTACCACCCGTTCGATGGTGGCGGCTTCGGCAGCCACCGGGTGTTCCAACTGGAGGTTACGGATCACAACCGTAGCAGCTAGAATGATGGGGAAAACGATCCTGAAAAACGGCGACGGAGCTGGTGGCGGCGAGGCGACCACCACGGGGCGGTATGGCCTCCATTTGCCCTTTTTGTACGAAGCGGGTGGCCGTTGTTCCTGGGACATATTGGTGATGGTGATTTGATGGAAAATCGCGGTTGATGAGAGGGTCCAGAAATGGCTCGAGAATATGGGCGCCAGGGGCAGAATGGAAATACCAGCGCCATGTTCGCGAGATAAACCATGTTAGCCGTCTCGCATATGAAAAACCTCTACTACCTATGATATTTCCTTGGAGGACTTTCTACATGTACGATTCTATTGTGACGTATTTTAATGTTGTGGTCAACCCAGGAAGTGACGGGATAATTCTGTGAAATACACTTCCGCCAGCAAGCTCGTAGAAATAAACTAGATTGAAGATACGACTAGGGAAATTTTCTGGCCTGTAATGTCAGTTTTTTCAATTTTAGCACTACAAGACTAGGGGAAGGCAAGTTTTTTAGTTTCAAACATAGGTGGGGATTATCCGGGAACTCATTTTGAATGAGGAAAATCTCAGAAAATGGTGTTTTAAGATGAATTGGTGCTGAATATTGGATATTGAGAGGCCCGACACAGAGAGCCTCGCATGGATTCATAGAGCAGAACACGGAAGCAGTCATTCGATAGCTAATTGGCTATCGGTAGAATTCACAGCTTCCCACCTGTACCCATTATTGTTGTGTTTGTTGTCTAGACAGATTCAAAGTAGTCATTAAAGGTTACTTGAAGATAAGCAAGAGGAAAAATGCACTGGGAAGAAATAAACAGAGGTATAATGACACCACGAAATTCCTCAGAAAAAGGGGAGTACTGTAGTGTTCCAGATAGGTCCGTAATAGTGAAGTATGGATGGCGTAAGGTTCCAAAAAGGGATGAAAAAGGGAAAACATCCAAATTTGGTGTTTTCCATCTGTGATTTGGAACATGCATTCCCAAGAATCTCTCCTTGTGCTTGAACCTATATCCATCACTATCTACTGTAGTATTGGTGATGTAGAATAATGGCATCGAAGACATTCATCAGCTACTCAAAAAAAATATGTCAAGTTATCATATAATATATCGTGAATAATTTGAAAAGCTTCAAAAATAGAATCGTTATTAACAATTGTACCCAACTGGGGTAAATCATATTCCCACCACATTCACAGTGAGTAACACAACATAGATCATTCCCTCCATACTACTTTTCGTGGAACACTACAATTATTATTATTAGTTCCATATGGCATGGGGAAATTTCCTAAAATTCTTATTACTAATTCCATATGGGGTGAAAACCCTGCAATTGTTATTATTCATTCAATAATAATGCTGGAAGAATACCCTACAGCAATTCTTCCTTCGAAAATACTCTTGAAAATACAATCTTAACAGTTCCATTATATTACAATTGGAGAAACCCACCCAGCCTACATTCATATCACTACTCCTTTGCAAAATACATATCTTCATTACTTTTATTTCTATTAAACTTTGTCCTCCACGGAAGGGACATGTATGCATTTTTTAATGGACTTGTAGAACCCATAGACCACTCCCGAAAGACACCCCATCACGATCAAAATGGCGGTGGTGCTGTACATGGCACCCATGACTTGGAAAAACACAAGCCCATCGCCAAAAACCCGGTGGATCTCGGTGTTGGATAACGACATGGTTCCCAACGGAAATGTCATGGACCAGAAAGCGCGGTTGAACTTGATGATGCCGTATTTGGGGTGGGTGTGCTCAGTATTGGGAGATTTGGCAAAAGGCCTGATTTTCGAGACACACGACACTACGGCCACGAAGGTCATGAAGTAGCCAAACGAGGTCAAAAGGAGCGACACGAGCCCGCACACCAACACGGCTGCGTTGCCCATGGTGGTCTTGAACGCCTCGGGGTCGGTGGTGGACCAGTCGACGTACTTGAAGAAGTGCAGGTCGGGGGTGCCATGGGCCACGAGATGGTTGATGTTGGTGCCCATGAGCATGATGGCGTAGGCGCCCTGGCCCAAGAACCCGATTGGAAGGAACGAGGTGAATATCAAGTCGGTGGAGGGGATCTTGTACAACACCAACTTCCACATGTAGATGGTAGTGACCATGAACGCCAACACGAGTGCGTTGGACCAGAGCATGAAGCTGGCCACCAAAGTGGGCACCTGGAGGTTGGGTGGGATGGCAGGCACCAACAAGGCGCCAGATGAAGCAGCCACCATGAGGGTGACCACCGGAAGAAGGAGGGTGGCACGGAGATCGCCAAGCTGGTCAACCGACGTGGGAGCAGCAGCGCCATGTTCCAGCTTGGCGAGGTAGGTGGAGAACCAGATCACACACACGCTGTACAACGCGGTTGCTACCATGATCCAGAATAGCACGTATACCACGAGAATGCCACGGGGGTGCGGGTGCAACACGGACCCCAAGAAGTTGATGATGGTGGTCATGCCCATGGGCCAGCACCCCATGAACGGGGCGAGCTTGGGGTCGGTGTGGTACCGCTTGAGGTCTTCAGGGTGACGGGCGACATGCAATGCAAACAACGCCAGCGAAACCACCCAGAACAAAAACGCAGTCACGAAAAACACCCAGCCACACATGCGGAGCCAGTGGCCAGGGTAGGCGAAGTTATAGAGAAGGTTGGAACAGACGCCCACACCCATGGTGGGGATGAAAAATGCAGGGGTGAACTCATCGATGAGCTTGGTGGAGGCTTCAGCACGAAGACGTGAGAGAAACGAGCTGGGCGATGAAGATGGGAGTGAATAAGGGTCTGAAGACGACGATGTGAGTGAACAGGAGGCTGAGGACGACGATGACGGCTCAGCTGGGGGGACCGCACGTGGTGGTGCAGCATTCAGCGTCTTGGGCTCACCTCCATGGGGTTGTTGTGGGAGGTGTTGGTTGGGGCTAGCAGGGGGCGGCACGCCAGCGGTATTTATAGTGTAAAGTGTGGTGCAACTGGATCTGTCGCCATTTCCCATGTCGGTTGTGTCTGGAGCCACAGCAGTCATGGCGGTAAGGATGTGTTTGGGATGGGGAGGAGTAATGCAAGTGCTGCTAGTGGATGGAATAGTGGTGGGTGAAGACTGGCTGGGGGTGCTTTGGTTATATAAGGGAGTGGTCAACTTGGCGCCAATGCACAAGATAGCTGGTATTGATGACTTCACTGCAATGGAGTTTCCGCATGGGGCCAAACCCCGCCAGACCCCGATGGGAGCGGTGATCAGCGGGCCATCGCAGCGGTCCTTACCTAATGAGGAAGGTGCGCCTCGGGCGCTAGTCCCGACTGTTATCTGTCAGCGGGTGCATGGGCGCTATTTTGACGCTTCTGACGCTCCAGACGGACGGCTGGTCGAAGATGTGCTGTGCATAACCTCCAAGCATTGCGGACCGCTGGCGTGGTGTCACGGCGTGCCCGTCCTTGTCTTAGCACCAAGCCCTTGGCCGTGCACGTGACCCGCTGGTATCACCTTTACTGCAATACGTGGTGTTTGCGGTATTTGCGGGTTCCACGGCCGGGAAAAGGGTGGTATCTGTGGATGGATGTTCACAACCTCCAGACCCCCCGACTCCAGACCCCCATCGGAGGGCCGGATTCTTATTGTCCAGGAAAGGCGTTTCGGAAACGGTGTTTGACACTACCGAAACCCGGACGGGCTCTGGTAACATGCAGTCTGCGCAATGATACCACGCAAAATTTTTGCGCGGCATGCAGGACGACCATGTGACTCCGGTCTCCTGACATGGCGCAAATTGGGCCCTGCATTCGTGCTTGTGGCCATGGGATCTCGTCACCGCCATGCTCACCCTTCCCACCAGCGACCCCGGCACATCTGCTCCAACAACCTGGACTTTGCCAGGGTGGCCTCACCTGAAACACGGACGGTTAAGCCCCCTGCCAGTGACAATAGCCTCGTCACCCCTGCTCGGACGTCACCAGTCGTGTACTCTCCCATTTTAGCCCAATAAGGCAATAATACGCTCTCGGCTTCGTCAATCGCCCGGTTGGCGTGACCTTTGAGGCCGCTCCCTGCGGCCCAGGCCCAGCCGACATTCCTATTCAGGAAGGTGCCGTGATTGGGCCCTTGCAATTTCTGGGCCGCCGCCGCCAGCGGTCACAAATATATAAGCCGCCTTTTCACCTCCCCCAATTTCAGTGTAATATCCACAATGTTAACAATCAGCAGTCCTCATCTCTTCGACAGATCCAACAACCACAGTCCCATACTAGACAGACCAGGAAGCTCCGCTTGTGGCTCTGCCAGAGATATGGTGATACCCGACCAGAAAGACCCCAGAGCCACAAACACAAATCCATCTGACGTGGATGACGAGGTCGATGGCCTTGGCCTCTACCCTTCCAGCGGACTTTTGGTGCTTATCGCTAAGCTCAGGGCTCTTTTGGGGACCAAAGGTCTTTCTTCGGAAGATATCGACATCGAGGAAGTCCAACGGATTATGGAAGAGTACCAGTCCGATGAGGCAGACTGGGCCCATCTTGCGCTCCACGACCCCAGCCGCAACTACTCTCGTAACGGAATCCTCAACATCAACGGCAACGCCAACTTGCTCATGTTGGCATGGACTCCTGGCAAGTCCAGCGCCATTCACGACCACGCCAACGCCCACTGCTGCATGAAAATCCTCGACGGAGAACTCACCGAGTCGTTGTACGACATTCCCGAGGGAGAGGGCCAGTTGGTGCCCAAAAAGAACACGGTGTTGCACAGAGACGTGGTGGGATACATTTCCGACGACATCGGACTCCACAAGATCTCCAACCTGGGCACCAAGCAGGCGGTTTCGCTCCACTTGTACACGCCTCCATACGCCTCGATGTACGGGTGTTCGATGTACGAGGCTGGCAACGGCAAGAAACACCATGTGGATATGAGCAAGTACTACAGCTGGCAGGGCCAGTTGGTCAACGCCAAAGGCGGATCCACCTGTTAGAGGTGGCCACAAACATTACTATAGCTATATTTTAGCATTCTCTGGATAGGATAGCATAGCCAGGCCAGGCCTGGGGGAATAAAGGAACTGTACGCAGAAAGAAGATGTAGAATCGGGAGAGAACAGTAGATACTGTAATGGAATTAGTGGAGCAATATGATTCGGATCGCAGTGGAATGGGAACTAAGGGCAGTTGACTTGAACTTTTGAGTATAGGAAGCGAACAATTCGAGCAGTACAATTGGACTAGAGCAGTGGAAAGAATTACGAGCAGGAGGTTAATATGCGAGCATGAATGTCTCGTTGTCAATTTTAATTTTGGGTTGGTGAATAGTATCTTACTCGTAGTTACACACATTCACTCGTCATGCTTCTCAATAGATCTCATTCCTGAAACCTCAACAGATTTTAAGTGAGAACTAAGTCCGAATTGTCGGTGTTGCTGGCTTTGTCATAGTTTTTTTCGGATTTAGTAACAGTCCTTCACATCGAAAATCTACCCACAAACACCCCGAGTTTCAAGCAGAAATTGAGGGGAAGGATATTTAACCCAACTCATCGGGTTTATTACAATATTTCCCTGCTTCATCGCAAATGGATCGGGCATTAGCTAATCTTCGTCTGTTCTCTTGGCGTAACTCGTCGAGTCGCTTATAAAATTAACGTAGCCCCAAGAGATCGCATAATGCTTTATTAAATATTCGTACCTTCAATAGTAGGGACAAAGAATATTCAAAATACTGTTAATAAATATCCTTAAGATCTTGCAAAGAATATGTACATCAGAGACTATTTTCAGGCTCCCAATTAATATCTAAAATGGTTTCAAATGCAATAGGCAAGAATTCTTTAGAAAGTGCCTTATTATATTGCTCAGTACACCTGTGCCTTGGCAGAGGAATTTATTCAAGGCTCTAGATGCGAGTAACTGGGATATTGCTAATAATTTAGTTGCAACTGAAAAGAATATCTGTACAAAGAATTATTTTATGCCCCCAATAATATCGGTATGTACTTAAATGCAAGAGAAAAGAATATTCGTACTAGAACTTATTTTATTCCCCTAATAATAAATGTATCTATATCATCTTTGAAGAATCTGCATGTAGGGTAAATATTTTTTGCGAGAACATAAAATATCCATCATGAAATAAAGACCACATACTAATGCAATGCCATCAATATTAATATCGTGAAAAAATAAGATCAAAAATCGATTTATCATACCACCTATTTTTCAGGTCTAAATAATATGTAGGAGGGACCATCAGAGAATGTCTACAGAGTGGAAACTATTGGTATAGCTCAATGATGCACGGGAAAGACGGATTCAGCATTGTATATAGCGTGCAACCTATTATTACAGCGCAAAAATAGTGCATTCAGGTGGAACTCTAACATATGGTCATATTTTATCAAGAAACCAGTATAGATACTAGACCTAGGGATCGCCCACAGAAAATATAATGCTGTGCGAATTCTTCAGCGTAACATCACCGAAGCATCTAGCTCATTAGGTTACATTAGTCTGTTCTGTAATAGAATTTCCCTCAAACACACCGAATACCCAAACTCGTAATTTACAGTAAATCCTTACCCATTGCAGACAGAAAACAAGCCAATTATGCTACGGTATTTGTCAGTTCTAAAACATGCATTACAATCCACTCAGTGACCAAAGCCATCTGCGGAGTAATTTTGAGGCAATGGTTCTGAACGCTAAATTCAACCTTACATGAATTGTAGCCACGGCAATGTAAACGTAAGAAATAATCCGAAAAGCTATGCTTGTTTCATCTATTGACATTGCTCTGTCTTTATTTCACGATTGGATTTTGCACCTTTAGCTGCTGATCACCCTGAAGCAGCCCAAAATGTAATTGGCTCAACACTCAGAATCCACCCTTTGAAGTGATTTAGCTCAATCAAATACAAAAATATAAATCTGTTGAGTTTGTAGAATAAAAAAACCTAATTAATAACTATATTGAAACTTCACTAAAGTAAAATCATCAGATCAAAGAAGGAATAGCGCCTCCAATTGGCCCGAATAAGTGGTACCCACAAAATCAGTGTGTTAAGCAAATCATTATCTCATGTTAAAGTATGCTTTATAAGCCGAGTTTCTACTTATAAACACGTCCTGGTTTAAATTTTCGACAGTGGGTACTTTCCGCAGCTTCTGCTAAGAATGCTGCCATTATGGATGAAGCACTACATCAATTAGAACATTAAAAATTCAACCTCCTATTATTCTATGCTATTTCGCAGTCACTGTTTTGCACCCTCAAGGCATCTCCTTGGTCTCCTCGTACAACTTCGAAAATTCTTGTCCTCCTTCTTTGCATGGAGGAACTTGAAGCCAGTTCTTTTCGTCGTACTTGGCGACTCCGTCTATCACATGGAACGCATAAACGTACCGGGACTTGGACAGTCTGTTCTTCTCGGATTTGTGCAATACCAGGTTGTGGATCAATACTAAAGACCCGGCTTTGCAAGGAACAGGCTTGTAAGCTGCAGGATCATCTTCTGGGATAGGCTCATCGTTAGGAACATCCACAAAATTACAGCCTTTATCTCCGCCGTCTACCTTGGCAAATCTCTTCTTGATGGGGAATGTCTTGTGGGAGCCTGGGTTGTATGACAAACACCCATTCTGCTCGTCACAGTCCTCCAAAGCAAACCAGAAACCCAATGCTGATTGGGGCTCAGTGTACAAGAACCATGCGTCGGTGTGGGGTGGCACTGCATTGTCACGCTCGCCTCCCTTGACCTCATCTGGCTGCTTGAAGATGCACATACTTTGCAACACACGAGGGTCCTTGAAGTCCAATGCTCTGGCCACATCCTTGACCAGGTCATCGAAGGTGACCTCGCGGAACACAGGCTCATGCATGTGCAAGCCGTGCCCAAGCTTGTTGATAGCACGCTGCTTGGGCCAGAGCAAGTTACCGGCCTCATCGAATGCATCCACATCGAAGAAGAATGAGACCTTGTCGGCAGAATCAAAGAAATACTGGTCACCGATGTGGTCGTTTTCATTGGTACGGAATTGGGTCTTGGGGTGAGTGGAGACATCGAAGTTGTCCAAGAGGTCCTGAGCCCTTTGCTTCAATGTCTGGACCTGTTCAGACAGGAGGAAGTTCTCCACACAGAGCAATCCCTCGCGGTGGAAGGTGTCGACTTGTTCTTGAGTGAGTTTGACCATGGTGATGTTGCAATAGAAACAGTGTGACTTTGGCTGTTTTGCACCAGCAGATTGGGCGACTTATATTTAAGCTCCTATCGGGAACTTCCAAATTTGGCCCGCTATCATCGCGACAATTCCGCGGCATCCCGCGACAACGTCCATGCGGGGGACTGGCTCAGATCAAAATTAGCCGTGCCTGCGCAAAACCCATACTGCACTCAATGGTTTGTGGGGTGCTTCTCCACAAGACCTCTACCGCCCAAACTTCTTGAGTTCAAGGTACCTCAAAGGGGGGTATGCCACGGCAGTAAATGCCGCGCAAAGCCAGAAGCCCACGTCCCCACCATTTTCCCCAAGTTTTGCGGCAATTGGGCCTCTCCAGTATACCTGATTCATTCCGAGCACTGGACCGACTGCTCCGATGCAAAATGCTGCAACTGTCGCCAAGCCCATGGTGAAATGTTGGGGTTTGTTCCAATTAGACCAGTTGTAGTGTAGACCGCTCGGAATGTTCTCTTGGTGATGGAGTCGTCTCATACGTTCGGAGGTTCTGAAAATGAGATTCTCCTCAAGTAAAACCGTGATGTAGATCGAAATCCAATACGCCAACATTGGCAAAAAGTTCGAAATGATGGTGGAGAAGTGTTCTTTTCCCACCATAGACAATACGAAGTACACCACCGTCACCAAGATCACCCAGCACCATCTAGGAACCCTCACCAAACGGTGGTCCATGAGTTGGAATTCAAACGCACACGAGTAAGTATTCATGATGTTGTTGCAGACGAGTGATAGGTAAAGCACAAATACCACAAACTTGCCAAAGTTTCCCCAGGGTTTGAATGCTTCATTGATGATTCCACCCACTCCAAACTGCTGGTAGGCCTCATTCCATGGGGGATAACCATACGCAATTGAACCACACAAAGTTGCAACCACTGCCACAAACGTAGTGGGCACTGAAATCCCCAAGAATGTCACCAAAAATACCTGGATGGGAGGGGTCTCCTGTGGGAATAAGATGTAGTAGTCCGAGGCACCCGATCCCCAGGTCGCAGTCACCGAGTATCCGATAGTAAAGAAAGAAAGCCAATTGCCCGTGGATGTGATTGCAGAATTATTGGTAGCCGCAATCATGGCATCTGTTTCTTTGAGGTAACCTATCTTTTTACAAACCACAATGTAGAACAAAATGGATGCAATGGTGACGGGGATGGCGGTGACAGTCTGGAAGCGAAGCAACACCCTGATACCGAATATAGATATCACCATGCTAAGCACCGAAATGATGATAATTCCAGCCAGAATGGGAACATTGGGGCCCAAACCAGCCAAAACTTCTCCTCCAAGAACGCAATTAACCACAGACCAGCCCACGCCTCCCACAATGCAGATGAAAGACACTATCTTGACTCCCCACTGACCAAACAATAAGCGAGCACTCACTATTTGACGACAGCCAGACTCCGGACCCATTGTAGAGCAATAGGCCGGAACAAGACATCCAATAAGCATCCCAATGATACCACTGACCAAGGCGTTTTTCGAGTTCAATCCAAACACGAGGGTTGCAAGAAAGAACGAAGACATGGAGGTAAGTCCTCCACAGGCTGCAAACCAAAGGCCAATTACGTTGACAAATTGCCAAACCAACGTCTGTTGGGTGCAACGCCTCTCTTCAGCAGTGAGCCGTTCGATTCCTCGGGTTTCAATACCAAACTCATCGAGCTGATACACCCAAGCAAAATACTTGTTCTCGGTGTACTTGATCTCGGTGTAGGACTCGGTTGCACTGGTAGAATGTCCGTCGACAGACAGTTTTAACTCCTTAGACATTTTTGATCTCGGTTGGCGAACTAGTCAGAGTATTGTCCAGTCCAGATCTCGATCTTACTTTGGGTGTCAGATCATCTGGTGGTTCCATTCATGCAAGACACCTATATTCGCATAATTAATGCGATTAAAAGCAACTAGGGCCAACACACTCCGACGACACCACCCACGCCAGCTGTTCCAATGGCGATTGACGGGTAGTGTTCATTGTAGCACAGCCTCCAACATCACCTCCACCACGCCATAATGTCATTTGTGGACCTGCTCTTGCACAAGTATGCTTCCCAGCTCTCGGGAGCCGTAACCCACCAGCTCACTCAACAACTATGTTCGGGAACACTTCCTGACCATGTGCTTTTCACCTACTTGACCCAAGACCTTATGTTCTTCAATTCCGGGTTGCAGGTGTTTGGAAAGGCGTTGGCCCAGTGTGACGACGCCAGGGCCGCTATTGTGTTGGGGAAACAGATCGGGTTCATTTGCAACGACGAGAACGACTACTTCAAAATCGTGTTGGACCAGTTGCGGGACAGCGTAAGCGCTAAGGTGGCTGACATGACCTCTTCCAAGCCTCCCGTGTTGCCTGCGGTCGCTCAATACATCGACTTTATGGCTACACTCAACACTTATCCGGAGGTAATCACCTTTATGTATGCCATGGAAAAGGTGTACCTTGACTGGGCGGAAGAAACCGAGCTTGCAGCTGATTTGCCGTACAAGCACAAGGAGTGGATAGTGTTGCACAGTGGCGAAGCATTCACTGCATGGACTGCCTTTTTGAAGTCGGAGGTTGAGCGGGTGGTGGATGATTCGACTGCAAAAGATTGCGAGCGGGTATTTCACCAGACTTTGGAGTTGGAAATCGCCTTCTTCCAAGAGTGCTATCGGTACGAGTAGGTAGGAAGTGAGAAGGGATTTAGTTAGTTGGATCCGTATAAAAGTTGAATAAACCAAATAGAATGGAGTAAAGGGTATGAACTTGTATTAAGTTGAATCCAGAGGTCAAGCTAGAAGGAAGAAATAGAAGCACGGAAGGAGTGGTAGGTGAGAAGTAATAGTTTAAAAAGGGAAAAAGGTTATATTTAAGGAGGTAAATTAGTCAATGTGATAGCATCAATGTTATGTTTCCTCTAGAACCAACTTGATATGGAGGTCATTGTTTCGCATTAGAGAAGAGTAAAATACTAAAAGCATTAGCTCTAATATATGTTCTCTGTTCCTAGTAATGCTATATTGAGTGAATATTCGGTTTCAATACGTCAACAACTCAGATTCTAATAAATATTCATTATTAGGAGTTCAATAGCCTAGTTACTGGCGATAATATTCATCTCTAGCCCCCCAGGTTTTAGTATAGTAGATAGTCATGATCACCGCAAAAACTCAGTTACGGGATTGCTTCTAGTAATACCCATTCTTTTTTTAGTTCAGCTCAGTAAATATTCATTATTTCTATACCAGCTCAGTTCCTGCTAATACTCCTTGAATACTCATTAAATCATACGTAGCCATTAATAACTTATGCTTTAATGTAAACTATTGGATTTATTATTTTAACCCAGTTGGGCACTGACAGTCCCACTCCTGCCTATTACCCTTTACCCAAAAGTCCAGCCTATGCTCTTACGGGAATAACGGCGCCAATTTGGCAACGAAACATTCTCAGAATACATCCCTGAATTAGCCAAGCAACCCATTTTATGACCTATTGAAATTCCCATTGGCTGATAGCCCCCCTCTCTTTCCCCCACGCTGGAGTGTCAATGCGTTTACACCTCTCGCAACCGTGGCCAGTTCAACCCTATGCACTTAGATAGCGACCACCAATATGCTTTTATGGGAAAAGGGGATGGAATTGCTGCAAGTTGGTCTATGGGTGATTGCATGTCCCAGCACTATAAAGTCCCAACCTCCCGTCCTGTTTGGACGCCATCCACTCCTCCCATTTGCCGCTATGACCACTGAGAAAATCTCGTTCTGTCTCAACTGGCAGGCCACTCCCTACCACATCCCAGTCTATCTTGCGTCCACCAAGGGCTTCTTCAAAGAGCAGGGCCTCGACATCTCCATCTTGGAGCCCTCCAATCCGTCGGATGTCACCGAGCTTATTGGTTCCGGCAAGATCGACATGGGATTGAAGGCGATGGTGCACACCTTGGCTGCAAAAGCCAGAGGCTTTCCCGTCACCTCAATTGGATCGCTTCTTGACGAGCCATTCACGGGGTTGCTCTACCTCAAGGGCAACGGAGTCACTGAGGACTTCAGATCCCTCAAGGGCAAGCGTATTGGTTACGTTGGCGAGTTTGGCAAGATCCAGGTCGATGAATTGACCAAGTACTACGGTATGACCCCCGCAGACTACACCACCGTCAGATGTGGCATGAACGTAGCCAAGTACTTAATTGAGGGTTCTATTGACGCTGGAATTGGCATTGAGTGCATCCAGCAGGTAGAGTTGGAAGAATTCTGCAAGAAGGAGGGCAGGCCCCCTACCGATGCCATGATGCTTAGAATCGACAAGTTGGCCGAGCTCGGGTGTTGCTGCTTCTGCACCATTTTGTACATTGCCAACGATAAATTCATGGCTGCCAACCCCGAGAAAATGACCAAGTTCTTGACCGCCATCAAAAAGGCCACCGACTACGTGCTCCAGCACCCCCACGACGCCTGGGCCGAGTACTGCGACTTCAAGCCTCAGATGAAGTCGGAATTGAACGGCAAGATGTTCGAAAGATGCTTTGCTTACTTCTCCGACTCCTTGTATAACGTCAAGCGAGACTGGACCAAGGTCACCAAGTATGGTAAGCGGTTGGAAATTTTACCTGGCGACTACGAACCCAACTACACCAACGAATTCTTATCTTGGGAAGAGCCTGTCGAGACCAGGGACCCTTTGGAGGCACAAGAGTTGATAGCCCAGTTACAAACCGAGTGCAGGGCATGTGGTGGCTACAGAAGATTGGTCAAGTAGATACAAATACAGATAGGAAACTTTCAATCCTAAGTAGTATTCATTTCAAGTTACGGATATATATCACGAAGTCTATCCAGGTAGTATTCAACTCAAATAGGTTATTCGAAGTCTATTTCAAGTAGTATTGGCTGTTATTCCAATTTTTAGGATACCATCAAATATATTGGATTGTTGGAAGGCATTGAGACTTAGCAAAAGTCTATCATCAAGGTCTCTACCAGCGACTACTCTTTGGAGGGACCACAAGGAAATGTTATTACGAGATGGTATAATAATTGCATTTCACAAGAGAATACCAAATTCTGACACCTGAAGCCATATTTTGGATGACTTTTTACAGGCACTAGTTGCCTTGGTGGTAATTATAGGATTCCAACCATCCCTTATCTCTTTGAATTGTTGACAGGAAACAAACCGAATTTATGACGTGCAATTCAATTATCTTAAACTCGTTTGGGATTAACTTCGACTATACATATGTTAAAAAACCCCAAATGCGTACTGATTTTCCATCAAGTCCAAATTTCAAATTTTACTATTAATAGTTCCATGAAGAATTGATTTCCAATCAAGACATCATTTCATATTCTATATGGTTCTATCTGCTAAGAACTTAGACTGAATCGAGCTATTTCCATCAACTCGACTAATTTTACCAGATACCCCTTTCGGTGATCGGACCGAGCTTTTAACAAGGTATTCATAAATTCTGGTGATCAAGTTGAGAAAGATGAATAACTGATATGCCGAACTAATATCTATTATGATGCCCGAGACTACTTTACCAGATAAGAACAAGGATTTGCCAAATAAGTGAGTGTATTAAAAAGTCTGATGCCATTGGTAGGGCTGTCAATGCTGCAGAAATTTCAATTTTCGAGTGAGATGATGCATGGAACCTTACATTCGTGCAACCTCCATAGCTTTTTACAATAACCTGCAATTTCAAACCTCTCATATATTTCACGTATCAGAGGCTCTTTCCATTCAGAAGCCTGTGTTGAAATCCAGTGGGTTTATGATCTTGACACAAAGTTGCAGATTGACACAGTCGTTTTTGCAACCACGCATTTTTTGCACCCATATTGAGGGTATAATCAGAGATCTCACGAGATCTATCGAACGAAAAATAAACTACAGAGAAGGGAGAGTTCTGCTGGTTAGCTGCAAAAGAGCCGAGGCTCTGGAGGGCGCGCTCCTGTGTCTGTGGACTATATACTTACGTCGTAAAACAAGAATCGTTCTGCCCTTTTACCCACATCTTTCTTCTACGATCAGCAAAGAAAACGTTGCAATGTCTATGAATAGAGATACTACCAGTCCCTGCTCTGAACCATCATTACCTAGCAATGCGGTGAAGACCTCAGGGTCTCCTCAGCTTTTGGAATCGCCTTCTGTGACCAGCTCCGCTGATCCACTTTGTGGATCTAGCGTTGATGCTAAGGTAACTGGAGTGCCATCCCACCACGCTGACAAGTTTCCTGCTCTTCCCTCCAAGCAATTGGTTGGGAAGAATATGGCTGTCCCTCCTTTCAACAAGGAATGGGCCAATGGTGTTTGTGGTCGTCCCAACATGACCATTTCCTCTTTTGAAGAGAAGGCTCCTCACCAGAGCAAAACCCCTGGTGCAAATGCACCCACTTGGGCTGAAGCATTGTTTGAAAAGAAAAGCTCTCCAATGAAGAGCGACGCTTCCAAGTTGCCCAAGAAGCAGTGTTACACTGTGAAGAAACGTTCCAAGAAAACTGGAACTAAGGTTGGTGCTGGTATGGAAATGCCGGCTACTGAAGTTGATGTTGGTATGAATGAGTCAATTGTGGCTGCAGAAGTTTCGGAGGTAACAAATGTTGATGTTGGTATGGAAAAGCTGTTTGTGGCAGGTGATGTTTCGAAGGAAAAAAATGATGATGAAGGTATGGTTGAGCCAAGTGAGGCTACTGAAGTTGATGCTGGTGTAGCTCAGCCTATTGTGGCTGCGGAAGTTTGGGAGGAAACAAATGTTGATGTTGGTATGGAAAAGCTGTTTGTGGCTGATGAAGTTGTGAAGGAAGAAAATGTTGACGATTGTATGGAAAAGCCAAGTGAGGCTACTGAAGTTATTAATGGTAAGATTAAGCCTCATGAGGCTGCTGAATTTTCAGAGGAGAGTGTTGATGTTGGTATTGAAAAGCTGTTTGTGGCAGATGAAGTTGCAAAGGAAAAAAATGTTGATGATGGTATGGAAAAGCCAAGTGAGGCTACTGAAGATGATGGAGGTATGATTGAGCCAATTGTGGCTGCTGAGGTTTCGGAGAAAACTAATATTGATGCTGTTGTGATGAAGTCTATTGCTTTTGCTCGCATGATTAATCCTAATGATTGTTTAATCATTAGAGCACCTAAATTTTCCAAGAGCAGGGCCAGAAAGAACAAAAAGAAGTCCGGAAAGGCCAAAAAGGCCAAGTCCTCCTGTTTTATTGAACACAGGGAGAATGAAAAGGGTCACCTAACAAATGATGAAGATGCAGACACTGCACACTTAGAGACCGTTGAGCTCGACACTCATGCAGACACTACGCACTGCGACACCGTTGACACTCCTAGCGTTGATGCTGAAGATGCAGACATTGTGCACTTAGATTCTGTCGAAGAGGTCGACACACCTGAAGTTGATGCTGAAGAATTAAAATTCTTCTTAAACGTAGAGACCATCGAAGATGTCGAAGAGGTCTACACACCTGAGGTTGATGTTGAAGAACTAAAATTCGTCTTAAGCTTAGAGACTATTGAAGAAGTTGAAGAGGTCGACACGCCTGAAGTTGATGCTGAAGAAGTCAAATTGTTTTTGCACTTAGAGACGATCGAAGAGGTCGACATTTCCAGCGTTGCTGCTGAAGATTATTCAGACGCCACGCACTTGCAAGCTGAGGCTAATGGGAAAGCAACCGAACCTTGCGTTAATGTTGAAGCTACCCAAACCCTCAAGCAATTACTAGGCATTGGAACAGTCAATAGCCCTTACATTGATGAAATTGGAGTTGTTGAAGTTATCACACCCTTTGAAGCTATTGGTACGGCTACCAATTTTGGTGTTGATTTTGGTGTTGATTTTGGTGTTGATGTTGAAGCTACTCAAACTATTAAGCAATTACTAGGCATCGATTTTACTGAGCCTTGTATTGCTGCTGCAGATGCTATTCAAAGCACCAAACACTTGGAGGCTAATGAGGCTGGCACTCCCAACATTGTGGTTCTTGAAACTGCAGAAACCCTTTTGCAATTAGCAGCCAGTGCAGTTTACACAAATAGCGCCGAGGAGCAAGAAATTGCCCATACCCCAGACAGTGGGAAGAATATTAAAGAAAGCAATGTCTGCTCATTACCTTCCTTAGAGTTGGATGCTGATGAAGTGACTGATGATTGCGGAGATGGTATAAATGAAACGGTTCACTTAGAAGGCTGCGAAAACGCCAACAATTTTGAAAATGCTGCTCCCCAAGATTTCATCAAATTAGAGGGCTTTGTGAAAGAAAACTCTTCTAGCAATGACGATTATATCAGAGAAGAATTAGAAGTTGAGGGGGTGGTCGAAATTTCTGACGAATATCTTCTTGAATTTCACAAGAATTCAACTTCCAGTGGAAAGGCAAATCTCTCTAGTCTTGATTTCCTTCGGGATATGATGCTTACTATTCTTGTTGTTCTTCTTGTATGGAGCATTAAGAATAGTTTCATGCTCAAGGCTTGCTTGTTGTATTTCCTTGTCCTTCTGGAATCTGAAATGATTTTTACTCCTGAAGTATTCTGGAAACTTGGATCTTTGTGTTATCATGATTACGCCGCTAATATCGATGCTATGGAGGGTACTCCCGAGAGAGAGATGTTGGTCGAAAGTTCGAATGTCCCTGACGAGGTTGATGTCCAACTTTCCCATAAATCTTTCAACTTGGTTGAGAACACCGAAGTAGATTGTCCTGAAGTTTTAACATCATTTAATCTGAAACAATTCTCCACCAAATCAGACTTATATTTTGAGATTCGAGATATCGTTTCTGTGACCAAAAATTATCCTGATGCTTTTCTTGATGGTTTTGCCTTGACTAATGTTCAGGAAAGTACACTCCAACTCCAGGGTTTTGGTGTCAGTGTGAGAAATTCTCCAAGCGAACAGCCAGAGTATTTCTCGAGCAGGTCAGCATCGCCTACCAAATTTTCCTTGAAAGGTTTTAAATCTAGTGTAACTTCAGCAAGTTTCGAGGGATACTGCAACCGGATCTATGAGGAATATTTCCTATTAGAGGTCCAGAAATCCATCAATGCACTTGAACTTGATTCAACTCACCAAAATATACCAAATCCAGAGCCTAAGTTATTCTGGACCAAATACTCCGAGGCATACTCCGAGGCAAGAGTTGGGGGACTCGAGCCTAAGTGTGCAAAAAATGGTAGTATTCAATTAGGTATGATGGTGGTATTGGTTCTTCAGTTACTAGTGCTTATGGTGGATTGTGTGATTTCAAAGACTTCGTTTCCTCGGTTTCAAAATCTTGGCTTGTGGACAGCATTCAGCATTATCTCATGGCTTTTATCCAGACAATGAGTCGACTTTTGGATTAATTTAGAAGTTAACAAAAAGACATGTAAAGACTCTTGACGTTGGTTGCTTACATTGGTTGGAGATCTGGTTGGTTATATTTGTTGCTAATACAGTCGGGTCGAAGTGAAAATGACAGTGCAACGACACACTTCGAAGGGCACATTCAGCTTGCGGGGGGCGATGCTTTGGTTTAAACCTTCGACGCTTGCTAACAAATTTCTTAATTGTCATTCACTGACGATTCACTTTACATTTTTATATAGAATAAATCTTAATTTCGAGACACACGTAGGAAGGGAGTGAAATATCTACTAGTTCATCGCCTCCCCTTCTGAAATAAAATAATAGTTGATTAAATTGCGAAAGAAGCATTTCATTACGATAGATTGACTTGGAGGTTTGTTCTATCTCCTCGCCATAGTGTTCGGCATTGTCTTGGTTTGAGGTTGGCGGAACCAACAGTCAAGTAAAAACATCCATAATACAGACATGAAGCAGTCGAATTCCATTTTACAAGCATAACTACACCGTTAAGTCTTTCAAGTAGTATTTGAAACTTCTTTTCCAAATTAGCATCTACTTTACCCTAATCAAGTGCATGTAATTTTAATTACAGACTTGACTACACCAACCAATTCAAGTAGTTTCAATTCAAACTAGGACTAAACCAAGTCTATTCAAGTAGTATTTACAGGTCTATGTACAGAAATCATGAGCCATGAGACTCACTTGTAGAGGAAACCGAGCCACGACTCCTTTCTGGCCTCTCTTTCGGCCTGAGGGATGAAGGCGTCGATGTGCTTCTTGATCTTCTCCACTCCGTCGGCAGCAGTGGCTTCTCTGCCAATGACATCGACAAAGTTACCTTCGGAGTCCATCAAGTAAAAGAAGATCGAGTGGTCCACCAAGTAGTCCTGGCCTGGCTTGACGTCTGGAGGCGTGGAGAAGTACACTCTGTACTGCTTGCAGCACGCCTTGACGTTCTCGTAGGTACCAGTCAAGCCAATGATCGAAGGGTGGAAGTCCTCCAAGTACTGCTTAATAATCTCGGGGGAGTCTCTGGCAGGGTCACAGGTGATGAAAACAGGCTGCAACTCGATGTTGGACTTGCCCAACTCTTCCAACATCTCTCCCAACTTGTCCAATTCGTCCGGACAAATATCAGGGCAGTGGGTGAACCCGAAATACACAATCGAAAACTTCTTCTGGTCGTTCTTCAAGTTCTCCTGGGTGAATGGCTGGTTGTTATGGTCCACCAAGTTGAAGGGACCACCGATAAGCGGCTTACCATACCCTCTCTTGGATTCGACTTCCTTCTGAAGTCTCAACCGTTCCTTCTCCTTCGAAAACCAGTAGGTAAATCCACCTCCAACTACGATCAACATACACACAGCCTTCCAGGAGGCAAACTCGATACTGTTGCTGGGAGCATACTTCTTGTTGCTGGTGGCAGAGCCAATAGCGACTCTACTCAAAGGCCGCTTTTTGCCAGCATCGGACTTTGATTCGTTGAGTTTTATTGTGCTGGCATGGAAATAGCGGACAGCTGGAGATACTCTTGGGCCATGTGTGGCTATAGAAGCGACACTGATGGCGCGTTTGGTGGAAAGTCTGGAAAGCATGGTGGGTGGTTTTGGTGCTAGAAACAGATGATTTTTGTTTCCAGTAGATGTCGCAACCAGAAAAACACGTGATCGGTGATAGTCGGGGTTGAGAATTGGAGGGGCGGGATTGTACATGCAAGTGTACTCGTAGGGGTTTGGCTGATTGGATGGGGAAGTGCAGGTGATGGTCTACAAGAGAAGGATTTCCAGGGCATTGAGGTAAGACTTTTGTTGTAGGAATGTGGAAATTAAATAAAGGCCGATGGTTGGCAAGCGTAGCCATGCGCAGGGTGAATTCCCATAACTCCACCCATAGAGCTAGAAATGTATAGGAGAGAGATCAAAGCACTCGCCACCACTTTCTGCAGGGTGTATCAGAGGCTGGGCTTCACTCCTGGAAATATGATTACGTAACAACTTACTAAGCAGCACTATTTCGATGCCTCTTCACCTCGATTGCCACCACCCACCATGACTCTTGCCCAAATCGACCAACTCCTTGACTGGGCAGCTCAGAACGGAGCAGTAGTCTCCAAAGACCTCAAGTTCAAGGAAATTTCAACCAACAATATCGGTGCCATTTATGAATCCTCGCAACCTTCCAATGACTACCAAATCAGTCTTCCCATCAACTTGGTGTTGACATTGAAGGAGGCCACCAAGGGCTTGAACAGCGGCTTGACTGAGGGTACCTTTGAAGAAATCGCTAATAAAACTTCCAATATCAACTCGGTGCTTAAGCTCTACTTGAGCAGAGAAAGAAGCAACAACTACTTGCAAAAGTCTTTCTACCAGCCATATCTCCAACTCTTACCCACACTCGAGCAGATCAACTCGCCATACACCTGGAGTGCCAGTGACAAAGCTCTTCTCAAAGGAACGAATTTGGGAGAATCTTTGAGAGGAAACTTGACTCACATCATCGAGGAATGGTGGCAATTGATCAACCTCTTACCAGAATCCATTGACAAACCGGCCGAGCATTTCATCAACATGAAGTTTTACTACGAGCACAAATTCCACACCGATGATGATCTCCACAAATATTTCATCCAGGATGAAGACATCAACAACTGGACCAGTTTTCCCAACTACTTGTGGGCATCGTTGATCCTAAAGTCCAGATCGTTCCCAGCATATTTGTTGAAGGAAACTACTAAGGTCGAGTACAAGAAAGATGAGGCCATGTTGCTCCCCATTGTCGATCTTTTGAACCACGATAGCAAGGCACAGGTGGAGTGGATCGTCAAGGATGGCTTTTTCAACTTCAAGTCGAACGACGCCATTTCCAAGGGAAGCCAAATTTTTAATAATTACGGCATGAAGGGAAATGAGGAGTTGTTGTTGGCATATGGATTTTGTACTGAAAACAATCCTGCTGATTCTGCAGCATTGAAAATCAAGATTCCCGAGGAATTGATCGCCGAATTGAAGAGTAACGGCATCAAATTACCTACCTTGGAGGATTACACAACTTCTGTGGTCAGATCTGAGGGCCAAGAGATCCAGCAAGACTACAAAGATGGCCTTTTATTTTTCATTACCCAGAACAACTTGCCCGAAAACTTGGTTCAAGTGTTCCAATACTTGATTAAAAACCCATGGGAGTCAGGGATCAGTCTTAGAATGAAATTGGCAGGGATAAACCAGTTGAGAAAGGCATTGGAAGCCAAAAACAAACTCATAAATCCAGCCAGCTCTGGTTCGGCAAACGCCAGATCTGTCGAAATCTATACTCAGTCCCAGAAGCAAATCTTTCAGTCCACTATCAAAAAGCTCAAAAGTCAGGAAAAGAAATTGTTGGCGGATCCCGAAAACAAGCCCAAATTTATCACCTTGAAGAACGTTTACAAGAAGGACCATAAATTACTGCAATCTTTGTTGGTGTCGTTGGGAGCTGTCAGTTACGAGTCCATACTTGAGAATGAGCTCCAGGACCAAGTATGGTTATTGTACTTGCTCAGATGCTATAATAGAGACGAGTATCTCACTGGAGAAATTGACGAGGATGGTGACGAGGAAAACTACTTGCCTTTATGGATCAAGGAGTACTTTGAGAAGGTGGAAAAGATGGAGGTCTCTGCTGCCGAGTTACTCCAATACAGACATTTACACGAGGGGCTCATCGTTCCATTGAGCAAATCTGTTCCTGAGATCTACAGTAAGGGCAAATGGGGCGTAAAGGAATTAGCCCTCAGTGCCAAATTGTTGGACAACATCAGTTTTGTAAGAGGCAAGGAACAGGAGTGTATCTTGGTTGAGCCAGAACAAACCAGTTGAAGGGACTAACAGGATAGAAATTGCTCGCTTTTGTTGTGAATGGCAACGTCAAGACGTATTTTTCAATCTGATCTAACAGGAAATACAAAGAAATCGTGTGGACAATTTTCACCAGAGCTCCACTAAAAGACTAGCGAGTTTACCTAGACAGTCCTGAAATTGGCATTACAACCCGCTATTTTTCTTGTACATAATTAACGAATCTGATAGAACAATTGCCTTGTTTTATTTCAAGTCAGTTTGGATCTGATGTAGGCTCGAAACAAATCCCAGCATCAGCTGAAGTTCAACTTTAACTACCAGCCATGAGCCACTGCATGTGTTTGGCATAACAATATGGATTTAATAAAATACTGAAAATCCAATACAATAATTGGAACAGTCTTACTAACGTTGTACAGAGATCGAGCTTATAGCTAGACAATTGCCTTGAATTTTCCAATTTGCCCAGAACTATAATCTTTCCAATTATCGACCAGTTGATCATGATGCATCTAGTGCCCAATATAGTATTAGTGTGTTATTCGCTAGATCTAGCATAATTTATGTAAATATATATCAACCGGGTCTCCAGGGTGGCTATCACAACTAATCTTCCTTGATACCACCGGTACCAGCGGTCTCGACACTCTCAACAGTGTGCTTGTCGGTCTTGACCGAGTCAACACCACCAGTCAAGGCTTGCAAGAAGCCAGGGGCGGACTTGAATGGTCTCTTCAAGTCACCAGAGGCTGGGGTGCCGAAAAGGTGGATCTTGACGATGTTGGATTCCAAACCAGACTTGACGGTTGAGATGGACTGCATGACCAATGGGTTGGTGTACTTCATGTAGATGTGCATGAAACCCATCATGGCCAACGAGCTGAACACACTCTTGATCTGGGAGTCGACTTGCTTCAAGTCGTACTCCTTGACGGTGGTGACCACAGCCTTTGGCTGGGTCTCACCAGACATAGGGTTTGCTGGTTCGACGAACTTCAAGGTGGTCAAGTCGTTCTTGGAGTTGATCTTGAATCTGGTGAACAAGTAGACCCCCAAGGTGATGGCTTGACAGGAGATGTAGAAAGCTCTGACGTAGAACAAGATGTCTGGGTCTTCCAAGTCCAATTTACGGGAGACTTGCATCATGACGAGCATCAAGCCCAAGTTGGTGATAGCTGGATTCATTATGGCTTATCGGGGAGGTGGAGGTAAATGAAAAATCGCCAACATTTTATGATTATAGACTGAGGCGGGCGCACGACGCATGGCCGTGGCAAATCGAGTCACGTGACACATAGAACCGTCTCGAAGTTTATGAGAGCGGACTAGTCTGAGGGTAGTAGTACAGTAGTCAAAACTGCCTATTTTATGGTTATAGTAGTTCGGAGTCTATTGAGATGATAGTTGTATGAAAATACAGTATTATTTTATTATATGTCAAACCGCGAAGTGATAGTCCTCTCAAATTAGATAGCTAGTTACATTGATGAAGTCCCCAAATTAGCTGGTGACGACGACTTGCCTATCGATACACACAGATAGTTAACCTACTATTCTTATCTATAGGGCTTCTATTGAAAATGTGAATCAAGTAGGTTGTGTTCGAAAATTATTTGCTCCAATTTGGACGCATAATACCGCTCAGATTAATTCTACAAAGAAAAGCAGGGTTAAGGGACTCCAGCGAAATACGCCAAGAGTGTTTAAGCTAGGATGTTTCTAAGGTGGGGGTCACACAAGCCGTAGCAACACGAATAGAGAAGTGAAATTAGTCTGGTAAAGACAACTTGATTAGTGAATTTTCGCAACAAATCACAAACTACCTCAATGAATTTCAAACTAGTATATTCAAGAAACTTTTATATAGACAATTAATGCAAAATCATCAGTAGTGGGCATTCTCCCACACTTAAAGTGGCTCGTCTTCAAAGGCCACATCGCCGAACTCCCAGCATCCCAAGTGGGAGGACCGTGCTCCAGCCTGTACCTTCAAGAGCTCGGCCACATACTCCTTGACTGCAGGACCGACACTTGTGGAATCCACAACGGCCCAGCCTTCCTTGACCAACTGCTTGTTGATAGTGTAGGAGGCATCCTTCAAGGACTGCTCAGAATCGTACAAGACTCCCTGGAATTCGGTGGTTGTTCCTGGCAAAGCGCTGATAACGAGTTTTTTGTCGAAAGTGAGGTCCTCCAAAGCATACAATGCTTCAGACAAGTAGTCGGTAGGCTTGGAAGGAGGCAATCTCAAGTTCTGTAAGGTGGTGGTGTGGGCAAAAGCTGGGAAAGAAGAGGTGGAAAATTGCTGAGGAAGAACACGCAAAGACGACAATGGCACCTTGTCGACGTTTCCGAAATCCAAGTGCTTCACCTCGTATTTGTTAGAGGCCCTATCGAAATTGATCACCTTGGCACGGTAGAACTTACCATTCTCGGAGAACTTGGCAGAAACCAACTCGTTCTTCTTTGGACCCTTGCTCAAGTTGTGAGGCAAATCAACCGAGGTGTTGCTGGCGCTTGGAACCTGGCCATGGAAGTCATTGAATTGCTTCTTGAAAGTAGCGAACTTGCTAGCGGTAGCAGCATCCAAGTGATGGAAAGAAATGACCCCTGTTGAGTCGATATCCACAACCTCAATGTCGAAGAATTTGGGCTTGGAGGCTTCAAGATTCAATTGGTACAATTGTCCAGAAGCCTGATCAATCTTGGCCTGCTCTGTGGCTTCATCATAGTCCTTCCATACACCCTTCTTGCCCTTTTTAGCGGCTTCTTCAGCCTTGATCAAACCATCGGCAAATGGATTGGAATTGACAGCAAAATCATGTATCTTGACTAAACCTTGCTCTAACAAAGCAACCTGGACGGGTTGCAAGGCACTACCAGAAGCAAACAAGTTTCCGATAAATCCACCGATCTTATCAGTATCATAGACCTCAAACTCGACATTTCTTTGCAAGAACTTCTTGTTCATGAATTTCAAGCCCTCGTCGTTCAACCCATCAGCCTTATCATTGGACAATCCCCCCAAAATCAAGGTCAATTTCAATCCTTCCTTTGGATTGAATAACTTCACTCTGTTTGCAGACGGAATGAATTCTACATGGTAACCTCCAGAGATTCTGCCCTTTTGTTTGAACCCATTCAAAAACGTCTTGGCCTTGGATGCGTTTTCGGACGCATCGATGATTCTTGTTCCGACCTTCAACACCTTGTTAATATCACCAGTGAAAAAGACACCCTTCTTACCAAGTTTCTTCTGTTCTTCTTCCAACTCGAGAAGTCTGTCCAGTTTAAGGATCTTTCGTGGGCTGTGGCCTTGTTGTGTCTGATCACAGTACCCATTCCGTTTTCAAGGATAAGTTCCGATAAATCGGTGCCACCGTTAATCTTAAGACTGACAAGAAACCTGGCATCAAAACCGAGTTCCTTGTTTTCATTTCTGTATCCGTCAATGTACATGGTTGCAGATCTGCCAATGGTGTGGTGTCTGACAAACTCACGGGCAGTCGCAACCAACGACTGCTGTTGCTGTTCATTAGTAGTGACGGTCTTATCCGATGGCCTAGGGGCCCTGATGGAGGCCAATTGCACCGTCAATTCTTCGTCACTAGGCAAACGCACGACCAAGGTATCACCTCCAACCACTCTTGCGATTTGAACGTTTTCAACTGTGGATCCAGGCTTCAAAGATTTACCCGCAGATACCTTTGGAGCACCCGAGCGGACGGTGGTTGTGTTGGCGAACAAGCCCTTTCCGAGAGCCTTGGCCGATTGCTCGGCCTTTCTCAAGCCCGCCATTTTGGAGGAACCGATCAAAGTGGACTGCCAATCGATGACTTCACCCAAGCCATTTTCCAACAACTTTTCGTGGATGTTGTTGCCGGAAGGGTGGTGGATGAAAGCAATGGGCAAGCCTGCCTGGTTTTCGCCGACGATGGTGGCGGTCAACTCGGCCTTGGTGGATAAGAGCTTTTCCTCGACAAACGCCTTGGCCTGGTGGGCTACCTTGGTGGTGTTAGCGGGTTGGGTGGGGTCGTCGGTTCTGGGGGCCTTGATTCCCGCCAATAACAAGGGAGTGGTGACGTGCTGGGTCTTGCTGACCACCAATCTGGCCATGAGCCTGTCACCGCTGATGACCTTCTCCACAATGGTGGCGATTGGTGTCTTTTGCGATTTTTGGACGATGGTGTCGTCCAACTCAATTGTGGCGATGGAGTCGGCACCATCGTGCCACACACCGGCTCCCGCAAGTTTGGCCTTCTGCTGCACGTCGTTAAGCTCGTAGTAGATGTCGCCATCGTCCTCCGAGAAGTTGTCCTTCAACTTGACAGTGCCATGTTCCAACAAATATGCCACCAATGACTTGAAAATGGGCGCCTGGATGTCGCCAAACTCTCTGCCTCCCGCACTCTTGTGGTTGACTCTGAACTTGACCTCCTTGCCGATCAACAATTGCCGCAAGAACTCCTTGGACTGCCAACGGTCGTCCAGCTTGACGTAGGAGAGGGTCAAAAGACGCTCAGGAGCAGGCAATGCCGCGCTTTTGGAGGGAACCAACACGACGGTGTCGCCACTCAATACGTTCTTAACTTTGGCAACGAATACTTGGGACATTGGAGTGGGTAGGACGGAATGTCGTGGCGTTTGTTGGGCGGGTGTTGAGATCAAGATCGCACAACCAGAATGGACAGGCACGTGACCGTGGATTCCCCAGCCAAAGCGCGCCGGTGGCGGTGGCAACACCACCACCGATGGCACGGAGTACTGCCCAGAAGAGGCTTTTGAAGGAATACCAGCAGTTGTCCCGCGACCCGCCTCCAGGAATTGTCGCTGGGCCGGTGACGGAAACCGATTTGTTTGTGTGGGAGTGTCTCTTGGAGGGCCCTACCGAGACTCCGTACGAGAACGGAGTGTTTCCCGCCACGTTGAAGTTCCCCAAGGACTACCCGTTGAGTCCCCCCACCCTCAAGTTCGAGCCACCATTGTTACATCCCAACGTGTATGCTGACGGCACTGTTTGTATCTCCATCCTCCACCCTCCAGGCGAGGACCCCAACCAGTACGAGCGGCCAGAGGAACGGTGGTCGCCGGTGCAGAGCATCGAGAAGATCTTGTTGAGCGTGGTGTCGATGTTAGCGGAGCCCAACCCCGAGAGCGGGGCCAATATCGACGCCTGCAAGTTGTGGCGAGACGACCGGGTGGAGTACGACCGCCAGATCAGACAGCATGTGCGGGAGTCGTTGGGGTTATAAAAGCAGACACAGTTGTATGCTGCATCAATTAAGGCCCAATTAGCTGCTAGTCAATGGACACAGTTAAGATATGTTACACAGTTACAGCCCAAAAATAGGTCGGGACAACCACAGATTTGTGCCCAGAGACGGGTTATCACTCTATGAGCGCCCCCACTGATGATTAATGAAGAGTGAATTTTGGACGTTAATAGAGTCTTGGGAATAGAATATACGGACATCAGGACGAGTGTAGATGTCTGATGATTGAGATATCATTGCTGACAGGAAGAGCGGAAATAATAATGCACAAGTGGATTATTCACCGATAGTCACCTTCATTATCATTCTAGAATTATAGACATTATTCGTGATTAATCTCGGGAGATATTTCCAGCTGATCATCGGAAATAGCTGTACCATTCCATTTATCCCAATTACTTCTAGTCTACCTTTTGAGATACATTCGGGCTTCTAGCAGTCCGAGCGCATTGTACCATCGACCATACTTGTATTACACATTCGTACTCTTTATCTTCTAGAGCCTTTAGAAGTCTAGTCGTTGGCTCTAATATTGCCATCTCAAGTCTTCACTCTAATATTGCATCTCCAGTCTTGTCTCCAGATTGCGTCTCCAGACTGATCGCTGTGCGACACCATCGCCTTTTTACCTGAACTCTCCAGATCGCTGTACTACCCTCCAAGAACCCGTAGCGACCCATCTCACCACCACTACCACCACCACCATCATCACCACCCCATGAACGTGTCAGTTGCAATCGTTGGTGCCGGAGTTTCTGGGTTGAAAGCTGCCCATACCCTCCTCAACCATCCCAAGTCTCCATTTGCACCAAACCATATCGTGGTACTCGAGGCCCAAAATCGCATTGGCGGACGCATCCTCACCGATAGAGCCCAGTCCAAGATCGGATACTCCTATGACCTCGGGGCAGCGTGGTTCCACGACTCGTTGACCAACCCTGTGCTCCAGGAGGCCATTCGCGACGACGATACCTCGTTGTTTGACTACCGCCACCACTGTTACTACGACGACAAGGAAGCCAGGGTGTACGTATCGGAGCTTGAGGGTGCTGTAGATATGGTGGGCTTGAAGGTCGACAAGGTGCTTGAAGACCTCCACAAGTACATCGAGCTCCACTTTATGGACCTGTTGAACATCAAGGACGTGTCGTTGAAGCAGATAGTGGCCCAGTTCTTCGAGGTCCATGGCCACATGGTCTCCGACACCCAGAAGGACTACGCTGCCAGGACAATGCCGTACCTCGAGTCGTGGTTCGGGATTCCCTGGGACTTGGTCAGTGGCAAGTATTCAATGATGGACCATCAGGGAAGGAACCTTTTGAACACCAAAGGGTACGACTTTATTGTCGAAAAGTTAGCCAGGGGCATTCCCAACGACAGGACCTTGCTTGGACACCAGGTGGTGGCCATCGACCGTGACAACAAGAACGGCCCCCATAAGGTGAGTCTCCTTATGAAAAATGGCGATCGTGTCTACTGCAACCACCTCATCGTTACCGTACCACAAAGTGTGTTGCAGCTCCCTGATTCACACCCCTACGGCATTGCCTGGAGCCCGCCACTTCCTCAAAACGTGAAAGAGGCCCTCCAGAGTATCCACTTTGGTGCCTTGGGCAAAGTCATTTTCGAGTTTGAAGATGTCTGGTGGGACGAATCCGAAGACAGATTTGACATCCTTCCCGACTCGGGTGCTGCTCCTGAGGTACCGTTGACAGCGTTGCCTCCGTCCTTCTCGTACTATGCACATGTGCTCAACTACAGTGCTTCCCACAAGAGCAACAACGGCTCCAGGGGCAGCAGCCTAGGAGTTCTCCTCCAGTCGCCACTCACAGAGTACTTGGAGGCTCATCGCAAGGAGGCCTGGACTTACTTTGAGCCTATGCTCTCCAAATTGGTGGTCGAGGGCAAGAAGGTCAGTGCACCGATCAATACCATCACCACTGACTGGACCCAGAATCCCTATATCAGAGGCTCGTACTCGGCTCTCCACGTCGACGACGACCCGTCAGACTTGATTATCCAGCTTTCAGGCGAATTCGATGGGTGCGGTCTTCATGAGAACTACATTCGGTTTGCGGGAGAACACACCATCCTGGATGGGGCAGGATGTGTCCATGGAGCCTACGCAAGTGGGCTCCGCGAAGCAGAGTGGATCATCGATTCGGTAGCTGGCTCAGTATGAGTCAGTTCATTGGCGTAGTGGAAAGTAATGGCCTGGATCATTCTAGGATATTCTCGCACCAGATGATGAGTAGTTCCTCCACCAATCTGGCCAGTATATTACAAAAAAATTTGTGCTAGGAAGCAAACGATAAGATCAAATCATGTCTGCTCCATTCAGTGCCGAAACTGCCGACAACTTAGAAGACATCGAGAAGCAATTTGCCGTCAAGGCTGTGATGCAAGCCGAGACCTACTGGGGCTTGTTAGAAAAGATTCCTGGCTCCAAGTTAAAATTGACCCAGCACGACGATGAAATCTTCGAAACCTTGTTAACCGACTTCCCAGAGTTCAAGGACCCAGCTGTCGCTGCACGCGTTGATGAGAGCCAAATGAAGAGTGTTGCTGGTAAGGCCAAGTGGAGAACATTCTGTGAAAAGTTCGACGAAATCGAAGACTACAACTTCGGTACCTTGTTGAGAGTCAATGCCAACGACGAATACTCTCAAGACGGAACTATCTTCGTGGTCAGAATCCAATTTTACGCCATTGAAATCGCCAGAAACAGATACGGTTTGAACGACTGGGCCGCCAAGAAGTAAGCCCAACCCCTGATACATATAACGAATAAACCACTGTAATTTTAGTCCCACCGCCCGTATTCAAAAGCTTTTAGCAAAGGAATGCATAAAGCTTAATCTCTAATGTTTTAAACAGCTACTCTGATATACTCCCGTAGAAGTGGTTGCAGCGTCTCTATCTGATCACGTGCTCTAACTCGCGTGACCTCACACCGACAACTTTTTATCGGTAAATACTGCAGATCAGCCAGTTTGACAACCAAACCCCCTCCATGAACTCTTCTAGGTTGCAAACCGCAGGCAAACCCCCCACGGGCGGCGTGCCACAAGTCCAATGGCTGAATCAGCAACATCCGCAGCATACACAAAATCTGCTGCTGCTGCCACTGCAACATCAACAACTGCAACTGCCACACCTGCTGCTGCACCAGCAGCTGGGCTCGTACTACTCATCAGCCAACTACTCGCTTCCTGGCGTCATTAACTACCTCACATCGGAATTCACCAATCTCGAACGCTTCAAGATCATGACCAACTTGGAGAAATCAGAGATGAAGTACAAAATCATCCAGCTCCAATGTGAAGTGAACTCGCTCAAACTCGTCTGTGACAAGCAAAAGAGCCAAATTTCCAAGTTGGAGACCGAAAACCGCAAGTTGAAAGAGCAATCGACGGGGGAAGTGCATGCTTCTTCCGAAAGTGGTGAAGACCACCCCGATTCCCAATTGCCCGAGATCCCAGACGTGGATCTTCTGGTTATTAAGAAGTCCAGACAGCAACTAACCAAGTCCATGAAGGAAATTGTGCACCTTCTCAAGATCCCATCAGCCAAAAACATGAACTACCTTGGCATACCAGAGACCAGTGATATTCCCATTAATAACGAATTGGACGCCTTGGTGAACCACGAGGACAATTTTAATGATAACTTTGACTTTAACGACCGCCACATCCTCAGTCTTTCACCCAGGAGCATGAAAAAGGGTAAATCGGTTACTTCCCAATATTTTGGAGACGAAGGGGAGGCCCCAGAAGCATACGTCGATTTTGACGACATCAAGGATGTAAATGTCGATTTTTTCAACGAAAAACAGTTCACTGGAACCCAAGTTTCGGTCAACGAGTCCAGAAGCTTGCCTTATGAAAGTGACGCCGAAACAGAGATCCTAGAAAATGTGGATGAAGTGGTGGCTCCCCTTGACAAGCAGCCATTGTCAGGTGAAGAGAAGCATACGAATCAACAGGTATTCGAGGATGGTGAGATACAGGTCCACCTCACTTCCATCTCTGATGAGTATAGAATAGAGGTATTCGATAAGAATGCAAAGAAGAAGGTGTTCTCTAAGGACGTCTACATAGACTCTGTGGAACCCGACAAATTGATTAGTTTGCACCGCATTGCACTTGAAGATTCGAGGGGAACTTTTTTGGCAGTGCAAGAAAATGGGATAGTGTTCAGTCTCACCGTGGAAACTGATAACACCAGGGAGACCGAGTTGATCAATCTTAAAAATCAGAAGGTGCACATACAATCATCAGGGTTAACAGAATTGCCCCACATCGAGAAGACCCGGAAGTTCGGGTTTGTGGTGAATTCACTTGAAGACAACTTTGTCATCAAGGTGTTCCAGCTCACCTTGAAAGATGGAGAATTCGAAACTAAAGAAATTGGATCGTTCAACCGGAACTTCATAACAAAGAACGCCAGTTCAAAGCATATTGAATTTGATACGTGGGCCGTCAACAATAGTGCTCAGATTAAGCCTTCGTCTCCCAAGAAGAAGAAGGGGAAGGCCGAATCTGGTGCCAGTGCCGAGGAGGAAGAAACTGCCTTTGTGCCCTACGAATTGGTTTACAGGAGCGAGGACAGCCTCCTCAGGGTGAACGTGGTGAACAAGACCATTCAGACGTTGCCTTGGTGAAGTAACGATGAAGAAGCGAGACCGACGGCAGGTACCAAGCAATAATAGCTACAATTCCCAGGCTGAAAAACAAATACTAGACTCGATGATAAGAGTTCGAAGTCATCCATGGTCGGGCCAAACCACATCCAACCATCTTCCAGCTGGACGCTATATTCGAACAATACCAACAGTTTCGACGCCACTGGAGTATATCCCTACCAACGCCTCGGTGTTTATTTCACCCTCACCACTGCCCCGTTTCGCTCCAGTGTTACTTAATTTCCCTGCAGACCCTGCCGGAACCTCATCGCGCCCTCCATCGCATAGCTAATGTACCATATGCCTGATCTCCGTAGCTTGGGAAGCCTGGCGTGTTCCAAGTGTCGATGCCATGCCTCTTCATCATCCGTGTGGTTTCCCACGCTATTGTAGTCCCATCCACGTTCTCTCGCTTAATTGACCCTTCTCTTTTCTTATCACCTGCACCTCCACGTTGATGCGATGCGTATCGATGTGCGCAACCATATCAGTTTTGAAAAATTTTCCGTTTCTATTACAAACACCAACCATGTCTAAGCAATCGTTTGACGACTTCTTGAAGTCTCAGCAGCTGGCCAAGCCCAAGGGCTATGGTTTCAGAGGACAGCAGCAGCAGGGTGCTCCACAGGCGTACCAGGGAGGTTACCAGAACTACCAGGGAGGCTACCAGAACTACCAGGGAGGCTACCAGAACTACCAGGGAGGCTACCAAAACTACCAAGGAGGCTACCAGAACTACCAGGGAGGTTACCAGAACGGCCCTAGAAGCTACGGCAACTCGCAGATCAACACCCCCTTGGACTCCACCCCCACCAGTGGAACAGCCACCCCCACAACCCCCAATCCAAATGCATCCACCACCTCGTTGACCTCGTTGAACACAGCATTGAGCAAGCTCAACGTGGCCAACATCCCCATCCAAGAGAACTTGAGCAACCTCGAGAGATGCGCAAAGATTGCCGAAGTCAGAACCGAAGTATCGGCCATCGTGGACAGCGTGGCCCAAGAAGCCTCGTTGAACGTCCTTAACGACTGGAAGTTGAGCGAAATCCTCAAGTCTTTGGGTAAGCCCAAGAACTCGCCATTGGTCAGAGAAGGCGCGTTGTTGATCATCCAGCAATTGGCCATCAAATTCGGAGGCCAAACCCCCAAGGAGGCCTACCTCATGCAATTCTTTGCCCTTGCATTCGATGCCCATGCCGATAAGGACAAGAACGTGGTCAAGGGAGCTAAGACTGCCGTGGACACTTTGTACGGAATTTTTCCCGTTGAAGCTGTGGCCACCATTGTCATGGACGAGATCTTGAACTACTTGAAGTCGTCTGCCAAGTGGAACTCGAAGTTGGCTGCATTGGCCGTCTTTGAGAAGTTCATCGACGACGTTCCTGCCGATTTGTTGGAATTGAAGTTCGTCAAGGCGGTTCCAGTCTTGACCGATTTGGCCACCGATTTCAAGCCAGAATTGGCCAAGCAGGGTTTGATCACCTTGAAGAGATTCGTCAAGGTCTTGGACAACTTGGATTTGCAGAACAAGTACGACTTGCTCGTGGAAACCTTGGCTGATCCAACCAAGGTCCCAGAATGTATCAAGAACTTGAGTTCCGTCACCTTCGTGGCTGAAGTCACCGAACCAGCATTATCTTTATTGGTCCCAACTTTGGACAAGTCCTTGAAGATGTCTTCTTCCTCCAATGACCAGTTGAGACAAACTGTCACTGTCACCGAAAATTTGACCAGATTGGTGAACAACAAGAGAGAAATCGAAACCTTTATCCCAATCTTGCTTCCTGGTGTTGAAAAGGTGTTCAACAACGCTTCCTTGCCTGAAGTTAGAGAATTGGCCGAGAAGGCCTTGAACGTCTTGAAGGACGCTGAAAACGAACAGTCAGACGGTAAGTTCCACGGCAGAATCACCCCAGAGCAAGCCTTGGAGTTCTACACCAAAAACATCCCTCAAGAATTGCTCCCAGTTGTCAACGACTTGCAATTAGAAGATGAGACTCGTGCCCAATTCTTGTCGTTCGTCTTGCAAGCTGATGCCAACGTCAACGACTGGAAGCGTTTGAAGGAATACTTGAACATTCTCGATGTTACCACAGAATCTGAAGAACTCAGAGCCCAATACGCCGACACTGTTCTCGTGAATCTCAGAGCTTTGTTCGAACCAGCCAGTGCCCAAACCGACCAAGAAGATGATGGTGCCATTGAAATTGTCAATGCTGATTTCTCTTTGGCCTATGGTTCCAGAATGTTGTTGAACAAGACCAAGCTTAGATTGTTGAAGGGTCACAGATACGGTTTGTGTGGTAGAAATGGTGCTGGTAAGTCCACTTTGATGAGAGCCATTTCCAAGGGTCAATTAGAAGGTTTCCCTACCGCAGACCAATTGAAGACCTGTTTCGTTGAGCACAAATTGCAAGGTTCCGAAGCTGACATGGACTTGGTTGGTTTCATTGCCTCCGACCCTGAATTGATCCATGTTGGCAGAGAAGAAATCGCCCAGGCATTATTGACAGTCGGATTCCCTCAAGAAAGATTAGAGCAAAATGTGGGTTCGTTGTCTGGTGGTTGGAAGATGAAGTTGGAATTGGCCAGAGCCATGTTGATGAAGGCCGACGTGTTGTTGTTGGATGAACCTACCAATCACTTGGACGTCGCCAACGTCAAATGGTTACAAGACTACTTGGTCGAAAACACCGAAATCACCTCATTGATTGTTTCCCACGACTCCGGATTCTTGGACGCTGTGTGTACTGATATCATCCACTACGAAAACAAGAAGTTGGCTTACTACAAGGGTAACTTGTCTGAATTCGTCAAGATCAAGCCTGAAGGTAAGTCGTACTACACCTTGACCGACTCCAACGTCAAGATGGCCTTCCCACCACCAGGAATTTTGACTGGTGTCAAGTCCAACACTCGTGCTGTCGCCAGAATGAGCAACGTCACTTTTGCGTACCCTGGTGCTGCCAAACCTTCCTTGGTCAACGTCTCGTGTTCTTTGTCGTTGTCTTCTCGTGTGGCTATTCTTGGTCCCAACGGTGCTGGTAAGTCCACCTTGATCAAGTTGTTGACTGCGGAGTTGATGCCTAACGAAGGTAAGGTTGAAAAGCACCCTAACTTGAGAATTGGTTACATCGCCCAGCATGCCTTACAGCACGTTGAACAGCACAAGGAAAAAACCGCCAACCAATATTTGCAATGGCGTTATAGATTTGGTGATGATCGTGAGGTCTTGTTAAAGGAATCCCGTAAGATTTCCGATGAGGAAAAGGTGCAGATGGAAAAGCAGATCGACATTGATGACGGAAGAGGGCCCAGAGCCATTGAAGCCATTGTCGGTAGACAAAAGTTGAAGAAGTCGTTCCAATACGAAGTCAAGTGGAAGTTCTGGTTGCCTAAGTACAACTCTTGGGTTCCTAAGGAAGTGTTGTTGGAGCATGGCTTCGACAAGTTGATCCAGAAGTTCGACGATCACGAGGCCTCAAGAGAAGGTTTGGGTTACCGTGACTTGACCCCATCTGTGATCAGAAAGCATTTCGAAGGTGTTGGTTTGGATGGTGACATTGCTGACCACACTCCTATGGGCTCGTTGTCCGGTGGACAATTGGTCAAGGTCGTTATTGCCGGTGCCATGTGGAACAACCCTCACTTGTTGGTCTTGGATGAGCCTACCAATTATTTGGACAGAGACTCCTTGGGAGGTTTGGCTGTGGCTATCAGAGAATGGTCTGGAGGTGTTGTCATGATTTCCCACAACAACGAGTTCGTCGGAGCCTTGTGTCCCGAACAGTGGCACGTTGAAAACGGTGAGGTTGTGCAAAAGGGTACAGTCAATGTCGACAACGCCAGATTCGAGGACCAGGGTGGCGAGTCTGTTGAAGGTTCGCCAGCCCCAACTTCTCCACCAAAGAAGAGAGCTGACGATGACGATTCGCCAGCCAACATCAAGGTCAGAACCAGAAAAAAGAAGATGACCAGAAACGAAAAGAAGTTGCAGACTGAAAGAAGAAGATTGCGTTACATCGAGTGGTTGAGTTCTCCAAAGGGCACTCCTAAGCCAGTTGACTCTGATGAGGATGAGGATTAGGGCAGGTTTACCGTATAGAGGGTCCAGAACCCGAGGTTAATATATTCTTAGTATAGACAAATGTAGGGTCCAGAACCCGTTAGATTTAATTGTAGATGGTCTTTGTGGGTATACCCGTGTAAGAGATGCACTTAAGCATGCATTGGTATGCATCAGATCAATCAGTGGTGGTACGTTAATATTGTTACCAAAAGCCAGTATACTGGAGGAAACTACTAAGGTTTTTAACCCACCTGTACTTATAAGGTAATTTCAGAAATTGGGACAAGATTCAGGTGGCTACTCCAAAACTGAAAATTGCAGCTGGTGAAACACAGGTGAGGATTTGATAACATGTAGACAAATCCTGGCCAGAGATAGTATATGACAAGGATCTGAAACTCCTACCATAGACAGGATTGTGCTTGACAGAGAACATAAGAAGGATGAGTCCAACAACAATTTCAAAGGCAGGATTCGAAAAAACCAATACGAAGTCTTGGAAGAATATTCTCAAGCCAATTCGAAGAGGAAAGTCAGGTTTCCAGGGAATTACAGTAAAGGGAATAGTGTGGAAGATTAAATCACCGGCCACAAGGAATACTTCGCCTTGTTGAACATTTTCTACAAGGACTATGAACTACTGACATATTGTAGTATGATGGCCTTATCATTATTTGTAAATTTTATTTTTAGCTTAACCCACATAATTAGCTTGATCTCGCCCTTCCAACACCCACCATCGCTCCACTAGAGCTGGTAGACATCCTATCCCTCCTGGCCCATATCGCACAGAGTAGACATATTCCAAAATGATTGTCGCATGTCGCGCCGGTGTCGCGCATCCGGAGGCAAAAGAGTTCAACAGCACAATCTCAACCACTTACTACCCCAAAATGGCCGATAGATACTCCTTCTCGTTAACTACATTCTCTCCAAGGTACGTACCCCGCTGCTGCGCCGCCCGTATAACCCCTACTAACATCCAGTGGTAAATTGGTGCAGATTGAATATGCATTGAACGCAGTCAAACAAGGTGTCACCACCATCGGAATCAAGTCAGCCAACGGTGTGGTGCTTGCCACTGAGCGCAAGGCCAACTCGTCACTCCTCAAGAGCAACACCGGGAGCAAGGTGGAGCTCATTACACCCAACATCGGAATGTCATACTCGGGAATGGGCCCTGATTTCCGGGTGCTTGTTGATAAGGCCAGAAAGTTGGCCCACACAAACTACAAAAGAATCTACAACGAATATCCCCCCGTCAAGATCTTGGTGCAGGAGATCGCCAAGGTGATGCAGGAGTCCACACAGTCGGGAGGAATCCGTCCTTTCGGGGTGTCCTTGTTGGTGGGTGGCTACGACGAGCATTCGGAACAATTCCAGTTATACCAGGTGGATCCTTCCGGCAGTTACTTCCCATGGAAGGCCACTGCCATCGGTAAGACCTCCAATTCCGCCAAGACCTTCTTGGAAAAGAGATGGAACGAAAACTTGGAGTTGGAAGATGCCATCCATGTCGCATTATTGGCGTTGAAGGAGTCGGTGGACGGCGAGTTGACTGGTGACAATTTGGACATTGCCATTGTCAGCGACCCACAGGACCACTTGTTGGGCTTCAAGGGTACTTCTGTAGAGGGCCCCAGATTCAAAAAATTGACGGCTGAAGAAATCAACGATAGATTAGACTCGTTATAATCGACAAATATATTTACGTGGAATCTGAACTGTGTAGCGTGGCAGAGCCATCCACTAACTGGCGATCTAGCTTCGCTTGATGGCAAATGTAGCAAAGACATTCAAGAAATCAAAAAAAAAAAATATGAACTAGAGACAAAGTTGTTTCTTGTACTAGGAATAGAACTTATCTGACTAATTTCATACGTTCTAATGGGTTTGAAGCAAGTAACACAGACATTCGTGTCACTTATGTTCCCACAGCCAAACTATGGCATCGGGGGAGTTATCACGTGACCCGGGATCCATTAAAATTTTAGGCCATCGCTAGCATCTCGAAACCCCAAATCACCATTATGGCCCGTAAGAACAAAACTTCGGGTAAAAAGAGAAGCTCCCGTAAGATCTTGGATGCCTACCAGATCGCGGAAAGAGCTGAGAATCGTTCCGACTCCAACGACGACTCCGGGGACGAGAATGACGTGCAAGATGGTATCTTGGATGCCAGAAGGTTTCTCAAAGACGGGCAAGCAGGGGATGAATTTGAAGACGAAGAGTTGGATTCCGATGAAGCTTTGGGGTCTGATGATGACTACGATGTTTTGAACTCCAAATTTTCCCAGACCATCAGAGACAAGGCCAAAAAGCAAAAAGAAAAAGAGAAGAGAAGAAGAAGAGGAGAGATGAACAGCGATGACGAGAGCGACGAAGAAGAGGACGATGCCTACGATAGTATAGATGAAACCCAGTTAGTCACCTTGTCCGAAGCCTGGGATATGGACGAGAAGGACTTCAAGAAAAGCCAAAAGAACAAGGAGGGTGGAAATGAAGTCATTTTGGACGATGCCTGGGAATCCGAATCGGAGTCGGAATCCGAATCGGACTCTGACGATGATGACGAGGAAGATGATGCCTCTGGCTCTGACGAGGAGGATATCTTCGACAACGAAGCCGACGATGATGATGTTGACTTGAAAAATACCGTCAGTCATTTGAAATCCCAACTAAAGAAAGCACCAGCCGAAAAGAGAAAGTTGATCACCGAATCGACTGCCGAAAACGAATTCAGCGTTCCTGCTGGTTCCCAGGGCTTGTCGTTGGCCGAAATGATGGCTGCTGTGGATTCTTCTGTGTCCCAAGATGCCATTTTGATTGATACTCAGAACACGGAAAAATCTAAGGCTTTAGCCACCCCATTGCCAAAGAGAATCCAAGAAAGACACGATAGGAAGGTTGCGTACGAGATCTCCAAGAAGGAAGTAAGCAAGTGGCAAGACACTGTCAATCAAAACAGAGATGCCGAGGTATTGAAGTTCCCCATGGCAGCTCCAGGCACCAAGAAGTCGGCCCCTGTGAGTTTACCCTCAGAAGAAAGCTCCAACGTGAAGTCTAACCTCGAAGACAAGATCAACAGTGTGCTTGCGGCATCTTCGTTGGTCGACGACCAGAAGGAGGCCACCTTCGAACAAATCCAAGTGGCCAAATTGTCACCAGCAGAAATGATCAAGAGAACCAAAGAATTGAGGATGATGAGAGAATTGATGTTCCGTGAAGAAGCCAAGGCACGGAGAATCAAGAAGATCAAGTCCAAGCTGTACCACAAGATCAAGAAGAAGGAAAGGTTAAGAAACGAGGAATTGGTGGAGGGCGAAGAAGATTCTGATAACGAGGACCACGACATGAAGAGAGCGGAGGAAAGAATGAACTTGAGACACAAGACCAACTCCAAGTGGGCCAAGTCCATGATCAAGAGTGGGTTGTCCAAAGACGCCTCCAATCGTGCCGAGTTAGAGGAAATGTTGAGAAACGGCGAGAGATTGAGAGCCAAGCAGTTGGGCTACGAGGACGGTGATCAGAGTGACGACAACGTCAGTGACATCGAAAATGAATATGCGAACGAGCAAGACGACGTTGATAGGGCCAAGTTGGGCAAGGGTGTGTTGGCGATGGACTTCATGAAAAACGCTGAACATAGAAGAAGACAGGAAAATATGAAGGACTTGGAAGAGTTGAGAAAGTTGGAGGCTGGAGACAATGGAGAGGACGAGTTTGCCTCGGTGCACAACTCCGTCGATACCCACTTGAACCAGGGCAGAAGAGTCTACGCCCCAAGCTCGATTGCCATGAAGGAAAGCATAGAAGAAGTCAACAGGGACACCCTCCAAGAGCTTGCTGACGACGAGGCCCACAACTTGGTCACCAAATTGGGCAAGAAATTCGAACCAGAAGTCAGAGAGGTGCAAGGTCTGGAAAAGCACGAGGAGGAACCAGAGCAAAAGGTGTCAGAAGAAGCATTGAACGACTCTGAAGCATCCAACCCATGGTTGACTGCATCCAGCGAGCCCATCAAGAAGTCCAGCAAGGTGGTGGCTGTGGACCAAACCTCATCCAAATTGGCCAAGTCTGCGGCCAAGATTGCAAAATCCAAAAAGAGATCCTCGTCGCAAAGAGACGCTGGTGATAACACAGTGATTGATATTCTGAACACCATCAGAATTGCTGACCAGAGTGACGACGACCACGACGAAGATGGCGCCACCATGTTCACCCAAGCCGAATTGATCAAACAAGCATTTGCTGGAGACGATGTGGTGAAGGAGTTCGAGGACGAGAAGAAGCAAGTGATTATCGACGAAGACGACAAGGAAGAAGACGTCACTCTTCCAGGGTGGGGAGACTGGGCTGGTGCCGATGCCAGACCAAAGAAGAAAAAGAAGTTTGTGCGTACCATCGATGGTGTCGCTCAGGCAGACCGCAGAAAGGATAAGAACTTGAAGGATGTGATCATCAACGAGAAGGTCAACAAGAAGAACTTGAAGTATCAATCCAGTGCTGTGCCATATCCATTTGAGTCCAGAGAACAGTACGAGAGATCGTTGAGAATGCCAATCGGACAAGAATGGACCTCCAGAGAAACCCACCAACGGTTGACCATGCCTAGAATCATCACCAAGCAAGGTTCTGTTATCGACCCATTAAAAGCTCCATTCAAGTGAGCGTGTAACATAGTTAATATCCATAGGAGAATACAAGTAAAAGATACTAGAAGCTACAGTGACTTTGCGAGTAGAAAAGTAGAAAATAAGTCAATGCTATATGTTGTGGGTATGAGTACTTCTGAAAGAAAGAGACTGGTAATTCTTACAGACACCTTTAATTCCTTTAGCTGTAGAAGTACCAGTAACTGCTGGATCCATAGAGGGGCCAAAGCAGTCGGATAGCAGCCTCAGTTTAGTCGGTACAAAAATAATGGTTTCTGTCTCTACTGGTGCAAGCATTCTTCTAGCTGAAAATGATTTCTCGAAGAGTCGAGAACACCTTAATAAATTTGTTACAACTTGAATGTGTAGCATTCTATAAAAAAGCGTTTATTCTATTCATAATGACAATTACAGAAGTTTTATGTAAACATAAAAATTGTCTTACATGTGGTAGTTTTGGGTGTATAAGGCATAAATCTAAATCAGACTGTTTCAGTATATTTCGATTGACGAAGCTGGGTACCTGTAGGTACGCCAAGCTCTAGTTTTTCTCGAGCAGCTAGCTCTACAATTTCTTCTCTCGTTGATTGGAGGTGGATTAACTCTCCCCGAGTCCCAATGTCCCCGGGTTGCAGTTAAGTACGACTGGCGCTGTCAAGTAGAATCTGTCCATTCATCACCATATTGACATCGCTGCAGACTCTCCAGGCATTTTAGTCGAGTAAAATTCCGTTTCTCTCGGCCCACGCCTTACCACTAAGGAACACTCCCTCTGGGTCGGTTTCCTTTCTAACCTTGTTGTACTTGACCAAATTCTCACCGAACCACTTCTTCATCACCGGGTTGAAGCCAAGCATGGAGTAGAATTGCTTGCCCCCGAACTCCAACTGAGCATCTAAGCTTTCTGGAGTTCTGTGGTCGCCATCAACGCCAATGAAGTTCTTGGCCCAGTGGGGCTTTCCTCCTGCACGCGACATCACGTCCTCGAAATTCTGGTACCACTGGTGGGTGGGCACGTTGGTATGGAATGGCCTGTACATGGTAGCGTTGATGAACAACGTCAACTGGTCGTTGGTAACGGGAGCACCTTCGCCAGCGTAGGGAAGCACAGGCGAATTATCCAAGTAGGCTCGGAAATTGTTACCGGGAATGGGGCCAGCACTCAATCTGTTTCTTTTCTCCAACCACGAAGTGGGTGGGTACAACGATGGTTCGCCAGTCTCGTCGCTGATGAACGCTGTGTCGGAGTTGGTGGCATTGGAGCATCTGACTTCGATAGGAGCGTGCACGTAGAAATCGCCGTTTGCGGCTGCTGTTTCGATATGGTCCCGCAACTCGTGCAAGATCTGGACCCCATTGACCAAAGGAGCCGACCATTCGTTGACAAACTGCGAGAACAAGCAGTCCATGTTCAAGCCGTCCACCGAGTGCTGGACGGCAATATCACCCTTGCCCAAGGTCTCCACGTTTCCGTACTGCTGGTTGAAGACAAAACGCTCGATGTAGGGCGTCAAGCCTGGCCACACCTTGACGGAGATCCACAAGAGGGACTCGTAGAAAAACCGTCCGAACGCAGTGCCGTACCAACTGGGTCTGGGAGCGCTCAACGGCTCGTCGGACTTGGATGCTCTCCAGCACACGCACCGATTGGTGTAGGGGAACCACCAGATCCGGATGAACTCGGAGTCCAACCAGATGTTGTCCCAGTTTTTGGTGAGGGTGTCGAAGCTGATGATCTCCTGCTTGGACTTGATTGTGTAGCTGGGACAGGTCCGAAGCGTGACGTGGGTAATGATACCGATCTTGCCCAACGACAATAGCACTGCACGGAACACCTCAGGCTTGTCTACTGACGAGCAGGTGATTTCACGGGCCTGGGAGTCCAAGAAAGTGATGGACACCACCTGCTGGGCCACCAATCCGTGGTACTGGGTGGACCCGTGGGTACCCGTGGAAATGAGCCCAGCGAGCGATTGGTCGCTGATGGACCCCAAGTTCTGGATCGCCAACTGATTGTCTTTCAAGTACTGGTTCAACTCAAATACTCGACACCCAGCTTCGGCTGTCAAGTCCACGAACTTCACCTCGCCTCCAGCAGAGAATTCCTGGCGATCTACCACGGCGTTGAAGTGGTCCAAATTGCAGAGCCACTCCTTAGTCATGGTCAAATCACTGGGCGAATGGCCCAGTCCAACCGTCATGATCGTCTTGCCATGGCGTCTAGCCTGGTGGATCAACTCTTTGATTTCCGCCATCGTGCGAGGCTGGAACACAGCCTGCGGACGGCAGTGGTAGGTGCCAGCCCACGTCTTGTGGAAGAGCTTCTGGGTGGCAAAGCCCTGGAGGGATTCGGGAATGGTCATGGTAGGCCCTGTAAATGGTTTGGCGGGTATTTATTGGCCTCGTTCTGGTGAGATTATTTGCGGAAAAACTAATGTCCGAATTGCTGATTGCGCGAGATGGCCTGAACCACAGTAGCGACAATAGACCCTCCCAGGGTCTAGTGACAGGAATGACGCTGGTGGGGCGTGGTGGGGACAGGCTCATGGGAGATCGGCGGTGGTATTGTTGCAGGGACGGTCTGGGGGATCGACCAACAATAGTGAGATCAGCGACCTCCGCTAAGTGGATTCAGATAGGAATCGGGTGATTGAGCATCGCCATAATGTTCAATACTAAGTTTTTCGTAGGCAAGAATCCTTAGATTATTCCAATATCCTGTTAGATCTCTTGTCCTTGCTCTTTCAATTAATTCGGCTGGATGTTGTACAATGTATCCATATCGTTTTTGTTGTTGATAGAACAGCCAACTATTATAGAGAAATCATAAGGTATATAGTACCGATATCATCAATTCATCGCGATTCACTTTTTATTGCTGTTTGGAGTTGGGGCTTCCGATATGTTCTTTAAGGCAAACCCCTACGAGAAAGAAATAGTATGAAAGAATACAAATTTTATTTCATTTATGTCCACTTCCTGCAACTCTCTTAAATGTCTATTTTCAATTAAATGAGCTATATTTGGTGGAAAACGTGGAATTGGAAATAAATCACGATCGATATACCACACTTATTCTGTTTGGATGTTAGCTTCACGTTCAAATCTATGTTTTGGGGCACCTTTTATTAACCTGGGGAGCTAAATTGGTAGCACCCTTTTAATCCTTCACTCATGCCATAGCAATTCATCCTTTGAGTGGGAGAGTTAAAGCCTCTCTATACAGTTATGATTCCCCATTCTATACATAACCTCACACATCATAGCATCTCAAAAAGCACAAATTGCGCTATTTTAGGACACCATGAGCCAAAATACTAGATAAAGTCCCCCCATGTCTAGCATTCTCATTTAAATGAGTAAAATGAGTACGATGATTGGAAATTGAAGTTACTGTATTTTCTAGGTTACGATCCAATAATAGGGACTAAACTGTAGGGCTAAGTCCCCTGATTTTGTGAGTCATTCTACATGGCCATGACCGTTTCTAAAGCCTCTGAATACCTTATTCCCTCTTTTGAGGCAAGATTCTCAACATATTCAATAAAAACCTGAGGACCCCAATCTTCTTTCAATACCTCTGCAAAACTCATTCCAGTAATAAAAGCACCTTCCCAAATTTCTTCTTCAAACCAACACCCCTCTGCCAATACCTGTAAACCCCCTTCTCCTTCAGGCTCGCCTATCTTCGTGGCTTTAACAAACACTGGGATCATGCCCCCCGTTCCCACGGAAAATGCACGGTGACCCAATGCCAACAACTGAGCTCTTATAGAGCAACTGTGGCTGGTAATACTTATGATATCCTTCTTGTAGAAGAATATTTCCTGAAGTTCTTTGTTGATGCGGAGAGTATGTTCTACCACCGTTTCTCTATAGTCATCCTTGTAATAAATATCGTTTGCTTCCAATTCATCATTTCTAAACCCCAACTTGTGGTAGCTATCAAAAATCTCTGATCTGGGAGAGCGCTTGCTGCAAGTGTTGATTCCTATGGTTTCTCGAAGGTTTTCAGAGATGAATGGGTTAGCCTTCTCGAGGTCTACTAAGCCGTCCCAGGTGTGAATTAAAGTGTCAATTGAGCGTCTCAACGGCGAAACTACCCATTCTCCAGGCATGATCAAGTTGGGGTCTTTGGCAGAGTTGTTGAGTCTCTCAACTTCCCACTGGTCTCGAATTTTGCGTGCCTGACTGATGCCCAAGTCTGTCAATAGCGGATCAGGGCCCCACACGATTGTTCCATCGCCATTCTTCTTCAGCCAATTATTGCTCCAGGCTGCTTTTCCGTACTTTTCTCGGGCCAAGTCATGGTAACCATGGCCGGAGGAAGCGATGAACAAGATCTTATAGCGTTCGGTTTCGGGGGCGGTCTTGTTAAGATGTCTCAAGTTGCTCACCACTTCATCCCAGCCGCCTATAACCCCGAAGTGCTCGTCGAAGTACAGGAACAGCAGGTCGTCAGTGTCAGCAAGCGACTGTTTGAACTGATTTGGAACTACTTCAAACTTCCAGTAAGATCCCTTGGACTCTTCCCATTCGGCAAGCGCCTTTTTGCAGTCGGCAATGTCAGAGGCAGTGAAGGGCGAGTCGTCTGCTTCTACTTCAAGACTTGCCATTTTTAGTGATGAGGTAAGTTGGCGCATACCATCGTTAAATAAGCCGTCTGAAGGCTGAGTCATCGAGGACTTGTCCAAAGGGTGAGTCATTAACGGCTCTCCTGGTGCAATTGGCCAACTGAAAAGCAGGGGGTGTGAGATGGATAGGTTATTTCGCTGGACGCTCTAAGATATGCTTTAACAGTCTGAATCAGAAATAGTGGTGAAAGGAAAGTGGTATGAAAGTATGAGATTCGTGGCGAATTGCTGCAAAAAGGTTTGGTGGTCAGTAGTGCACGTGCCGGAGCATTTGGTCACGAGCCATGTGCCATTGCACTACAAGCGAGACTCGAAGATCTGAGCCTGTGATGTGAGTATGGCCTTCTTGTCAAGCTGTAGGGGAGAATTACGTATATCTAGGGCCTGAAATATACTTTTTTGACGTTTCAAGTAAGGCTCCATTCTGGTCTGGCAGTAGACATTTTTTTTCAACTATGGAGCTCTGGTTTTGTAATGTTTAATAAAGGGCAGAGAATATGGTGCTATCATTAAGCAGAAATACTCTAGCTGATTCCAATTGAGTAATTTTGAATTGCTTATTGTCTTTTTCTTTAGTACCTACAAAGATCCGCTCATCACACTTCATGCTTGAAAAATTAATATAGTAGGTCTGAAGTATGCTTAATTCGATTCCTGGAGTAAAGCTCATCAAGTACCCGAAAGAGCCCTTTATTGGCCATTATTTGCTCTTAATTGTCCCTTCATCGGTCCCTTGCAATTGGCTGTTTAGTAGTAATTGATCTCATTCCTGATTGATCTCATTCCTGATTGATCTCAGTCCTGTTAGCGCAGGTCAGCACTTGAGGCTGGAAATTATGTGCTTCTTTCGCACCTGGAGTGGCGCAACTTTTTTGCAGATTAATTGGTCCTCTATACCGTGGGAACACTTTCTACCAACACCTCAATTCACCCCAAGCAATGTCGAGCTACTGCAGCCGCCCAGCCAGTCCCCCCGTGTTCCCTCTCTCTCACCCACCCTGTCCCCTCATCCAGGGGCGTCGCCACTTTTTGCGCCTCTGGTATCACGTGACACACGCGTCGTTTAAAAATTTTTCCTATACGACCACTATAAAAGATTTGGCGGTACGAACTTTGCAGCATTTGAACCAATCGTCATAGACTCCTCCTCTACACCCATCCCCATACCCACAATGAGCAGACCCCAAAACATCGGTATCAAGGGTATCGAAGTGTATATCCCCAGCCAGGCCGTTAACCAAACCGAATTGGAAAAGTACGATGGCATTCCTGCTGGAAAGTACACCATCGGATTGGGCCAAACCAACATGGCATTTGTCAACGACCGTGAAGACATTTACTCGTTGTCGTTGACCGTTGTGTCCAAGTTGATCAAGAACTACAACATCGACGTCAACCAGATCGGTAGATTGGAAGTTGGTACCGAGACTTTGTTGGACAAGTCCAAGAGTGTTAAGTCTGTGTTGATGCAATTGTTCGGAGAGAACAACGACATCGAAGGTATCGACACCGTCAACGCCTGTTACGGTGGTACTTCTGCTGTTCTCAACTCGGTTAACTGGATCGAGTCTTCTGCCTGGGACGGCAGAGATGCTATTGTCGTTGCCGGTGACATCGCCATCTACGACAAGGGTGCTGCCAGACCCACTGGTGGGGTTGGTTCCGTGGCCCTCTTGATCGGACCAGACGCTCCTATCGTCTTCGACTCCACCAGAGGCTCTTTCATGGAGCACGCTTACGACTTCTACAAGCCTAACTTCACCAGTGAATACCCAGTCGTCGACGGTCACTTCTCCTTGAGTTGTTACGTCAAGGCTTTGGACCACTGTTACAAGAACTACTCCAAGAAGATCACCAAGTCCGCCGACAAGACTGTTGGTGTCTACGACCACTTCGACTACAACGCATTCCACGTCCCAACCTGTAAGTTGGTCACCAAGTCATACGCCAGATTGGTCTACAATGATTACAAGTCCAACCCTGCTGCCTTCAAGGACTTGATCGATGAAGAAACTGCCGCTTCCATCAACGCTTTGACTTACGAACAGTCCTTGGTTGACAAGAACGTGGAGAAGTTGTTCGTTGGCTTGGCCAAGGAACAAACCAAGGCTAGAGTCCAACCTGCCTTGCAAGTCCCAACCAACACCGGTAACATGTACACTGCCTCTGCTTGGGCCTCCCTCTCTTCCTTGTTATACTACGTTGGTTCTGAACAATTGCAAAACAAGAGAATCGGTATCTTTTCCTACGGTTCTGGTTTAGCCTCCACTTTGTTGTCGGTTGTTGTCAAGGGTGACATTTCCGCCATCACCAAGAACTTGGATTTCGACTTCAAGTTGGGTGAAGGTAGAAAGATCGAATCCCCAGAAAAGTACATCGAAGCAATTCAATTGAGAGAAAACGCTCACTTGAAGAACTCCTTCAAGCCAACTGGTTCCATCGACAACTTGACCAAGGGTACTTACTACTTGGTTGAAATTGATGACAAGTATAGAAGACAATACGCTGTCAAAGAATAAGTTCCCAGTTCACTTCTTCACGTATTAATACATATATTCCACCGTTTCCTAGCTCGTAGAGTGTAATAGCAGACAATATCAATAAGCTTACTAGAAGTAGAGAATCCTGATCTGGTAGTAATACGCGGGTCCTATTGTCATCGATCTCATCACATATTGAGTTGCTTGACCACCTAATACCACAAGAACATGTCTATCATGTATCAATTGTGCCCTGAAAATTCTTACGTGGCAAGAAGAAGATTAATACAGTCAATTGGTGGAGTCCGGCTGCAAGAGGGCGGAATTTCATCTGAGGCGAGACGAGAAAGCACGGCTGTCTCTGCCTTGAATTTCATCTGCTCGAGAGGACTTTCCAACCCAAAAAGGTAATGCTTCACATTCGATGCACAATGCACAATGAAGAGTTGTGCATCCCATGCACCTAGTCCAGAATCACATCAATGCTCACGGTTACATCAATCACGCATCTGTCAAGCCACTGTTGCCGGGTTGCCTTTTGTACCCCTCTGTTGCTGCGAACTCCGTGCCTCGCTTCCATGCAGAATGTACGACGACTTGCTCTGGGGTCAGCCCCTTCGCGATCCATTTTTCGCAATCGCCTTTGGGAATCTCCACAGCCCACTAGTCAATTGCTAACGTCCTACACTTCTATGGATCGGCATCTGTAGAACCCCCAGACTCCCAGTAACTCCCGCAGCCACCGAGACAAGGAAGTTGCCAGCCCTATTTTGGAGTCCCCACAGGTCATCTGTATAAATTTGTTCCTCGCCGCAACCAAATTGTGGTGTAGCAATCTACTGTAACACGGTGGGCACGTGAAGTTCCTCCTGGTTGCTATACCTATATAAGTAGCTGGGCATTGAAGGTGTTGTATTTTCCAACCTACTTTATCACATTCATCATGAAGCTCAATACTGTGTTAGGTATTGCAACTCTCGCAGCCATAGTTGCAGCCGACCCGGACTTCGGGTTGAGCAAATGGAACCTTAACGACCTCAAGCAGTTCTTGAGAGACCGCAAGATTGACGTCACTGACGACACCACTGGCGAGGAATTGACCCAGTTGGCCAACAAGGAGTTCCACAAATTGCAAAATTACGACAAGGTGGCCGTGGACGTCAACGACAAGAGCCAGCAGCACATTTTGCAGTTGGCCACGGATCCCCACGCCAGCATCAACACCGTGCTCCCCTACCACAACTGGGACTACCTCTTCCTGAGCCAGGAGTCGGGCCAGACTGTCAAGGACTGGATCTTCGATTCGTGGTCTTACAATAGCTTGAAGGACTTCCTCAAGAAAAACAAGATCAAGGTCAAGAAGAACACCTCCAAGCAAGACTTGGTGGACTTGGCCAAGCAGAAGTATGATGAAATTGCTAAGAAATACGAAGTCTCTGGCAACTACCCTGGCGACTGGCTCTACCAAAGCTGGAGCGTCGACGACCTCAAGTCGTGGTTGACCTCGTTTGACTTGTCTTTCGACGCCTCCGAAGCCAAGGAAAGCTTGTTGGAGAAAGTAAAGGAGAACAATTACGTAGCCTCGTTGACTAGCTCCGACTCCAAGAAGTCTTTGTTGGACTCGTTGAACTTGTTTGACAAACCCATTTTTGAGAGCTCGGGCCACATCAAAAAGGACTTTTACGAAACCTGGACCTACTCGCAGTTGAGAGAATGGCTCTACGTCCATGGAATCATCGACACCAAGCCTGGGGTCTATGTGGAAGAGCTTAACTCCGAAAAACTCAAGAAGTTGGTTCTGGCCAACGAAAAGTACTTGGTTCAAGACATAAAGTCTTGGTTGGACGAGGCCAAGAAGTCTGCCAACCCCTTACTTGAGAAGGCACCCAAGGCCGCCAAAAACTCCTTTGATAACATCATTAACAACACTTTCTTGGTCGGGATTGAAAACTGGACCAAGGAGAAATTGAGAGAGTTCCTCAAGGTCAGAGACGTCAAGGCCTCGCAGTTTTTGACCAAAAACCAGTTGATTGAATTGGTTAGAAAGCACAAGGACACCCCCGTTCTCCCCAAGGAAGCCTCCAACTCATACTCGTGGTTGGTGGACAACTTATCTACGGACAAGCTCAAGAACTGGTTGAGCGAACAGGGCCAGAATGTGGAAGGAACCAGAGAAGACTTGGTCAGCGGAATTTCCCAGTACCTTACCTCCACTTCTGCACCCAGAAACTCGTTCAAGTCACAAGTTAAGAACTATAAGCCCGACTTGGACCAGTACAAGCAATGGTTGAAGAAGAACAGAAAAGAAGCGGAATCTTTGTCTGAAGAAGCCATTTTGTCCACCTACAAGGTGGTCAACCAGTACTTTGACCTGGCCTCCGAAGTTCTTTCCAACAAGTACAAGGATGCCCAGTACTCGGTGGACGACGCCTTGAACGAAGTGCAAAAGGCCTCGTACGAGTACTCGTTGGAGTTCTTGAACGACTACGAGAAAAACAAGGACTCGGTGAACGAATACTTGGAAAGTTCCAAGATCGCTGCCTCTGACTTCTCTACCAACGTTGCCAACGCCTTGGTCAAGAAGTACCAGTACACCAAGGACCAAGCAGAAGACGCCTTGAGTACCTCCCAGGATCACTTCTTTGGCGTGGTGAACTACGTCCAGAACTTATTCCACAAGAACAAGCCTGTGGTTGAAAAGTCGGCTGCTGAGGCCTACCAGGCAGGTACCGATTATGCCAACCAGGCAGGTGAGGCTGGCTCCCAATACGCTTCCCAGGCCAGAGAACATGCCCAATCTGCCTACGAAGCTGGCTCCCAGTACGCTTCCCAGGCTGGTGACACTGCTCAAAGTGTGTACACTGAAGGTTCGAAGTACGCCTCTGAGGCCAGCAAGTCTGCCCAGAGTGCATACGACGAGTACAAGCCCGTCGTTGAATCTAAGGCTGAGGAAATCAACCTGGCTGTTAGCGAAAACTACGAAAGTGCCACTCCTGTGATCAAGAGCAAATACTCGGAAGCCAGTGACGCTGCTGAGAGCGCCTACAAGGAGTACAAGCCTGTGGTAGAAGACAACGCCCAGGCTGCCTACGAAGCTGCCAAGGAGTACTCCAATTTGGCAGGTGAAAAGGCCCAACAAGCCTATGCTGAGTCCAAGCCTGTGGCACAACTGGCTTGGAACTACCTTGTGGACACCTACAACAATGCAGACCTCAAGGCCTACTTACAATCTTTTGGGTTCGATCATGACTGGTTGTCGGGATTGAGCAGATACCAGTTGGTCAGATTGGCCAGAGAACAATCTCATTTGTTCTACGGTAACTCCAGAACCAAGTGGGACAAGTCCATTGTGGATGTGTTGAAGGACTCGGGGGATGACTTGCAAAAGTTCTTGAGAATCAAGCACGAGCCTACCTACTGGGAAAGAATAACCGGATTGTTTGCATAGGTATTCAGTAATAAATAGCGATTAGTAGAGATGTGTATGTGAAGTGAGGATGAAAAGAGAAAACTTGAATTTATTAACAAAAAGACTATTGGTGTAGATGTTAAGTATTGGTTCAATTTACCGTCTGGTTAATTGTGAAATTTTCTTCCGTTGAATACTGAGAGGGACCGAGGATACATTTGAATTGCCTCTATTGCCCGACGTTAAGACAACACTCTTTACTTCCCACGAAAAATTACACTTGAAGAAGCGGTGGACTCCTTGTTTCATTTTCCAGTCATATCAGGTATGAGAGCAATGTAGTTGTTTTCTGGGCTAGAGACGGCCAACCATCAAGAAGTAAGTGCTTAGTCTCTAACATTGTCTAAACAGCACGCTAGTGCACCCTAAGAGTCTATCTATCTAGTACCAAAATCGTGATCTATACCATTTTTTGAAAGAGAATTCACTACTATAAGGCTAGAAACAGCACGATAAAATTCGGAAAAAATCCTAGAAGTTTTGTCTTTACCCGCATTTAGTGGTTTCCACACTCTTGAAGTAGAATGCTGTATCATACACTAGCTGGTGGCCGTAACACCATCATCAGTTTCGCAGCCGCAGCCCTTTCTTCCCTTTTGGGAACTCGTCTCCCAGCATCGTAACATGCATGTTTTGATATTGCCAAAACAATTTTGCAGGTTGGTGCGACAAGCGACTAATTTGTAAACAACTCTCAAATATTAAACCCAGGCGTTTCTTCTAGTTATATTACATCAATAGAAAGAGGCAGAATGAGAGAAGTTATCAGTATTAATGGTACGTACCGGTGATTTGCAGAGGCCACCTCCACATTGCGTGGCCCAAAAGACCCGATTGATTCGGATAACTGGGGCGGTTGGCGCCTTCGTGTGATCGTTGACGAAGGGATGACATGATCTGGTCCGATTGGAGAGACCATGGCGCCAAAACAGCCCCAGATGGATTGATTGCGGTGTCTAGAAGTGCCCTACTAACGAATCTAGTCGGTCAAGCCGGTTGTCAAATTGGTAACGCGTGCTGGGAGTTATACTCGCAAGAGCACGGTATCAGACCCGACGGGTACCTCCAAGACGGCTTGGACAGACCAAAGGGTGGAGAAGAAGGATTCTCCACCTTCTTCAGCGAGACTGGTTCTGGTAAATACGTGCCAAGAGCCTTGTACGTGGATTTGGAGCCTAACGTGATTGATGAAGTCCGTACTGGTGCCTACAAGGACTTGTTCCACCCAGAACAATTAATTGCTGGTAAGGAAGATGCCGCCAACAACTATGCCAGAGGTCACTACACCGTCGGTAGAGAGATCTTGGACGATGTCTTGGACAGAGTCAGAAGAATGGCCGACCAGTGTGACGGTTTACAAGGTTTCTTATTCACCCACTCCTTGGGTGGTGGTACCGGTTCCGGTTTAGGTTCCTTGTTATTGGAACAATTGTCCATCGACTACGGTAAGAAGACCAAGTTGGAATTCGCCGTCTACCCAGCCCCACAAGTTTCCACCTCGGTTGTGGAACCTTACAATACCGTGTTAACCACTCACACCACCTTGGAACACGCTGACTGTACCTTCATGGTTGATAACGAAGCTATTTACGATATGTGTCGCCGTAACTTGGACATCGCCAGACCAAACTTCGACTCCTTGAACAGTTTGATCGCACAAGTTGTTTCCTCTGTCACTGCTTCCTTAAGATTCGATGGTTCTTTGAACGTCGATTTAAATGAATTCCAAACTAACTTGGTCCCATACCCAAGAATCCATTTCCCATTGGTTTCTTATGCTCCAGTTTTCTCCAAGGCCAGAGCCAACCACGAAGCTAACTCCGTTGCTGAAATCACCGCCTCCTGTTTCGAGCCAGGTAACCAAATGGTCAAGTGTGACCCAAGAGTTGGTAAGTACATGGCCACTTGTTTGTTATACCGTGGTGATGTTGTTACCAGAGATGTTCAGAACTCTGTCGCCCACGTCAAGGCCAAGAAGACCGTTCAACTTGTTGACTGGTGTCCTACTGGTTTCAAGATCGGTATCTGCTACCAACCACCTACTGCTATCCAAGGTTCTGAGTTGGCGTCCGCCAAGAGAGCCGTGTGTATGTTGTCCAACACAACCGCCATCGCTGAAGCCTGGAGAAGAATCGACAGAAAGTTCGACTTGATGTACTCCAAGAGAGCCTTCGTCCACTGGTACGTCGGAGAAGGTATGGAAGAGGGTGAGTTTACTGAAGCCAGAGAAGACTTGGCCGCTTTGGAGAGAGATTACATTGAGGTTGGTACCGACTCTTTCCCTGAAGAAGAAGAAGAATATTAGTTTGTGTAGCTCGTTTATAGTTCGTTAATACCCTTTGTTAATTAGTTGAAATTAGTAAGCTCCACGGCCCTCCCGGCTTCCCGGACTCCAGCGATGGCTTGGAGGTGGGCGTGCGCCCACCGCACACCGCATGGAACTTTTCACCAGGCTGGTCCTGAATGTTTGTAGTTAGCTACAACATGGAGGACAAACGTGAACTCTTCAAGCAGCCATTGCACTCGATCTACATCCCCTGCGGGCTCATTATTGCAGGCACCCTTCTTTTCGGGCTCGAGTACTTGCCTTACAGTTTGACGTTCATCGTTGGAGTGTGCTCGTTTAAGTACTACGAGGCCTACCAAAGAAGGTCGCTGATCCACAAGACGCAATGGAGGGACCTTGAGTTGATAGACAAGACGCTTATCAACAGAAACACCCTGATTTTCCGGTTCAAGTTGAACCGCGAGGATGAGGTGTTGGACATTCCCACTGGCCACCATGTTGCATGTTGTTTCACCATCAACGGGAAGGACGAGATCCGGTTCTACTCGCCCATCCTGAACCAGTTCGACGCAGGCTTCTTTGACATTTTGGTCAAGCACTACGAGAACGGTGTTGTGTCCAGAAAGTTGGCCGAGTTGAGGGAGGGCCAGACCGTCAAGTTCCGCGGTCCCTTCGGTACGTTGGACTACGTGCCCAACATGGCCAAGAAGCTCGCGTTGGTGGCTGGTGGCTCGGGTATCACCCCCATCTTGCAAGTCATCACCGACATCATCACCAACCCAGAAGACAACACTTCCATCTCGTTGATCTTCGCTAACGAGTCCGAGAAGGACATCTTGTTGAAGAGCGAGATTGACGAGATTGCCAAGAAGTACCCAGACTTCGAGGTCAACTACACCGTCACCAACGCCCCCGAAAACTGGACGGGTAGCACCGGGTACGTCACCAAGGAAATGATGCAAAAGTACTTGCCTGAAGCGTCGCCAGAAAACCGCATGTTCATCTGTGGACCTCCTGGTTTGAAGAGCTTGGCCGTGGGCCTCTCTGAAGAGCTTGGCTGGGAGAAGGACAATGTGTTCTGCTTCTAGTGCCAGGATGAATGGTCATGTGGATGATCACGTGATTAGTTGGGCTCGCCTGACACAAGAAGTTAGCTTCGGAAAATAATAGACATTAGTATTACGCGAATCAGCACCCCAGACTGGAAAAGGGAATGTAAGGAGGAAATGGAATGTAGTCGTTGTAGCTCGGATTTCGAAGTGATGATGCGGGACGTGAGGCTATTTTTAGCTGTTTCTGGAAATTTCATGACGGTGTATATTCATTAACATTACTGTATGGTGAATTTGGTGAAGCAGTATCGTGAATATTCATTGTTATGTTGTGCTTTAGCTGAACCAGTAACGAGCTTCCGGTCCCCTTCTTACTAATGTGGTGACCCACCTCCTACGCTTCTTACTAATTATACCTGAACATCATTCTTTACCAAATGTCACCAACACCTTCTGTCCCGATCCGCTTTAACGCCGTCGCCATCCAGAGCAGCCAAAAACCGCTGCACCGTTACAGTAAGCTGGCCAGTTGAAGAGTCCGCTTACTGCTCAAAATGGAGCCGGGTTTAACAATCAGATCCTCCGTCTGGGGGTGTGTTGCACTGAGCCAGATTATCTCCGTTAAACCCGCAGCGGCCAGTTTTCCCACACCAAGTGTCTTTTTCTCTCACTCGAAGCTTCCGCTCCCACTCGTATTATAGTCTGTCATATCCGCGCGGGTCGTGCTTAAGGTTAGTTCCGCGATCGCCCGCATCCGTCACTAAAGTTAATTGTGGCCGGTGACAGCTGGTCTGTGTGCAGGTGGCTGGAACACTTAAGACAGATCCCGAGGCAGAAACTATATAAACTGGACCTTCGACAGCAGCATATTCCTTTTCATATCATCATCCACACACACCTACAAAGCTTCCAATCCAACCACAATGTCTGCTCTCCCACTCACAGGAAAATTCGGCTACGGAACCATGTCTTTGACATGGACCCACACCCCAGCACCAATTGAACAAGCAGTTGAGTCCATGAACTATGTCACCTCCCACCCTGAATTTGGCGTCAAGCTCCTTAACGGTGGTGCTTTCTATGGTAAAGACTACATTAACTTAAAGTACATCAAGGCCTTCGTTGACACCTTGGAGCCTGAGGCTGCCAGAGAGTTGACCGTCTGTATCAAGGGTGCTGTCGACCTCCAGACCATCTTGCCTATCGGTACCAAAGAATCCGTTGACAAGTCCATCAGCGACATCACCTCGTACTTCTCCAGCGACCCTTCCAAGAGACCAAAGATCTTGTTCGAAATCGCTAGAGTCGATCCAAACGTGCCCTACGAGGAAACCGTTTCCTACATCTACGAACACGTCAAGTCCGGCAAGATCGATGGAATTTCGCTTTCCGAAGTCGGTCCTGCCTCTATCGCCAAGGCCACTGCTGTTGCTCCTATCTCGTGTGTTGAGATGGAATTCTCCATCTTGTGTCAGGACCTCATTGACAACGGAGTCTTGGACGAGTTGAAGAAGCAAAACATTCCTATCGTTGCCTACTCTCCCCTTTGCAGAGGCTACTTGACCGACTACTGTGCTGAAAACCCAGAAGAGTTCTTCAACAACATCAAGCCTGGTGACATCAGAATGATCATCGACAAGTTCTCCAAGGAAAACTTCCCCAACAACCATGCCGTGGTCAAGAAGTTGTACGACTACGCCCATGAAGTCAAGGGAATGACCCTTGAATCGTTCTCGTTATCGTGGATCCAGACCATCTCCGAAAAGAAGAACTACAAGGGCGTGGACTTTGTCAAGATCTTGCCAATTCCAAGTGGTTCTACCAAGGAAAAGATCGAAAAGAACTTGGGCAGTATTGTCCAATTGACTGACGATGACTTGGAGGCAGTCGACAAAATTCTCAAGGAGCAACCAGTCACTGGTATGAGATACAACGCTCACCACGCCAAGTACGAGTTTGCTTAAGTATATAGAATCTGGAATTATATAGGGAATAATATTGAAATGAAAATTCTGTAGACAAATCTGATATTCATCAGGAATAATATGCTGAAGAGTCTGTAGCACAGCCGATCTGAAGCAACGGCTGCTAATTGATCCTATGGCGAATAAAAAATTCCTGCAGTCTGAACGATCTTAAATATTTTCAAGGTCATCCACTGATGATGAAGATATCCCAAGATTATCGCACAGAAAGGGCCAGTGTGGATAGTAATACCTGATATAAGATGCAAGTGCCTCACAATACTTACGACAACGAATTCGCACCATGCACATTTTCCAGCCCATGCTGCAATATATCAAGACGCTCACCTCCCTGCACCATGCGCACCTAACCTCGTAAAGTTGTTCGCAAGCATCTTGCATAAGACTCGCAGGAACACCATATGGGGTACATGCTCCACCATCTCACCGCTTAGCTCACAATCCTACCACGCTGCCACCTTTGAGCTTCCTCCAAACTCTGCCGTAACGTTCTCGTGTCCCTGTCTGCAGCACCACCGGACCAGGCTCGTACTTTGCTATTGTCACGCGTGCTGGCTATTGTTCTCACTGGTCGCGTTTTCTCAGCAATTCCATGAACAACTCAACACTTATTCTCCATTTTTCAGTTGACTCGAGATTGATTCGCTTTTGCACTAGACTTCTCTACCATGAAGTTGTACCAGGTTCTTCTCGCTGCCTTTCAATTGGCATGGGTGTTCGCACTCAGAGACTTCCAGCTTACCAGAGAGCACAATGGAGTGTGTCTTAAGGTGGACTCCGCAGGTGACAACACCTCCATCACCTTGGACTTCACAGCCACCGACAAGTACCACCGCACAGAAATCCCTGTGATTGTTTTCAACTACTTGGACCTTGCCAAGGTCAAGAATGTGCCTAACTTCGTGGAATTCCTCAACGAGACCTACTCCAACAAGGAAGAAAACTCGTCCATTGTGGCCTACGGCGAGCGCATCCAGTTCAACTTAATCCCCAGCGAGGGCGAGGAAGAATTGCCAAAATCGTTTGCGTTTGCTCCTGTTGCTGTTTTCGGTGAGGCCGACGATCTCCAATTCGAACCAGAACACGACGACGTTCCTCCTCCCTTCTTGACCTACCCCGTCCCAGAGGCTGGTGTCTACTGTATCTACATACCAAGGTACCTCTGGCAGAACGACGACGGAGACTTGAACCTTTTCCCCCGTCCGTTTGAAGCAGTTGTTTCCGTCAACAACGAGCCACTTCCATACGGCGTTGAGGAGGACATTTTCCTCAACTCAAAGCTTTTCGGGGGATTGGGTATCGTCACCTTGTTGTTGTACTTCTTCCACAACGGCTCCGAGACTCCCATTGTCCCCAAGTTGATCTGGAGTGTTTTTGCACTCTACTTCGTCTACTACGGAGGTTTGTTCTTCTTGGACGTGGTGGTCTTGTTCGGAGCTCCAACAGGCTTCTTGTTGCCATTGATTGAGAGTTATACCAGATTGGAAGGACTTGTTCTAGACAACTACTTGAGATTGGTGGTATTTTCCGTTTATATTGGCCATGGTGTTATTTACGACTATACCCTCAACTTGGGAGGAATTCACTCCAGATTCACGGCACCAAAATGGACCTTCAGAATCGTGGCCTTTTTGGTGATTTCTTACATGGCCACACTCGCCATGAACCACATCATGGTCCACAAGTTCAACCCTGAGGTCGTCGCTGTCAATATCAACAAGGTCAGCTTTGAAGTGCTCTCCAGATCCATCATCTTCAAGTCATCTTACCACCATGAAGTGGTCTCCAAGGCCCTCAGATCCAAAATCGATTTGATCCGGGGAATTTCCCTCACCAACGTGGGGATTTCTTTGGCTTCTTTCATTTTCTCGTTCCACAAGAGTATTTCCATCATTAGGGAAATCGGACGCAACCTCAAGAAAGAAGATTCCACCTTCTTGACCCACGACAAGAGAAGGGACGATAAGTCCAAGTTGTCGAGACCTCTCAAGAGATCGTTGGTGCTCCACTTGTTCATCTACAAGATCTTGGTCATGCCCACCGTGCTCAATTTGTTCCTTCAGCCTGTTGACTTCTTTGGCCATTTCGACATTGCTGAATGTTTGGACCGTATTCACCCCATCATCAGCAAGGCCACCATCATCAAGCGTACCATCATTCTCTCTGAGCTTGTTGTCTTGTGGTTGATTTGGGGCTATGGTGAAAACGGATTGAAGGAATCAGACATTATTGAAGAAGCGGAAACTGAGGAAGTCACTGTTGATACCAAGGTCTCTGAAGCAGTCGAAGAGGTGGAGGAAGTAGAGCTTCTCGAAGAAAACAAGGGCATAGAGTCTAAGGACTAAATGTCCCAATTATTGGTTATTACCAAGAGTAATTAATTAGTAAGATCACTTACACCACGCAAGTAAGTAGAAAATAGTTTCTGGAAATATATTGAATAAAGAAAAAATGACTTTCAGTAAAATGTATAATAGTATTTAACGATTTTTGACAAAATTTCAAAAAACTATGTAACAATTTTTTCCTTCTCTTTACAACTATTCGGAGAAAACAGATTTAACGAGGGGCTATTAACCTTATATTTGGAATAAAGATATGATTATTTTCTTTGCAGGCCGTACGAAGAGAGTCTTTTCTTTTCATGCAGAAATGGAGAAACCTTCACTGGGGGATAAAAGCAGGACCACTTCTTGCCAGTTCATTTAGAGAGAAGATTATACTATATACATCCGATTAGTAAAAAGAAATTGAAGAATATCAGAATATAGGTGCAGAATGATACCTGAGACAAAATTTGACAGTTCACGAAAGTTCAGGTATGGCAGCTGCAGTTGATATTAAATAGAGTAAAGCAAGAAATTCATCGAATCTCAACAATTATTTACAAAACAAGGCGTGCAAATGATCAGCCTTCTTCTTACTAATAGGATCTTTATCACACTCTACTCAGGAAATGTCCACCGGCCCATATGTTAGTTAAATTGTGCCGATCCCCTCGTTTTATACTCAGAAATTTAGAAACTTGCTAACTTTCAACACATACACTTATTTTTGCAAATAAAAAGCTTTAAATACTCTGAAACAAACCTATTTTATACCACATAACTTTTGATACCTGTAAGTGCTCCTAAAGGGTGATTTTGGCCATTTTTCCAATATAAATTGATGAGTATCTTAGTCCAAGCACATTTTTTCCTCATCAAATGGCTCTTTGGCCGAGCGGTTAAGGCGGTAGACTCAAGTTCTACTATCGTAAAGATGCACGCGTTCGAATCGCGTAGGAGTCATTATTTTTTGCCCTGTAATAGCCCTACTAGAACCAAGCCCCCATGCCCCACAACCATTACCTCCCAGTTTTACACTAGTTTCACATCAGTTTCACCAGTTGAAACCCCGGCCACAAAGGCTGCACCCCCGCGCCGCAGGAACACATGACGCTCAGCGCACAACACATTGACACCCCGACCCAGCACCCATCTAATAATAGCTGGGCATCTGACATCACCCAGATCACCAGCCGCACAGCCGATGCTGGACGCTTCCCCAGCAACTATTTATAGCGCTGGCCGGAGATCGCCATGACCAGGCTAAGCCCGTGGATCACATCGACACCGGCACGGGACATCCCCGTGTCGCAACGGTGCAGTCGCTGCTCGTGCTGGTGTGCCTTGTCGCAACCCATTTAAACGCTCCCCTGGCCGTCTAATCCAAATACGCGACAGAAAATCGTTTCCTCCCTGCACTGCAGCTTTCCTCTGCAACCAACGCTAAAACCAACGCTGTTACCAGGCTTCCCCCATTGACAGCTTCCCGCCATGTCGTACCGTCCGTACCACCCCTCGCACTCGGACGAGTCCATCAATGAGTATTTGAACCCCCACCAGCCGGGCCAACACGCGGGTGCCTACAACTACCACCACAACAACAGTTCGTCGTCAATCAACTTCCAGCACCCCGAGCCAGCGTATGCCCACCACACGGGACCCGATCGCTCGGAGTACGATGCCGCGCTGGGCTACTACAACCACCAGAGCCTCGAGCGTCCCTCCAACATCTTCAACACCCTGCACATCCAGCCGCCAAACTTGTCGCCCATCAACACCCACAACGACCCGTTCGGCGACACCCACACCGAGCGGTACGAGATGGGCGAGATGCCGTCCAACTTCCACCACCACACGTTCGTGCCCCACGTCTACGACGACGAGGACGACGAGCGGGAGTTCGACCAGAAGATCCAGTACAACCAGTTCGAGGGTGACCACTACGACTTGCAGACTGTGCATGTGCCCGAGACGCCGCCCACGCCGCCAGCGGCGCCTGAGTTTGAGACCCCGTTCGGCGACGACGGCGAGTTTGCAGAGCCTCCCCCTGAGGAGCCAGTACGTGAAAAGCCCCAGATCGGGATTGCCTCGGGGTTGAATGGACACTTGGTGTTGGACTGTCCCGTGGCCACCGAGTTGTTGACCAAGTTCCCCGACTACAACCCCAACCAGAAGGACGGCGGCTTGTCGCGTGAGTTCGCGTACATGCGGTACACTGCAGTGACCTGCGGCCCGTCAAACTTCTACCGCGACGGCTACATCTTGCGTCCTATTCATTACCCCATGCCCCGCCAGACCGAGTTGATGATCGTCATCACCATGTACAACGAGGACGACATCTTGTTGGCGCGCACCTTGAAGGGGGTGTTCAAGAACATCAAGCACTTGGAATCGCGCACCAAGCTGTCCACCTGGGGCAAGGACTCCTGGAAAAAGGTGGTGGTGTGCATCGTCAGTGACGGGCGTTCCAAGATCAACGAGCGCGCACAGGCGCTTTTGGCAGGCTTGGGGGTGTACCAGGAAGGGTTGGCCAAGAGTAGAGTCGACGACAAGAAGGTCCAGGCCCACATCTACGAGTACACCGCGCGTGTGGGTATTTCCAGTGTCGAGGACACCGTCAAGTTGACCACCGAGAAGATCGTGCCTGTGCAGTTGTTGTTCTGCTTGAAGGAGAACAACGCCAAGAAGATCAACTCCCACAGATGGTGTTTCCAGGCGTTGGGCCAGGTGTTGGACCCCAAGATCGTCATCTTGTTGGACGCAGGAACCCAGCCATCTGGTAAGGCGTTGTACCACTTGTGGAAGGAGTTCGACAGAGACGCCCAGGTGGCGGGTGCATGTGGCGAGATCAAGGCCTCGTTGTCGAAGAGACAGATCCTCACCAACCCCATTGTGTACGGCCAGAACTTCGAGTACAAGATCTCCAACATCTTGGACAAGCCCACCGAGTCGGTGTTCGGGTTCATTTCGGTGTTGCCAGGTGCGTTTTCCGCCTACAGGTACGTCGCACTCCAGAACGACGTCAACGGCAAGGGACCCTTGGAGAAGTACTTCAAAGGTGAGTTCTTGCACGGCTCCGGGGAGCTCGACCCCAACGACGACGAGTACGAGTTGAAGAAATTTGAAATGAGAGAAGAGGCAGGTATTTTCACCTCCAACATGTACTTGGCCGAGGACAGAATTCTCTGCTACGAGTTAGTGGCCAAACGTGGATGTGCGTGGTTGTTGCGCTACTGCAAGGCTGCGCTGGCCGAAACCGACGTGCCCGAGAGCTTGTCGGAATTCATCTTGCAAAGAAGAAGATGGTTGAACGGTTCGTTTTTCGCAGCCATCTACTCGTTGGTCAAATTCCCCAAGCTCTGGCACTCGTCGCACTCGTTCGGAAGAAAGCTCTTCCTCCACATCGAGTTCTTCTACCAGTTCTTGAATCTTGTGGTCTCGTGGTTTTCCATCAGCTCCTACTTCTTGGTGTTCAGAATTTTGACCACCTCGCTTGCCGACCCCGATCTTGGTTTTGCCCCTGGTAATGTGTTGTCAGCCATTTTCTTATGGTTATATTTGGCCTCCATCGTCACCACTTTCGTGTTGAGTTTCGGAAACAAACCCAAGGGTACCGAGCGATTTTACATCGTCATCGTGGTTTTCTTTGCAATATTGATGGCTTACATGGTGTTTGCGGCCATTTTCATGGCCGTCCATTCGATCCAGGAGATTTACAAAAATCACACCAAGATTACAGTCGGTTTGTTCTTTGCAAACGCAGAATTCAGAGATTTGGTGGTGGCAACTTCATCCACCTATGCATTGTACTTTTTGGCATCCTTCCTCTACTTCGAACCATGGCACATGTTCACCTCCTTCGTGCAGTACATTTTGTTATCTCCATCCTACATCAACGTTTTGAACATCTATGCGTTCTGTAATATTGATGATGTTTCGTGGGGTACCAAGGGTGATACTGGAGCAAAGGATTTGGGTGCAGCTAAGGTCAGAGAAGATGGTACTTTCGATGTGAAAATCCCCATCTCCCAGGAAGAAATCAACCAATCTTATTTGGATCAATTGGAAAAAATCAAAAATCCTGTTCCAGAGGACACTTCTCCTCATGTCCAAAGTAATGAGGATTATTATGCATTTGTGAGATCCATGACCGTTTTGGTTTGGATCACATCCAATTTCATTGTTATTGCTTTGGTGTTGTTGACTGGTGGTTTGGACCAATTTGTTAAGCAGGCTGATGAGTCCCGAGTCCAGCAACAAAGATCTATTGTATTTTTGACGGTGATTTTATGGATGGTGGCATTCATGGCATTGTTCAGATTTGTGGGTTGCATCTTGTATTTGATCCAAAGGTTTGGCAGAAGCTTCAGGGGATCTGATCACTCAACTGCCCCATTGAAGCGGTGAGATACGAAATATTTACTTTTCAAATAACACATTCAATTATCTAATTGTAGCCATATATTGTAATCCTTTAATCGTAAATAAAAACGTAACTAATATCTAGTCGATCCTATACCAAGTTCCAGAAGTCGGTAAGATTAGCACCTGCGCCATTGAATGCCAAGACGTTAGGTGATTGACCATCGACCAAATTTTGAATGACACCCTTGGTACCATACTTGATCAACTTGCGCTTCAAGTCTGCTGGCTTGAGGACCTTTCCATTGGAGAATTCCGAGTCAATGCCTGGGTATAAGGACAAGTAATAAGACAATAAACCGGCAATGTGTGGGGAGGCCATGGAGGTACCAGACATCTTAGCAGATGGAGACCAGATAAAGGTAGATTCAATATCTTCACCTGGGGCAAAGATGTCCACACAACTACCCCAGTTTGAGAAGGAGGCCTTCTGGTCATCTACGTTAGATGCACCGACGGTGATTGGTCCTGAAGCTCTAGCTGGAGAACTTTGACAAGCGTCAGCGTCTTCATTACCTGCAGCAACGGCCACATGAATATCGGCAGCTACGGCAGCGTTGGCAGCCAAATCCAAAGCTTCGGATGCACCACCACCAATAGACATGTTGATTGTAGAGCCCTTGAATCCCTTGGTCTTAGCCTGGACTTTAGTCTTGTGGTCATTCACAACAAATTCAAGCCCCTTGATGATATCGGAGGTCGAACCAGTACCGAAGAGGTTCATCACTCCAACAGCCACAAGGTCCACGTTTTTGGCGATACCGTAAGTCTTGGATCCGATCACACCAGCACAGTGGGTACCGTGGCCATGGCCGTCTACCTTCAAATGGGGAAGGGCGACAGCAGAACCCCATGAGGCTCTGCCTTCAAAGTCTTCGTGTTCCACTTTGATACCAGTGTCAACAACGTAAGCAGTGACACCCTTACCACCCTCGGAGTCGAATATGTAGTCAGTAGCAGGTGCGGTGTTCTCACGGTGACTGATTCTGGAGAGACCCCATGGGGCATCCTTCTGGATTTCCAATTCATTGACTGTGAAAACGGCGTCGTGCTCAACAAACTTCACGCGGGGGTCCTTTTGGATGGCATTGACCATTTCCGAGGTAAAATAACCAGCATAACCCTTGAGGGTATCCAAGTTGAAGAAGTTCAACAAGTTACCACCGGCGGATGCGGTAGAGATGGTGTCTTGATGGAAAGTCTTAATCCAGTTGTGGTGGCTGTCGATGTCCTCTTGGGCAAGGTCATCGTGCAACACCACGATGTACTGGCCAGGGATGATATCCTTGACAGCCTTGAACAAGGGGGCAAAATAGGAGCCATCACTGGAGGCCACGTTTGAGGCTTCATTGGCGTCGTAGAGGAAAGGCTCCTGGCCACCAAAGGCAACCTGGTCCTTACCTAAACTTTGTTCTTGCAAGCGTTCCTTGACAGTGGCAACCTGGTGGGCCATCAGCTCCTTGACCCCATCGAGCTTGTTCTCCAAGAGTCTGCCAAATTCGGCCAACGAATCCACTTCGGGAATAACCAACCCTTGGACACCGACGAGAGAGACTGCAACAGCAGCGAGAAGTTTCTGTGATAACATATTAGCACTGAGTGGGTAGTAGTTATCTATGGCTACTAGTTATATCTTTTGTAGGAGAAAAGGGGTGTGACTGGTGCGAGTGCTGATAAGGAGCCACACGACAATTGCGGTGGCTGGGGGGCACGCATAATAAGTGGTAGCGGGGGGGCGGTGGTAAATCCCGTGGTAGTCCCGTGGTAGTCCCGTGGTGAATCCCGTGGTAAATCCCATGGTAAATCTCGTGGTAGATTAGCAAGAGTGGTGGTAGGGGACCGGTGCGGTTCTGGGTGGTGGGAGGTCATGCTTTGCCAGAGATTGGCGAGGGCTGGCGGAAATTACGATTAGGGCCAGAAGGATTAGGGCCAGAAGGATCAGGACCAGAGGCGGTTCCTACAGTAGAAGCCTCCAACAGTAGAAGGCTCATACAGTAGAAAGCTCGCTCTCTAGACCGCCGGTATTTCGTGGTGTCTTCGGGTGCTCTCGCTGCCATTGGTTGCAAACACCGACCAGACACCACCGCCATTTCCACCATACCACCTGGCCTGACCACCTCCCTGGACCATTCACAGCGGAGCCCGCACGGTGGTCTTGGCAGTCCAGCAACCTCGCCAGAAGGGCCGGAGTCCTCGCTAATGGGTACCGGCAAACCCCACCCCAGCGGCTATTCACGGCTAGCACCAGGGTCGTGGCGATACTGCCACTTTCTCCCTAGACCACAACTCCGTGCCGTGCCTAGTTAACGCCACTAGTGTCCCTGTGACTCAAACTACCACAAGTGTGCCTCAATCTAAGACAATTTGCTCCACCTTCCTTCTAGTGAGTGTCTGATTATAGCATATAGCCACTGCAATATCCCCCGAGACTCCACCGTTCTGTGTCTGTCTGCCTGGCGCGCGCTAACCCACAACCGATTAGTGCAAAAGTCGTGGGCGCGACACAAGATGATAAGCTAAGCCTAACGACTTTCCACGCTACTGCCCACCCATCAACTAGCCGGAACGCCTTCGTCTACTCATCCATCACTCTAGACACACCACGCACATCTTCCCACCGCCCGTATCCTGTCACCCCATTTGCCACAGATGTCAAACTCCTCCAGAAAGAAGCTCCTCTTGATGGGCCGGTCTGGCTCGGGCAAGTCATCCATGAGATCGATTATCTTCTCCAACTACTCGGCATTCGACACCAGAAGACTCGGGGCCACCATAGACGTGGAACACTCCCACTTGCGGTTCTTGGGCAACATGACTCTCAATCTCTGGGACTGTGGTGGCCAAGACGTGTTCATGGATAACTACTTTTCCAACCAAAAGGACCACATCTTCAAGATGGTACAGGTACTCATCCACGTCTTTGACGTCGAATCCAAATCCATCAATAAGGACATTGAAATCTTCGTGAAAGCTTTGACAAACCTCCAAAAATACAGTCCGGGAGCCAAGATCTTCGTGTTGCTCCACAAGATGGACTTGGTGCAGATCGACAAACGGGAAGAATTGTTCAACATCATGATGGAGAAGTTGCAGAACATCTCCAACCCATATCAGTTCAAGGTGGTGGGGTTCCCCACCTCCATCTGGGACGAGAGTTTATACAAGGCATGGTCCCAGATCGTGTGTTCGTTGATTCCCAACATGAACTTGTTCAACAGTAATCTTATCAAGTTCAACCAGATTCTCGATGCAGAGGAGATCATTCTCTTTGAAAAAACTACGTTTTTAGTGATATCATCCACCACCTCCATCGAAAACGAACTAAACAAAGACCTGCAGCCCGAGTTGGATCCCAAGCGGTTTGAGAAGATCTCTTCAATCATCAAGACGTACAAGCAGTCAATATCGAAGCTCCGGACCAACTTCAGTAACTTGATCATCAGAGGAAGCAACGGCAGTCATTTCTACATCGATATTCTCACTGACAACATGTTCATCATGTTGATTTTGAAGGACAAGGATAACCACATAAGTAGCACCGTGCAGCACGAGGAGTTGCTCATTTTGGAGAACATCAAAGCAGCACGGAAGTGGTTCGAGAAGATAGAGAACGGGAACGTGTAGGAGCACGTCCAGGGAGCTATCTGGGGAGATAATAGAAATAATAAATTTACAGAAAGTCCAGCCAGGCATATGCTAGACAACGCCAGCCTCGGAGACCACTTCAAAACAATGAACGCGTCATACACTCTACCAGCCCACGCCCCTGTCTATATAGCATAGAATAGACACTTGGTTCTCACACGAGACTAGAGTAGATCAGTAATTCCAGGTGAGACTAGAATAATAGAACCTATTCAGCACTTCCAAGTCCTTGTGTTAAATCGATGTATTAAAGGGTTGTTTAGCTCCCGGTAGATACATATATCCCTCCTTTCACCTACAAAGTGTGTTCGCTTGACCTTGTTTGATGTACAATCCTAATTCTGTCAATTCTATTGTTTCGAAGGTAAAAAATCGGAACGGCTGTGATTTGAAGTAGGACCTTACGGTTCCCGGGTCTCACAATGAGGTTGTTATTGATACCAATTTTTTTGAATTTAGAATAGATAACAGCAGTTTCACTGCTCGAGCAAAGACTTCCCAAGTTCAACACAGATAAAATTATTGTAGAAAATACGGTGTGGGAAAACACTGGATGCTTAGACTATATACGCTAATGGAGCATGATTTGTTTTACGATCAACTCACGTAATATTATTCTGAAGTACGAGTTACTGAATACCTCTCACCCAATCATGGGAGTTAGTAGAGACGCACATTTTACTTGCAATTACTGTATGGTCTCCCGCTTGATATTTGCCTGGCAATCCCCCACACTCACGCGACCGCGCCCCCCACCATTTCACTCTCAACAATGCTGCCCCTGAATTGACACAATAGTGCCAGTTTTTGGCGGCACCTTCCAGAGATCGCTGGATCGCCCGGCTCGCCAGACGCCGTCTTGGACTGGCGACGATTTGCCTCCCGGTGGCGGCGTGGCATCTGCCAATCCACGCGTACGTTTCCTGCCAGTGCCAGCCGTGTGTACATCAACGTCTGGCCCAACAAACATCCCTACCACAATACTGACAGCCGCAGTGACGGGTGAAGTGCATGTGCCCATGCAGCAAGCCGCCTAAAGGCCCGGCAATTTGACCCAGGCGTTGCTCTCGGGTGTCCGTCTGATGCCTCGCCAATCATGTCCACAGAACGGCAGGCGCACGCAAATCGCGATAGTGCAGCACACGTGATCCTCGTTTACGTGAAAATTAGTTGGGAACGACACTGGTACTATACAGCCTTCTTCTTCTTCACTTCTACCAGGCACTTTGACCACCATGTCGTCCAAAGTCATCCAATTGCTCACACACCCTGGCGAGATCTCCGACGTAATCCGTTTGTTATACTTCAGAAAGTCGTTGCACCCCAGAAATGCCGCCAAAGAGGCCCCCAGCTTGAGAAGATGTTATCAATTGTTGAAATTGACCTCCAGGTCGTTCTGTGCCGTGATCATGGAGTTGAACCCCGAGTTGAGAAACGTCATCATGTTGTTCTACTTGGTGTTGCGGGCATTGGACACCATCGAAGACGATATGACCATTGATCCAGCGGTTAAGGTCCCTTTGCTTCGCGACTTCGACTCCAAGTTGGAGTCCAAGGATTGGACTTTCAACGGTAACGGGCCCAACGAGAAGGACAGAGCCGTGTTGGTCGAGTTCGACGTCATTTTGACCGAGTACCACAAGTTGAAACCACACTACAAGGCCATCATCAAGGACATAACGAACAAAATGGGCAACGGTATGGCCGACTACATCTTGGACGAGAACTTCAACCTCAGTGGAGTGCAGACTGTCAAGGACTTTGACTTGTACTGTCACTACGTCGCAGGCTTGGTGGGTGAAGGATTGACCAAGTTCCTTGTGGATGCCGATTTCGCCGACAAGACCGTTACCGAGGACGACTTCAGAAGATCCGAATCCATGGGCTTGTTCTTGCAAAAGACCAATATTATCAGAGACTACCACGAGGACTTGGAGGACGGACGTTCGTTCTGGCCCAAGGAAATCTGGTCTAAGTACACCGACTCGTTACCTTCATTCCACAAGGACACATCAGCGGAATCCGAGTTCCAAGGCTTGAGTTGCATCAACGAATTGGTGTTGAACTCGCTTGGACACGTCAAGGACGTGTTGGAGTATTTGTCGTTGGTCAACGACCCATCGTCGTTCAACTTCTGTGCCATTCCCCAGGTCATGGCTATTGCCACCTTGGCACTCGTCTACAACAACCCCAAAGTCTTGCATGGAAACGTCAAGTTGAGAAAGGGGACGACCTGCTCGTTGATCTTGGAAAGCAGAACCTTCCCAGGTGTGGTCAACATCTTCTTGAGATACATCAAAGAAATCAACCACAAGTCCTCGGTTAAGGACCCCAACTACTTGAAGATTGGTATCAAGTGCTCGGAAATCGTCCAGGTCTGCCAGACCATGTTCCCCACCCCTCTCCCCAACGGGGAGCCCAGACCCAAGAAGGCCATCAACCGGGTCATCGATGCCAGAAGTCACATCGACGCTGCCATGCAGAAGAGAATCGATGCAGAGATCTCCAGCTTCAGATTTACCGTCTACGGTACGGTGGCACTCATCTTGAGTGTTCTTGTATACTACGTTTGGGTTATTTAGCCCTTTACAGAAGTCCGGCCCTGGCCATGAGACGTTGTCTTTAGATAAAATCTACTTTAGCAATATACTAGATTAGTTTTGGGCTTATTGAGAACGTAGGATAGTATTTGGGTTTCAGAGCCACACCACTCTGGGAACTCCCAACACAGGAGCAATAATTTCTGGGTTTAATCAAGGAATTCATACTCTGCTCTAGGAAATACCAGTAAACTTAGCAAGCTCATAAGAATTTCGTACCGTATCAGAGGCACCTAAGATAGCAAGAAATCTTCAGGAATCACCACTGCTCTGGACCCTCCCAGTAATTAGCAGTAATTTATGGGATTCGAAGAATTACACCTTCTTCAAGAAGCCCTACACCTCGGTAATTTCTGGTTACGGCAGTGCTTCAGGATTCCTTCACTACTCTGGTAGCTGTAGCTTGAAGACATTATACCTTCTTTAGGATCCTGGCCTCAACATCCTTACCTCCATTCCACTCCGAGGCCTGCCGTATATATGTCTAATCTAGAGCCTAAATGTTTCACCTCCACATGTATTTTGGCAGTGGCGCGCAGACGATATTATCGTCTATGGATATGCGTGGAGGTGCCCAGCGAGGTCTCTCATCTTCAGTCACGCCTTCGGAGACCCTGCCCCCAAACATCCATATCGCTGCGCAAGTCTACATCGTCCTCTCCTCTCCGCTTTACTCTCCTCTCCTCTCCTCCTTCTTGTCTCATTCCCAATCTTCTCTCTGTTCACAGCCAGTTCTCTCTCCACTCCTATCAACTCACAACTGGCGTGCGACTAACCACTGATTTTGCGACCGTGACGATAAACTGACGATACGAATCTGGAGCCAAAAATCGAGGCTTGCATCATCGCCGTCACAACACTCCGTTGCCTCCATCGCTGCAGGTAAATTGAACTCGCTGCCAGCCGTTATTCACGCCTTCCACCACTTAGTCAGCACTACTGCCCACTACACTTGCCCACACAGTCGCTCGCTACCGCCATCCTCGTTAGTCAGCACACCACCAATTGGCACCCCAGCCCCATTCCAGCAGCCAGACAATCGACCAGATAGTCGCTAGATCACTGACCAGTGATTGACAGCCATTGACAGCCATTGACGTCCCTTGCACTACCATAGGCTCCACTTACAGTCGATAGTATAACGTCCCACACCCAACTCCACTCCCCATGGCATCTCCCCAATTCCCTATCAGAGCCATCCGCTGGTCCTTGGACTACAACTCGTCCAACGACGACCACAAGTTGATCACCCCCATTTTGTTGCAGGAGCTCAACGGCCCCTGCCCATTGATCGCGTTGGTCAACACCCTTTTGCTTAAATACGAGTTACAGTACAACAACGTGTTGCAGACTGACGACAACCTCGACCCCTTGCACCAGAAGAAGTTCAACAGCTTGAATGACTTGAAAAACTTGTTGTTGACCTCCGGGTCTGCGCACGGAGGTATCGACCTCGATGCCCTCTTGGGCCAGATTGCCGAAATGCTCTTGGTTTTCAACGAGGACAAGTCGTTCGATTACGAGGTCGACCAGCTCTTAGAAAGCTTACCTTTGTTGCACACTGGATTGTCGGTGAATCCCAACTTGCTCAATGGAAACTTCGCCAGAACTGACATGGCAAGTATCTTGTTCGAAATATTTGACTTGAAAATCAAACATGGCTGGGTCCTCAACCAAATTGATAGCGAACAGGTCGAATGGAACGCCACAGGTGAAGACACTGCCGAAGACAACTACGGCAAGTTGATCGAAATATTGAATCAGTTACAAACCTTTGACAAAGTCCAAGACTACCTATTGTTGGAGCTGGAACAGTCTGGAGATGTAAACGAGCAATTGCGCAGCCAGGATTCCAAGAAGACTTTGTTGCATAACCAGACATTGATTAACAAATGGTTAGACTTAAATAAAACACAGCTCACCAAAATCGGGTTGAAAAGATTGAACCTAGACTTGTTAAACGAAGAGTTTGTGGTATTCTTCAGAAATAACCATTTCAACACCCTCTTCAAAAAGAACAACCAGGAATTTTACTTATTAATAACAGACTCGGCTTTTGAAAACAAAGCTAGCAAGATAGTTTGGCAATCCTTGAATTCGGTGACAGGCAGTGATGACTTATTTTTCAATGGTGATTTCATCCCAATTTTGGATCTTGATCAAGACATCGATAATAATGAGGCAGACGCCGATTTCTTACTCAGTAAGCAGTTACAGGAAGAAGAGGATCAGGCCATGGCGAAGACTATTCAAGATAGATACGACAAGGCCGAAACTAGAGCAGCAGCAAAGGCAAAACCTACAAAGGATAGTACTTTTCGGGGACTCAAGTCAAAAAGTAAGAAGTCCAGTGATAAGTCTGTCGAGGTAGGAGAAACAAAGGAAGAACCAAAGAAAAAGCGTGATTGCATAATAGTGTAAAACTTTCAATCATTCAATTCGATTCAATTAAAAATAGTAACGGAGGGACTCTGAGCATCCCGTTCATGCACACTTAATTAATGCTCTTATCTATATAATCTGTGTTTAATTCTTTAAAGGGTAATATATACCATCAGTAATTTAATCTACGTGGACTTCATAATGATACATTATAAGACTATGTACATAGATTCTGTTTCACATGCTTGATGTGATGCTGCTATGGTCTTATTCCAGTCTTTCGATTGAATTGGCCACCAATCATGCTTCCAATGATTTTGAAGCTTCATTAAACTCATCACCAATATCCTTTTCTTCCTCTTCCTCTTCTTCTTCACCTTCGTACTCCATAGGATCGAACTCTGATCTGATAGCATCCATCTTCTTAAGTTCAGAGGTATTTGGTTCTCTTAACTTGAAATTGATCGCATCGATAGTGGTATCCTTCAAGAATCTATTCACTTCCGAATTTGTGGATGCTCTGTGCTTCTTTAAATCAATTCTACCTGTCACAGGGTAATAGTATGCAACCTTTCTCTTCTTGGTTCCTTCAACTTCTTCGGGGATGAATTTGATTGAAAGCTCTTCATTAGGCTTGGTGAATCTTTGGAAATTCATTTCATAGTTCTTGGTGTGTTTGAATCTGTACTCTTCAAGAGTATTGTCGTCTTCATCTAACAAATTAACGGGACGTTCTCTTTCCGTAGAATGTAACTTTTCATTTAATTCACTAGCCTTCTTTGGATCACGAACTTGATACAAACTTATCCACTCACCATCAGCAGAAGTGATTGGCTTGAAGATAGCAGATTCTAAGGCGTCACGGTGGAACTTCTCGTTGAATTTAGAGCCTTCTTGTCTTCTGGCCAACTCCGTCTCACGGTCCACAGATGCAGACCCGATAAATTTCACGGTCAAGAACTTAGTGTCCATCATGGATGTATCTGGTAATAATGGCCAAGCGTCGACAGCTGTCAAGTGCTTCTTTCTGGGGTGTTTCAATGTGGCGAAATTGGTTAAAGTTTCTTGTGCCTTTTCGAAACTGCTCTCCACAGCCTGCAATTGAGAGTTAGCATCATGTCTCTCTTCGGTGCTCTTCTTATTGTTTTGGTCCAATGTGGATGATGCGTTTTTCACTGGGTCCTTATCGGCAATGTACTCTGTTCTTCTCAAGAATGACACACCAGGCTCAGATTTGGAGATCTTACCTATACCTGCGTCCCTCAATAATATACGATCTTTGGGGTGAAGCTTTACTGAGACTGGCTTTTCCGATTTCACGCCGTCTTGCTCGGATTTGACCATATTGTAGATGACACTGTCATTCCCGTCATCAAGGAAACCTCTATTGTTTATCAAGTTCAAGTTCATTCCGAGCTCCTCGTCGACGTTGTCGATAAGACCACGGAAGTTCTCCTTCCGGAATAACGACGACATCAAATACTCGGCTTCTTGCTTGGGGGTGACATTCTCCGTGAGGTTGTACTGTAAGAACTTAGGGTTTAATGGTGGTGGTGGAAGGTTATTGGTGTATCTGATTTTGGTTATATACTCCTGTCTTATTGGCTTCGACTGCTTCGACATCTTGGCGGGTGGGAAAGAGGGAGATCGGGATGGGCGATGTGGAGGTGATAGATAGGTTTGGTTTGTTGTCTGGTCTCACCAACGAATATTCAAAATTTGGTGTCGTGCGCGTACCAGACATCTTGGGATTGCAACTAGATGCAAAATGCTCCAGTTGAGTAGGTCCCCGGCGCATTTATGCCAGGGCATTTTAAAATGATCCTGTCGGAGCTATTGGGAGTTGGAAGCAAAGCATTGCTGCTAATGGCCATAAGCGGGTACGGCTATTGCTGAGAAGTATATTTGTCTTCTCCGGCAAGACACTTTACTGTAATTCAGGAGAAACTGAAATAAATACCTCTTGTAATAGTTTCCTTGCACCAACAGTTTTGAAACACTTTCTAATTCACCTAATTTCACTCGGGTGAGCTGCTGATACAAGCCATAATTCAAGGTTCAAGTCTAATGATAATCTGTGTACTCACTATTGGCCCACACTAGTATTAATTATGATATGAGGAGATAGTACAGCAAGGCCATTTATCTCGCTACCTGCCCAACGAAGACAGTCGCAACCACTAGAAAGGTTCAGGCTGGTGTATGTATATCCACATCGAAGTACGCTCTACGAAATAGAAAATCTCTTCATAATCTCGAGAGATCTTAATTGGAAGAATGAACCATCTGAGAACAACGAAATCTATACTTCTTAGGACAGAATCTAGACTGCTTAACCCAACTGAAATCTGTTCTTCCATCCACCCTAACCTGCCTTGTACCTCTGAGGGTACCACATATTCCCCACGGATAATGCACACAGTACATACTTCCAATGTCTGGTTGTGGCCCCAACGAGCGACTCAGCCTACCACAACCACGCCTATACTTGCCCATCTCACGTTCGAACTCCACCCCTAGAAATCCAGTCTGAAATCCTTCTCCCCTCAAATGTGCAACTCAAGCGAGTTCAGGCACCAAGTTGCATTCAACATGCCAGAATTGGAGCTACAACCAAGGTTCCTCGCAATAACCACCAATGACAACAAAACCGCAATCCCGTCATGCCTTGGACAAGACAGCCTCCCTTGGCACCATATCGCAAACAAGCATTCCCTGGCCAAGCTTGTCAGTACGCACTTGACAGCCCCCAGCCCCGTAGTCATCGTGAAGAGGCTCAGCTGAGGAACGGCAACGAGAGTTCCAATCGGGCGATTTTTGGCCGACTTCCAAGAATTCTGGGGTTGTGCATTGCGGTTCTGCCCCAAAAAAGCCCCCTGGGCATGCTGGGCACGGAATCGGCGGTATTAGCTGCATATGGCACGGCCATGGTTGCGGGTGTGAAACATTTGTAATCTTAGTAATTTCCCCTTACGTAAGCGCGGCCTCCATGACATATTTGCAGCTATGGTCGGTTGGACCGAAACGCTACGGAAAGGTATATCGCCATGAGGACGTGAAACTGGAACTGGAACTATTTAAGAAGCTACCATTCCACCTGGAGCCTTCTTCATCCAGTCAAATAACTACCTACTAGACAAATATCCAAACCATGAGATTTTCCACTGCTATCGCCGCTTTAAGTGCCCTTGTCGTCGTCGCTGCTGCTCCCACTGAGTCCCAGGACGACAAGCACTTGTTCCATGCTCCACACTGTCCACCACAATGGTCGTCGCCTGAGGAACAGGGATTGGCCTTCTACGAGTTCGTCAACACCTTCTACGTGGAGGGCAACACCACAGCCGCTTTGTTGAACTTCGTTTCTCCTGACTACATCCAACACAACGTGTACATCGATAGTGGAAGAGACAACGCCCAGAAGGCCCTCGAAGGAATCTTCAAGGATTCTACCATCACGCTCGTGAACGTCGGCTTCCAAAACAACGTTGGCTACGTCCACTACAAGGTCACCGAGGAGGGCTCGCCCGTGACTGCCTTCGTTGACGTCTACAGACTCAACGGTACCTGCGTGGAAGAGCACTGGGACGTGATCCAAGCGCTTCCTGCCAACGCCACCAACCCACTTGCCTTGTTCTAGAAAACCAAGGCTTTGAAATATGTTTAAATTTTATCAACGAATTGTGAATCCACGTAGACTCAGCCGTACTTCAAAAGATCTCTCAATTATAGTCTATTTTTCAGCCATCTTTCCTTAAGGCATTTCTCCTAGCTACTTCTCGCAACTAGCTGTATGAATAGGCAGAATTGATTAGTGTCTATTTAACCGTTTTGTTTCCGATTTTTAGGCCATGCCGACTGTCGCCTCAGAGTGCCGCAACTGAGCAATGCCCCACGTTTGCCAGCGTGATTTATTCCAGTAATGTTCAAATCTCATAATTTCAGAAGTAGTAGCAAATACCTAATTCCTCCTTGACTTAGAATTTGATTATTACATCCCAGCTGCCGGTGGGTTCTACAGTCGTATCACACTAAAATTGTATTCGTACTAATTCTTAAACTTGGTAACGATCTTGAAAAACTCTTCACCCTGAGTTTTGGCGATGTCTTTCTCTAAATCGGTCACCTTTCTGGAACCGTCACCTCCGGCGAACGTTCCAGCGCCCCAAGGAGAACCTCCATGGATTTCGTCAAAAGTGGTCTGCTTGGGGTGGGCGTAACCCAAAGGCACGTACACGATACCGTGGTGGGCCAATGTAGACAAAGTGTTAAGCACAGTCACTTCCTGACCACCACCCAAAGTGCCTGTGGACACGAAAACACCGGCGTACTTGCCTCTCAAGGCACCAGAGGCCCACAAGCCTCCGGTGGTGTCCCAGAAAGTCTTCCACTGAGCAGGGAAGTTACCGTATCTGGTAGGAACACCGAACAAGAAGGTGTCGTACTTGGTCAAGGTTTCTGCAGTAGCAATAGGGAAGTCGAGAGGAGCAGGAGCCTTCAATTTGGTCAAAATCTCGGGGCTGAGTGTTTCTTGGACTTGGAACAAGTCTGCCTGTCCACCAGCGGCCTCAATGCCCAACTTGACAGATTGGGCCAAGGTGGCGACGTGGTGGTACAATGAGTACACGATAATAGCGGTTCTTGGAGGGGGAGCCATGGTCAATTGCTTTGGATGGATGCCTACAAATGCGTGGCAGAGCTGCCATTTATATACCCAGCCGTGAGCGAGAAACGGCCATTACGAACTCATTATTAATGTGGAGTAAAGGTGCATGCATCCACCAATTCTGGGCCAGGGCCAGTGGCGCGGGGCCACAGTGGATTTTCCGGGTCCTGGCTGCTGGGGTAGTCTGTTTATGGGCTTATATCCACTGTGGCCCCCCTCACTTGCTTCAAGGGGTTCTGGGGCTTCGGAGCATGATGCAGGAATGGGAACTATTGTTAAACTGAAAACTGAGGGGTCCTGCCAGGGTCCAGTTTGTGGACAGCGAATGCCACAGGGAGGTGGCACATTCCACTCGATATGTTCGATTACTGGACCTGGCTGGTGCTGGGCTGACTGGAGGCTTCGCTGTGGCTGCAAACTGTTGGTTACTGGTGGAAGGTGAAGCCCCTCCACTCCCAGTAACTGATGCCATTTCGTGGAATCTTTACGACTGAACGCTCCACCACACTCAGGCCATCAGGAGGCTTTGTGCTGGCGTTTGGATGAAGGGTAACCATCGATCATCCTTGTAGATTAACAGGACCCTGATAGATTTGCTACCAGGGTTGCGAAAAGATTCGCGGCATGTGTCAGACAATTGACTTTTGGCAGAATCAAGGGACTGAACTAATTTGCGTAAACCTTTGCAAGGGCCTTTATGTGGAGAATGGTTCATAGAGGAACTACGGGGGTAATCTGAGCACCACGAGTGATTCAATGGCGGAAGAAGACTCTAGAGTGATTCATTCTACTCATGGATCTTGCTGGAAGCAGCACCCCAGAGTGCTCATGCAGTCATTTACATCACTCTAACCATCAAATGTGCCCTTTTCTACTTCTGTACATCGTGTCCTGCATTTTTATTTCTATAAGTCTACTGTGGGTCAACATACTCGGTACAATCGATGTTGTTCCAAGTCAAAACCTCGTGGGAGTCTGGCTTGTCCAAAGCAGCCAAGATCTCTGGGTCCAAGTCAATGACACCAAGGTGGGTGGTTTGGTCCAATTCGTCAGAGCTACCCTTTGGCAAGATGTTCAAGTTCTCGGAGATTCTTGGCTTGTTGACGGACTTGGCAATGACAATGAATCCTTGCAAGAAAGACCACTTCAACAAGATTTCAGCCTTGCTGAGGCCGAACTTCTTGGACAACTCGACCAACTCTGGGTCGTCGAGCTTGTAGCCCTGGGTCAAAGGCGAGTATGCTTCGATCAAGATGTCGTTCTTGACAAGGTATTCACGCAACTTCAAGTGGGGCAACCATGGGTGCAATTCCAATTGGTTGATGACTGGCTTGACCAAGAGGCCCTCCCAGTTGAGCAACTCCTCCAAGTGCGAAATACCGTAGTTGGAGACACCGAGCGACTTGATGTGCAACGTGGGGTTGGAAGGGTCCTGGACGTACTCTTGCAAGGCCTTGTAGGTTGCCAATCTCTTCTCCTTGTTGGACTTTGGCGAGTGGATGAGCACCAAGTCGACGTAGTCGATGTATTCCTTGACGTCGGCAGCAATGCCTTCGACGGCAGCCTTGGTCTCCTCGTAACCGTGCTGGGAGTTGTACACCTTGGTGGTGAAGTAGATGTCGCTTCTGGACACCTCTGGGTGGTCCTTCAAGAACGCAGCCACACCCTGGGCAGTTTGCTTCTGGTTGTGGTAGATGACGGCTGTGTCGATGTGACGGTAACCTTGTTCCAACGCGTAGTACACGAGGTCCTTGGTGTCACCAGCAGGGATGGTGTAGACACCGTAGGCGGTCACAGGGATGTGGAGCCCGTTGTTGAGCTTGTAGGTGCTCTTTTGAGTCAATTGAATGGAGGTGGTTAAGTTAGACATTGGTGGTCAATTGGTGCAGAATCACTTGATGAAATGAAACGAGAAATGGTTGCCTTTATATGGTGTAGGTTGCGGGTGCCACACAAAACCGGAAGTTGGGGAGTGTCATTTCGGAGACAGTAATTGCTAAGTGCAGAATGTCCGTGCGGATGCGACCCCTCGGCAACCTGGGCAAGATTGCAGTTAATGTCTGTGCGAGCAGCAACCAGATTTGCTGTTTACAGTGGCGTCATGTGGGTGCCCGCCACCAGTGTCAGAGCAGGATGAGGTGCCGGGGAAGCTACCAGATTGCGCAGACAAACGGCTGACCCAGGAGGGCAGTGACTGGTGGAACAACGTGCGCCCATTGGCCTGCCAGTCACCGCCTGCCAAAGTGCCCTAATCAGCCACTTCACCCCATGGTCGTTTACGATAACCCCAGCTCCGGCGTTTGGTGGCTAACGGGGTTATCTTTCGCCAGGAAAAGATCGCGGAAAACCGTCAATCGCACCCCGATTTTTCCAGCACGTTCGAAGCGGCAAGTTATTGCCGTAAAATCCGCATCAAAACTACCGCCATCCAACGGTGTTAGTAAGCATTGGACGTGCCCCACTTTGCGATGATGGGCAATCTGACAAATCAACCTACCGTGCGGCCCAACAGCTGCACGGCGTGCTGTCAGACACGCCGCCACCGATCGCCTGGTGCACGTCGCTTCCGGGGAATTTACGAGAAGACGGACTTGGCAGGAGTGATTTGGCTGCAAACTACCCAATGGAATGGCTCGGGGGTTGATCCGTTGATCGCCCGAGGCCATTATAGCACGATCCGTGCGGATCTCTGGCCAGGGTCTCGGTTTGTCACGATCGGCGATACACAGGATACGACAATGGAAGAGAATTAATAAGGATACATGAGAATACTTGCACCAGGTAGGCATCCATTTATGTGGTCAGGCAGACACTTCCAGCTAATACCTGCTTCTGTCAGACATACGTCACTCCCCTGTCAGACATACTTAGCTCCTGTCAGACATACTTAGCTCCTGTCAGACACACCCAATGTCAGATATCGCACTGTCAGACATACTCTCCTATCATGTCTAGTGATCCTACACCGCAGTAGTCCAAACCGTCCATTCTCTATAAACCTAGTCCAGGCATCACCTGCTGGTCAACATCCAGTCCCAGCTCTCTACTCCCCATCCACAAACTCGGTGGGATCTACATTGCCCCAGGTCATCACCTCGCACGAATCGGGCTTGTGGAGGTCCTGCAAGATGGCCACGTCCAAGACGAGAGGTCCGCTGGACAGGTCGGCAGGCAACACGTTTAAGTTCTGCACCACTCGCGATTCGGTGACCGACTTGGCAATCACGATAAACCCCTGCAAAAAAGACCACTTCAACAACATCTCTGCCTTGTTGATGTTGTGCTTGGCAGCCAACCCCAACAACTCCGGGTCGTTGAGCTTGACTCCTTGTGTCAATGGCGAGTATGCCTCCACCAAGATGTTCTTGGACTTGAGATACTCGCGCAATTCGATGTGGGGCAACCATGGGTGCAATTCCAACTGGTCGAGCACCGGCTTGACTGTGAGGCCATCCCAACTAAGCAACTCCTCCAAGTGGGCCACTCCGAAGTTGGACACTCCGAGCGACTTGATCTCCAAGGTTGGATTTTCACCCACATACTCTTGTAACGCTCTGTAGGTGCCCAATCTCTTTTCCTTGGAGGTTTTGGGCGAATGGAGAAGTACCAAGTCGACGTACCCGATGTGCTGCTTAACCTCGTGGGCAATGCTCTCCACTGCCTGTTTGGTTTCCTCGTAGCCTTGCAGGTTGTTATCGATCTTGGTAGTGAAGAATATGTCACTTCTGGCGACCTCGGGAGTTTCGCTCAAAAAGAGGCTGATCGCCTCGGCAGTCTCTCTCTGGTTCTGGTACCCCATAGCACTGTCGATGTGACGGTACCCGGCCTTCAACGCTACGTACACTAGGTGCTTGGTATCTTTTGGCGGAATGTCGCACACACCAAAGGCAGTGACCGGGATCTGGAGACCGTTGTTAAACGTGTACTTGCTTTGTTGTGTCAATTGCAAGGAGGTGGTGAATTCGGTCGTCATGTTTGTCTGGTGGTCTTCGGACAGTTTGTAGCGATTTCTTTTGAAGATAAGTAATTTATGGTTTTTGTCCTTAGGTGTCAAGAATATAGAAACCTTAGCTCAATGCTATGGAAAGTGCGCAGGACGGAATCTCCTCTTATAAGCCAGCCGTATTCACTAGATCCAAGATACATGCACGCTATACAAGTCCCTCCGATGAGTAATGCCATGTGGATCCACGCCCATTGAATCCTGGATACTCCGCAATTGAGTGTTGCGCGCAAAACCATCGCATTTGTCGTGATGTCCCCACATTCTCCCCCACCCATAACCAGAGTAAGAATGTTCTTGATGAGGATAATAGTTTGGTCTTTCGCCTAATTGGGTCTATCATGCCCCAAGTACCTTGAAACGGTCCTGTACATGGTACAGACAGAGTATTGCAGTAGAGGTTTGGTGGAACGGTGACAGCCGTGCCAGCGCAATGACTCATGGCATGAAACTTGGCATTGCCACCCATCTGGATGAAGTCTCCTATTGGCCAGTCTCAGAACCGTTGCTGAGGGGTTCGATAGCTGGAAAATTCCTCGGAAATCAAACAGGGCCCAAGCAGGTCTTGCCGATTCGCTTACGCTCACGAATTATACAATAATAGTGTGGCGGGCCAAGGAATCGATATTCTGGGCTGCGAAAATGTGCTTCCTACTATGACTAATCGATTTTCAACAAGGAAGCTTGTTTAAAGCTGATTAATAATGCTGGATGTGTTACTAATGCCTGTTTGACCCCATCCCAACAATCACCGACACTCGCATCCTGCCATCTTATCGCTCGCGGCTGGAGCCGCTAGACGGGTCACGTGCCACAATCATCTACCCAACCGAACAAATAATCCCGCCTAACTCTAGCATCCATCCTAATACCAATCAATCATGACCCTTAGGAAAAAGACTCTTTTAAAGGTGATCATCCTCGGTGACTCGGGCGTGGGGAAGACCTCCTTGATGCAGCAATTCGTCAACAATAAGTTTCTGCACCAGTACAAAGCAACCATCGGAGCCGACTTCTTGACCAAGGAAATCACAGTTGATAACAAGGTCGTCACATTACAAATCTGGGACACGGCAGGACAGGAAAGATTCCAGAGTTTGGGGGTTGCCTTCTACCGTGGTGCTGATTGCTGTGTGTTGTGCTACGATGTGACCAACGAAAAGTCCCTAAACAACTTGACCTCGTGGAAGGACGAATTCCTTGTCCAATCCAACGTGGCTAACCCCCAGGATTTCCCGTTCATCATCATTGGTAACAAGATCGACATAGAAGAGTCCAGAAAGATCCCGTCCTTGAGCAAGAAGCTAAACAATATCACCAACCAAGGATTTGGCGGGTTGAACTATCCTGTTTTTGAGACCAGTGCAAAGGACTCTATAAACGTCGAGGCTGCATTTGAAGTGATTGCCAAGATGGCATTGCAACAAGAAGAATTGAACGAGGTGAACGGTGGGGATGTGAGCGATGACTATAATGACGCCATCAACATCCATTTAGAAGGAAATGGAAGTGGATGTGCTTGTTAGACGGTGTGTCCGTCTGCTATTTACCAACCATATTGACAACTTGGCAGATATGTTCTGAATGGTGGAGGTTGAACTTCCCGAGTCGATGCCTAGGTTTCGTACTGATGACATTACAATTCTTTTTTTAATACTAATACACATAATTACTTAGAATCGAACCATGGCCCGAGGAGCATATTGTAGGTCCACCCTGGACACGGGCACGTTCGCCAGGCAACACTCAAGCATGCTTTACTTAGAATTGATACAAGCACAAACAGCCTTGAACAAGAAGTCGACAATAGGATTTCCAGTATGGACACCTTGTTGTTGGTGTTGGGGTTGTTGTTGGTAGTACTGGGGTTGGCCTGTTCCTTGGTATTGTTGTTGACCTTGGTAACCTTGTGGTTTCTGAGGAGCAGATGGCCCCGAGGTGTTCCAGTGGTTTGGAATCTGGTTAGATTGGGTGTTGGTCAAGTCGATGATCATCACCCCAGTGTTTTTGGGGTCGATCCGGTGCTTCAAGTTGCAGTCATCGCACATCTGGTCAATGGCTGGCTTCAACTTGGCAATTCCGTTCTGAGAGTGCAACCCCTTACCCACAATAACACGTAAATGCGACTGGTTGGTTCTGATGGCAGCCGCTAACCGGTTCTGCAAGATAAACTCAGCTTCCTTGACGTACAACCCGTGCAAATCGATTTCGTCAGCAGCACTATCAGCATTGTTTTCTCTGAACACATACTCGGCAGCCTGTTGGTTTGCACGCTCAGCCTGGGCCAAAACCGACTTGGCCTTTTCGCTGAGCTCGTGGGCTCGTTGCTTATCGCCACTCTTGAATGCCAGCTGGGACTCTTGGCTCAACTGGTTCCTCTTTTTGTACAACTGGTCAGCCTCATCACGGAGTTTTTTGTATTCCGAGTCGGTGGCATGGTTGTAGTCGCGTTCGCCGCCCCCTAAGTGTACGCCACGATCCATTCTGGTAGCCAATAGAGTCTGGAGGGTGTCGATGGAGTCAACAGATATGAAACGGGGACCGTAGCTTTGGGGTCCTCAACCTGTAAATCTCACCTCCCCGGTTACATGTTATTGCATGTTACTCCAGCCTCGTTTAACTATTTCCTAATTCGGGCGAGCAGATTCGCGTAACTGAACTGTTTGGAGCCCGCCAGATTGATGTGCCAAAACGTGGCAGTAAAGCCGGAAAGACAGCTAGAAGGGATGAATTGGGGTTTTATCATTTCGAGAAGACCGTACATTCATGAATGATAGCTTAAAATTATGCAATATATGAGATGGGTGACTAGTTGATTTTCTTTAAATTAGCGGTTTTTCCTGAGAAATTGGATTGTGAATTTTATTAATAGTCTAGATATCACAGTGTGTTGCGTATTTGGTGCAATTGCGAGGACAGACACTTGATTGTAAGGACAATAAAAAGGATTAAGACATATGAATCAATTAAAACACAATTATGAGTTTGAATAGTGCCAGGAGCATTAATCCTTATATCAGAGTAACAAGAATATTTCGTATCCTGAGTGAGATTCATTGCAAGATAAAAGGAGGACAATAGGTCGGAATCTGTAGATGAAGTTTCACATTTATTGACATCATTCTGTAGTACTATTTGAGCGGTGTTTAGATAGAAAGGTATCTCCCATCTATTTCAAAAAACTCGTACCTTTCCAGATTATTAACCAACTGATATGTAATTTATCCCTAATGAAGCATATCCACCTAATAACTGAATCAAACGGCTCTAGTGACTTTCTTGTTCCCAACCGGCATACGATGTGTGAACCAGAAATTACTTGTATTTTGGTGTATGAAGCATAGTAAGTATCTATTCATATTATGACCGAATATTTAACCATCAAGACCAGTGCCACATGACCCGTGTTCTGGCCACTAGATGTAGCCTACCATCAACCTAAAAAGATAGTTTCAAGCCAGTGCTGAATAAGGCTGTAAGTTCCTGGTACTTGTTGACTGGCAATGACAACCACTGGCCTAGTTTCCACCGCCTCCACAACCTCCTCCTCCACAACCTCCTCCACAACCAGCTCCTCCAGCTCCTCCAGATCCTCCACAACCAGCTCCACCAGTACTCCCAAAGAAATTGCTACCGCCTCCACCATTACTGCAATAGAAACTGCTGGCACACAGTCCAAACTGCATGCCCGAGCACATGTTCAGGCAGTTGCTTCCAAAATCCCTAATCGTGCAACACAAGGTCTGACCATAGAACGAACAATCCCCTAGGGCTATTGGTGCCATTGGGGGAACCACAAATAACATCGGGTACATGCTGTACATATTGGCTGGACTGTCATCTCTCCAGGGAACCTTTTTCCCCCCATACTTCTTCAGCAACTCCGCCTCCCGTTTCATGGCTAGATCTGTGGGTAGAGTAATGGCATTGTGAAGACTGGCGTGGGTCAACCCCAATGTTCGATGGGCAGTGGTTTGTCGTAATGCTGTGGTTTCTTCCACAGCCAGAAGCTTTCGACCGAAGATCTTGCTTAGTTTGGACCGCGGCAACGATCTGATGGCCACACAGTACCAACACTTGCATATGGAGTACTCTTGTTTGAATTTTTCACGGTACACCTTGGCCGTCCTTTCAAAGCCCTCGTCCAACCTGCTTTCCTCGACCTTGTCGTCGTGATCAATCACGAAGCCCTTGCGTGACTTGCGACAGTCGCCGAAGTAATAGAACATAGACAATTGGTGGGTGTGCCAAATCAAGTCTATGTCCAATGTGGGGACCATCATTTTTTTGTCATCGTAACTTGACAACAACTTGAAGAACCGGGAGTATCTGATGGAAGATTCGTACAAGCTCTCGCGGATCAACGACGAGTGGAGCCAGTCGATTTCGTTCATCTTTTCCACAAACCGCTCTTGTCGCATCACACACCCCACCAAGTCTTCTGAGATCTGGATGGCGTTTGGCACGAGAGTATGAATCAAGTTCATGGACAAGTACCCACGCAAAAGCGCCTTGACCCAAAGCGGATCGCCCCTTTTGAACTTGACCACTGCTATCTGGATTAAGTCCGCCAACAGAGACTTTCTGAACGTAGCAGAGTCGGTGCTTACAAGCGCTTTCTTGACCATGTCGCTGATAGCGAGCGTGGGCCTATTCTTGAAGAATTTGTGGCTGATCACGCTGGAGTAGTACCTGTAGGTATTGGGCAAGACGGTGTCGGAGGTGATGTCTGCATAAAGCTGTCTTTTGCGGAGTTCTTCGTGGGTGATCACCCGGCTGAACTCGCAGGTGCAGTGGCCACTGTTGATGGTCCACCTGAACGACTCGTCTGCGAACCCCACCTTCTCCGAATTGGTGTAGGGAATATCCTTCAAGATCTTATCGCCACACACTGGGCAGTATACTGAGACCAACCGCTCGTACATCGAGAAGTCCTCGTACGAGTACGACCAGTCGTCCTCGTCGGCGGATACGTCGCGCACGATGGCCTCATACGCCTTCCTGGACTTGGCGTCAGGATCGTACCAGAAGGTGTTGTTATCGATCAGCTCGTGTACTCTACGCAACGGGAACGGAAAGTTGGCGAACTCGAGCAACTGGTTGCGGATAAAGCAGTCGTAGAACGCACGCGGGTTGAGCAAGAACGAGTGCCACACCATCAACACGTCCAACGGGGGCAACGCCCTGTCCAACATGGCTATGGAACGGGGGTTGCGTTTGGCGCCCGCCGTGAAGATCTTGTGCTCGTCCTTTTCGTACGACGGGTCGAGTGATAACGTATACTTGCACCCACTGACAAACACCACGAATCGTTTGACTGCACGAGTCACAAACACCTGCCAGGTCTTGACAATGTAGTCGGGATCGTGGTCCGTTCCTACCACTGCGTGCTTGAGCTCGCCAAACGCTCGGAGGAGCTTCAAGTGGGCCACGGTGTCGGGCACACCAGGAATGTGGTCCAAGGATGTTTGTTTGACAGCTCTAGTGTACTTCGTTCCAAGGAAATCAGTCGGCTGTGCCGAATTGAGGATATCAACGAAGGCCATGCTGCCCAGCTTTTCGTGCATGTGCCCCTCAATGACGTCTTTCTCGTTTTTGGCTTCATTAAGGTAGTACTTGTCGTCACCCGAGGACTCGTACGGGGGCGGGAAACTGGGGTCCTGCTTCAGGTCCTTGCGCTTGAACATGATGGCTGGAAAAAACGGATCCACTGCGATACTTATAACCCCACATCGTTGGTGCTTGTCGTATATTTCGTAAATATAATAGAGTGTGACGTCGTGCGTCGTTAGGAGCGGTGGCGGTGCCAGTCGTGCATAGAGCCATTTCTACACATGGCAACGTTTTCACTCTAGCGGCCAGTTTTACCGTGGATAAAACCGAACAGTACTACAACAGTTTAAATTCATAATTTATTCAACTAAAGTGACTAAAAATCAAACTCAGCAGAGTGCTTTGTCTAACAGTTAGCTTACTTCTTACCAGCCTTTTGGGCGGCCTTGGTGACCTTACCAGCCTTGTCGGACTTTTCAACAGACTTGATAACACCGACAGCGACAGTTTGTCTCATGTCTCTGACAGCGAATCTACCCAATGGTGGGTAGTCAGTGAAAGCTTCAACACACATTGGCTTGGATGGGACCATCTTGACGATAGCAGCATCACCAGACTTGATGAACTTAGGGTTGGCTTCCATGACCTTACCAGTTCTTCTGTCGATCTTTTCGATCAAGGTGTCGAACTTACAGGCAATGTGGGCGGTGTGACAGTCCAAAACTGGAGAGTAACCGGAGGAGATTTGACCTGGGTGGTTCAAGACAATAACTTGAGCGTTGAAAGATTCAGCACCCTTTGGTGGGTCTTGCTTGGAGTCACCACAGACGTTACCTCTTCTGATTTCCTTGACGGAAACGTTCTTGACGTTGAAACCAACGTTGTCACCTGGGACACCTTCAGCCAATTGTTCGTGGTGCATTTCGACGGACTTGACTTCAGTGGTAACACCAGCTGGGGCGAAGGTAACAACCATACCGGCCTTGATGACACCGGTTTCAACTCTACCGACTGGCACAGTACCAATACCACCGATCTTGTAGACATCTTGCAATGGCAATCTCAATGGCTTGTCGGTTGGTCTGGTTGGTGGTTCGATAGCGTCAATAGCTTCCAACAAGGTCTTACCAGAGGACTTACCAGCCTTGGTTTCCTTTTCCCAACCCTTGTACCATGGACAGTTGGTGGAGGCTTCAATCATGTTGTCACCGTTCCAACCAGAGATTGGGACGAATGGAACAGTCTTTGGGTTGTAACCGACCTTCTTGACGAAGTTAGAGGTTTCCTTGATGATTTCTTCGAATCTGTTCTTGTCCCACTTGACGGAGTCCATCTTGTTGACAGCAACAATCAATTGCTTAACACCCAAGGTGTAAGCCAACAAAGCGTGTTCTCTGGTTTGACCGTCCTTGGAGATACCAGCTTCGAATTCACCGGTACCACCAGCNATAATCAAGATAGCACAGTCAGCTTGGGAAGTACCAGTGATCATGTTCTTGATGAAATCTCTGTGACCTGGAGCATCGATAACGGTGACTTGGTACTTTGGAGTTTCGAACTTCCACAAAGCGATATCGATGGTGATACCTCTTTCTCTTTCAGCCTTAAGTTTGTCCAAAACCCAAGCGTACTTGAAAGAACCCTTACCCAATTCAGCGGCTTCCTTTTCGAACTTTTCGATAGTTCTCTTGTCAATACCACCACACTTGTAGATCAAGTGACCGGTGGTGGTAGACTTACCAGAGTCGACGTGACCAATGACGACGACGTTAACGTGATTCTTTTCCTTACCCATTTTGATTGATAGACTATATTAGAAAAAAGAGGAAAGAAGAAGAAGGGCCGGTTATTCGACTTTTATGTAGCGCCAGGGAATGCGTCGGCGCCGCCTGGGATGCTGAAAATTTTTTCGGGCGGCTGATGGCGGCAATGGGGGACGGTGGTCACGTAAGCACGTGGTATGGCCGAGGGGTGAGGGCTGCAGCCCTAGGCACCAAAGGGTGTCTTCCATTCACAGTACTACTGTGTCTACGGGATACTGGGATCCTGGGATGCTGTGTATGCTGGGTGCTATGATGCTATTTAGTGTACTTGGCCGGCTTTTTCACCTCCCGAGGCCGTCTAGCAGGTTGCTCCCGCAACCCGTCGTCTCCTAGTTTCTTTAGCAACTCCTGGTCGTTCCGCGCCGATTCTGTATTTTGGTAGCCAACCTGGGTGATGATATCGTCATCGTCGTTGGTGACGTCGAAGTTCATGCGTTCCTCGTCTTGATAGTCGTCGGGGCCGTCCTGCGCCTGGTACTGCGCTTGTTGGAGCTTGTTGGTCAAGGACAGCGCCTCTCTCAGTCCTGCCAACTGGCCATACTTTTGTCGTTTTGCAGCCTTGCGAGGCGACGGCAACCGAAGACTGTCGCTGTCGTCAGAGCGTTTGCTAGAGGTAGAGTCTCTGGTGTCGCTAGGAGAGTCGCTGTGCTCGTGCTGGGGTCCGTTGGTGGGCTCAGCGTCCATGTTCTTGTTGTACTCCATCAACGACATGGCGCGAGGGCTGGTTCTGGGTGCAAACAAGCACCACGTCAAATCCATGATGTTGGGCATGACTTGCTTTGGCTTGCCTGAGGAGAGCTCCATGATCTCCCACAAGTATGCCACGGAAACCACGGGAATCTGCCATTTTTTGGCGGCGTTAATCTTGTTTTTGGAAGAGAGCACCGCCACCGATGCCCCACCCTGCTGGAAGGTGGGACAGTCAGTGATGTCAGAGTACTTGTACTCCAACAATTTGGGAGAGTTCTTGGACAAACTCGTTTTGAACAAGTTGACGTTGACCACCAACAAGTCCCTGTTGGAAGTTAAGGACTCGCAGAACTCGAAGTTCAAGTAGCGGATCAACTTCTCCACATGCAATAATTCGATGCCAGTGAAGCCTGTGATGCACACATTGAACTTCCTGGTCGAAGGCACCAATCCCTTCATGGGCTGGCCCCAACGGTCTATGCTGGTGCGGTTGTAGAACATCGACCGTTCCACAAACCATTCGGTGACGGCTATTATCTCGCCATTGGTGATCTTGGCCTTCATGGGGGGCGAGAGGATGCGGAGCATCAGAAACGACTGGGTTCCTTTGGATGCTGGAACCATCACATGTGTTATGCTATCATCGCCAGTGTCGCTGGTGACATCTCCTCCGTGGTTGCTGATGACTTTGGTTAATAGGGTGGCCTCTTGCGAGCTGAATCCAATAAGGAGGAAATTGAACTCCAGAAATAACTGGTTTTCCTGCTCTTTTGGAGTCTTGGATTCGACGTCGCCCTCCACACCCGGTTTGTCTACCTCGTAATTGTCTTCCTCTTCCTCCTCTTCATCCCAGACCGAGTTTTGCACCACCCTCTTATTCTTCAGTTTGTTCTCCATAATAGAGTTCCAGATCTCGGTATTCTTCTGTAGCTTGATCCGTGGCTCCTCCACTACAGGCTTTGTCCTGGTGTCGATCACCTCGTTCCACACATCGCATCCGTTGTATTCGTTGCCGAGGTTGTACTCGTCGTAGTTGAGAAGACCTCCTCGGACTATCGAGTCAAAAATCCATATAGGGTGCACTACTGGCTTCTTCCACTCAGTGGCCTTATTGTATCGCCTTCCTGCCTTCTCTGTGGTCACCACGCAGGTGTTGGCAAGAGTCAACGACTCGGTGCATTTACCTCCGTGCTTGTTGATCACGCCAATGAGGTTCTTGGTGGTGAGGTAGTCTTCAACATTGAGACTCATTTTCTTCAAGGCTTTGTACCTGAACAGGTCCTTTCGAAAGAGTAGCCTGAGCTCGCCCGTGCTGAACTCAATTCGGGAGAAACACACGTTGGTGTGATCGAACACAGGCATCAAATGGGTGTTGATGTCAAGTTTCTTTGATCCTTCGTCTTCTCCCTTAAGCCAAAGGTCATACACCTCCGACACCGTATCTGCCACTATGAATTTGATGTCGTGACGCTTCTTGATGCAAAAATTGTACTTGGCAGTGGCTCTTTCCCCCACAATCAAGTAGTTGACATCGCTCATCAAGTCGCTGTAATGGGTGCCTCCAAGCGTTTCGATCTTTTCAGCCAAGTCCTCGCGGATGTGCGAGAGGATGCCTGTGCAGCAGAAGCGGAGACCATCGAACGGTTTCGTCTGGGGCATGTTGTGGTACGGGAAGTAGCTGCAATGGTTTGATAGTGATGGATCTAGGAGGGTATATCACGTGACCGCATTTACTACCCAGATAAGCGGCCGTGGGGTGGAGAGGAAGAGTAGTAAGGGGCAGAAAGAAACTATCTTATTAGTCTTTCAATTATTTCATTTATTTAACAAAATTGCATTACTTGTAGTAGAGATTTTTCCAGAGCTATTTCTATAGGCTTGCGTTTATCAGCTAATGTTCTATCTGATCACTTAATCATCGGTTCATTAATTTGATGAGGACATTATTTTATGATTTATGGTAGTTTCATTCCTATTATATACTGTTCAATCAAAAATGGTTCATTCAGGCCTGTGAAGGTTTCACGCTAATTAATAGAAGAATGGCCCTGTGTCAAATTAGAACTCTATTGGTGAAATAAGTTATGTTAGCTCCAGAATAGAATATTATCAACTGTTGTGAAATGACTTAAGTACTTCCAGAATGAATAAAAGTGGTTGTTATGAAGCGAATTAACTACTGATTACCTATGTTAGCCAGATAAGACACTTACCAAATTCTACTTTTGGACTAGGAAATTTCACACTCTTTAAAAGGAGGTCCAGGACAGCACCCAGCAGGGCTCAGTTGG